AAATTATCTGATGGAGGAAGTAATGTTCCACAGTAACTCTGCAAGGAATCTCAGGTCTGCAAAGAGTTAGTAATGAAGAAGCTATTCAATGCTTTGACAAAGTCTCCTATGAGGATGCTTCCTTATTAAATATCCAGATAGCCGGCACTGATGAATAAATAAGTAAACATTAATCTTCCAGATCTCACTTTAAATACCATTTCCTTAGAGAAGCTTTTTCTGACCTCAAATAATCTGTTATACACCCTCCCATGGACATATGTACTACTTCAAGCAATAACTATTAAATATATAAATGAATAAATGAGTAATTCTAATGAGCTCAGGTATGACCTCTATTGCTTATACTCAAATATACTTGTGCCAAAGAAGAAAGACAGTGGACAAAGTAGGCCATTATAAACTAGGCCATTATGAGGAGATATTAGTATCACTAAAACAAAATCTCAATACCTTATATGCTTATTAGCAACAGAATAAAACAGACTACTTTCTGCCTTAAGGCTTTGGGGAAGCTAGGTAACTTAGTGTAAGTTTTAAAGAATACCTGGCATTTTTAGCCACTGGTCCACACACAGTCTTGCTGCTTCTGTATCAGAATGTCCTCGAATAAATTCCAATTCTTGTAACCCATGAGCATGCTGAAAATCAATTTTTTCCTGAAGACATTAAGAAGAAACTCAATTAAAGTTACTACTGTTTTCCTTGAGAAAAGAATTTTTTTACACATCAGTGATCAAAAAATGCAGATAACTCTTTATCCCCATAACTCCCCATCTAGAAATTTATGCCAAAGAAACACATCAAAATAAAAATGCATGCTCTAAGATATGTATACCAATGTTATTGCACAAAATTCACTGCAACCTAAATCCCTAACAATAGGATATTGTTTAAGTAAATTATGGTATGTACATTTGATGGAAGTCATTAAAAACATTATCCAAAATTTTTCAAAGGTGTGGGATATACTTTTGAAATCAAGTCACCAAATTGCATTAAACAAATGAAGCAAAATATAAACAAAGAATAATTTCAATCCATATGCAACTATACCTGCAGAGTAAAAAAAGCCTGAAAACAGATGTATTGAAAGTTATTAAGGCTCCCTCTGGTAATTTCCATGTAAGGGATTATTTTCGTTTTTCAACTTTTATTTTTTCAAATTTTCCATATTTAATCTGAAACATACAGAAGGAGCCTAATAAATATTTGTTCACTCAGTAATACTAATAACATAACTCATTAGCACCTAATATGTGCCAGTATAAAGTATTTGTTGCCATCTAGACTAAGGGTTGGTGAACTTTTCCACAAAGGGCTAGTTAATATTTCATCATGTCTTTGCAGGCCAGAGAGTCTTTACTGCCTCTACTCAACTCTGCCATTGCAGCAAGAGAGCAGCCACAGACAACATATAAACAAATAAGCGTAGCAGTGTTCCAATAAATCTTTATTTATAGCAGGCAGCAGGCCGATGACAATGCTGAACTAGACGCTCTGTATCGCTAAAAGCCTAAATCTTTCTAGTATGTTATCCATAAAACTATTTGTATATTCTCTAATCATAATGTATATTAAAATTAATACTGGCCTCTAACCATGTGTAAGACAGTTTAAAAAAGATTTTAGATATTATTGTTCCCATTTTATGATGAAAAACCTGAGGTCAAATAAATTACCCAAGGATATATAACAATGTCAGAATTCAAACTTGGAGGCAGTCTGATTCTTGAATTCATGTGCTAATGAGTATAATCATACTGTCCCTCAAAAAGATTTACATGTACTTCAAAAGAAATCAGAGTCAGAAACACTGTATTTGTAAGATATAAACCATAATAATGTATGGCCTAGTTAGATGAAACAGGGTTTTCTACAAGAAGGATAAGTGGGGGGAAGGTGTGGATCAATATTTTAATCTGAAGAAAATCTACATAGTACAAAGTTCAAAGCACAGTCATGGAATACTACTTCTCATGAACGTTAATATGCATTACATACATTTTTTTAATTCTCTGTAATCAAATTAATTAAGTATAGAAACACTGGTTTTAAAAAAATTTTAAAGGTTACTTTCATGTAGGACTACTGAAGCCCTAACGTGCTAACTGTATTTTTCATACAAAGAATATGCAGTATTCCAACTTCATAAATCACCAAATACTTTTTCAAAGTGTATCCTACAGGATCACTATACTGAATAACATGCATTAAGAAACAAATAATAATAAAATCAAAGTTAGCCTATCCAAAGATAGCAATAGCCCTAATACCCTAAGACATCTTATGCATTAAATTGAACCGTTTTATTAAAGTTCCTTACAAGAATCCATTATAATAAAACCCTTCAATTAAAGTAATATAATTGAGATTAAATATTACTACATACCAACTACTAGCATACTTATTTTAACAATTTCCAATAATTAAAATCCAACTTTTTTTTTCAAGTTCTCTGGCCTTTCTTACAATAGAATTTGAACTCTATCAACATGAATAGTTCATGCTGCCAAAACACTTATTGAAATTATCCTAAAATTAGCCACCCTTTTTCTCTGTCACAAGCAACTTTCAAAAACTTTAGGGTTACAGCCCTTCTTGTAAGTCGTCTTAACTTGCAGAATATCAATACACAAAGCTGGCAGCTAGTCAAATGGTACAGAACATGATCTCTGAAAGTTAAGTATCAAGTGAAGATTTTGTTTTTGTTTTTGTTCTGTCTTTCTGAGACAGAGTCTCACTCTGTCGCTCAGGCTGGAGTGCAGCAGCACAATCTTGGCTTACTGCAACCTGTGCCTCCTGGGTTCAAGCATTTCTCCTCCCTCAGCCTTCCAAGCAGCTCGGACTGCAGGCATGTGCTACCATGACTGGCTAATTTTTTAAATTTTTAGTAGAGATGGGGTTTCACCACATTGGCCAAGCTGGTCTCTAACTCCTGACCTCACAGGTGATCTTGTCCACCTCATCCTCCCAAAGTGCTGGGATTATAGGCATGAGATTTTCCTTTTTTTCTTTGAAAACTCTCCATCACAAAAGATAACTTACTGCAATAATGAAGACACCAACAATTCACAAAGGCCTACAACAATTGAAAAACATTTTCTATGGTATCTAGTTCTAGCCAGAATCATCATTCACTAGAATTCTTCAAAAATTATTTCTATTTCAGTTTCATTATCTTTCTTTCCGGTTGGCTTTTTTTGTTGTTTTTTGTCATCCAGTTTAAAAAAATAAGTAATCCATAAAGGGAGTCGAGTAAGAAAAACTAAATTATGGCTGGACAGCAAGTCATCTTTTTCCTTAAAGAATGAAATCTAGGGCCGGGCACAGTGGCTCAAGCCTGTAATCCCAGCACTTTGGGGGGCCGAGGCGGGTGGATCACAAGGTCAACAGATTGAGACCATCCTGGTCAACATGGTGAAACCCCGTCTCTACTAAAAATACAAAAAATTAGCTGGGCATGGTGGCGCGTGCCTGTAATCCCGGCCACTCCGGAGGCTGAGGCAGGAGAATTGCCTGAACCCAGGAGGCAGAGGTTGCAGTGAGCCGAGATCGCACCACTGCACTCCAGCCTGGGTAACAAGAGTGAAACTCCGTCTCAAAAAAAAGGATGAAATCTAGACAAATTTATTCTTTACAACTGGTTAAACAAAAAATTTTAAATTTCAAAAAAAATATTTTCAATGTAAAGTATTACATGGGTAGAGGCCAAAGCTACCCTTGAGAAAAAACTTAGTTGTCATAATGACTATACAAGATTCTGGGCTCTAAGGAGCCGTTAAGACTGCCTGGGAAAAGAAGCTGTATCACTCAGGAAATCTGAGGGAAAGTAAGACAGTTTGCAAATGATTTCTTTGTCAAAGAGATTTGACCCATTTAAAAAACCAAACAATATGATTACAATTCTGGGTGGAGGAAAACTTCCTTAAAACTGAACAGTATTTCTGCCAGGATAAAAATAATATTGTCTGTGTATGTGTACGTGTGCGTGTGTGTGTTTGTGTGTCTATGCAATAAGCATTTTAAACATACAATTAGAATAACATAGTCTAATTTAATTGATATTACATCATAAAGTAAAAGCCCTATTTCTAAATTTAAAGACCATTTTATACCAGATTAGGAAATATCAGATAAGACGCTATACACAAATTACTTTATAATAACCAATGGAATAAGGAATCAAAAACATGCATGCTAAAATTATAAAATCATAGTGTTTATTCTGACCTGGGAGATCATCTCTGAACTGTCCATCCACAGAATAAAACCCTAAGTCCAAAACTAAGTGATCTGCTGAAATCTAAATAGCTGCTGGCCAGAGACATGATTTAAATTTCCATTTTTTTTTACTTTAAGTGTGGAGTTGTTTTACCCAATGTATCAACATTTTACTCCTAAAAGACATTTGTCAGTACTGAGGGAATTCTTTAAGTAATTTCATGTGGGGCCTTTTAAAGCAAATCAAGGTAAAAAATTACATCGTACAAGATTCTAAAATGGCTTCATTTACCACATAGCAGGTCTTCTACAAACCTGCTTCAAATTTTTTCCAAAATTTAGTAATGGATTTAATTTGGAAAGATAAGCTGAAGTTTGAGAAAGCAGTCTGGCTATATCTGGGAGAAAATAATCTTTCAACAGCTGATATCTATAAAAGCCCTGATAAACCCTTTTTCACTCTTATGATAAAAATAACCAGAAACCTGTTAATTGCTCATCTGCTTTGAGAAATCCATAATTTTTAATTATCAAAAATGAAGTACACTCAGTTAATTCTATTTTTTCCTCTTTTCTTATATAGATAGGGTAAGAATAGAACAAACTAAAAACAGATGTAAAAAGCTATTATGCATTACTATTAAATTCATGAGCTATCTAGCGTACATGCTGAGCTTTGATTAAACAATACCTTTTTTGATTAAAGGTTTCTCTTTACCAACTTTATTATAAATAATTCTTTAATTTAATAAAATGCCAGTTAAAATAGCAACATACTCTGAATGCTCTATTCTTCTCTTCTTTCTGCTGTTTCTCCACTTCAACATGGCGGGCTAGACGAGCCAGAGTTAAAGCAACTTTATCCTTCTGATGATCAATATGGTCTTTACGTTTAACATTCTTCTATAAGGGAAAAATAATTTTCATTCCTTAATTAACGAAATTAGCATTTGGATAACACACATTCATCAAACAGCTACTATACTAAAGAACCATTTACTTTAGTTATATCTATAAGAACGTATTTTGTGTATTGTGTTTTATGTGGTGTTTTGTAGGTCTGTCAGTTATCCACCAGGATCTTTGGTTTTCAAGAAGTTAGACAAACGAGTTTCTAGAACATTTATCATCTTTATTTCCTTAAAAGTTGAAGAATGAACTCTTAGATCTGTCAGAGAAGTAGGGTCATCAGGCAAAGTGCTAACCCCCAAAATTGGAGAGAGAGAGGTCAATAAAGAACATCAACTTACTAAAGCAGAAACCTTCTAGTAGGAACCTCCATAGGAAACTAAACTAATGGATGCTTGGCATGGACAAGCCTGAGATTTAAAAACTCCAGGGCCCCTCACATATGATCCCATATTAATAGATGCAGAAAAACCATTTAACAAAATCCAGCCCCCATTCATGATAAAAACTCTCAGAAAAGTAAGAATAAAAGGGAACTTTCCCTACTTTATAAAGATCATCTACAAAAAACCTGTAGCTAACGACACACTTGATGAGAAACAAAGTCTTCAGGCTAAGATACCAAACAAGGCAAGGATATCCCCTCTTGCCACCCCCAGCATTGTACTAGAATTCCTAGCTAATGAAGTAAGATGAGAAAAAGAAATAAAAGGCATACAGATTGAAAAGGAAGAAATAAACTCTTTGTTTGCATCCACGTAGAAAATCCAATATAATTAACAAAACCATTCCTACAACTAATAAGCAATTATAGCAAGGTTGCAGGATACAAGGTTAATGTCAATTGATTTCCTATGTGTCAGCCATGAACAAGTGGAATCTGAAGTTAAAAAACTACCACTTACCTTGGTACTCCCCACTAAATGAAATAGGTATAAATATAACAAAATATGCATATCTGTATGCAGAAAACTATAAAACTGATGAAAGAAATCAAAAAACTTTGTTTTATTTTAATTTTATATTCAAGAGTACATGTGTAGGTTAATTACAAGTGTACACTGCATGGTGCCAAAGTCTGGACTTCTACTGATCCCATTACCCAAACAGTGAACACAGTATTCAACAGGAAGTTTTTCAGGCCTTGTCCCTTTACCTTCTCTCTCTCCTTTTGGAGTCCCAGTGTTTATTGTTCCCAACTTACTCTCCAAGTGAACCCAAGATTTAGCTCCCACTCATAAATGAGAATATGTGATACTTGTTCTTCTGTTTCTGCATTAGTTTGCTTAGGGTAGCAGCTTCCAGCTTCATCCACGTTGCTGCACCTTTGCAGAATTTCATTCTTTATTACGGTTGTGTAATATTCTGCGGTGTACATGTACCACATTTTCTTTATCCAACCACTGATGATGGGCTCACAGGTAGATTCCATATCTTTGCTATTGTGAATAGTGCTGCTATGAACGTACAAGTACATGGTGTCTTTCTGGTGGAATGATTTCTTACTTATTTTTAAGACAGTGTCTCACTTCAACACTCAGCCTGAAGTGCAGTGGCACAATCACAACTCAATGTAGGCTTGACCTACGAGGCTCAAGGAATCCTCCCATCTTAGCCTCCTGAGTAGCTGGGACTACAGGTACACACCACCACACCTGGGTAACTTAATTTGCAGAGATGAAAGCTTGGTATGTTGCTTAAACTGGTATCAAACTGCTAGGCCCAAGTGATCCTCCTGCCTCAGTTTCTCAAAATGCTGGGATTACAAGTGTGAGCCACTATGCCCAGCATTTTCCTTTGGATACCTACCCAGTAATGGGACTGCTAGGTGGAATTGTAGTTCTATTTTTGTTTTTCTGAGAAATCTCTGAACTGCTTTCCAGAGGAGATGAACTAATTTGCATTTCCACCAACAGTGTATCAATGTTTCCTTTTCTCTACAACCTTGCCAGCATCTGTTACTTTTTCACTTTTTAGAAACAGCCATTTTGACTCATGTGAGATGGTATCTCATTGTGGTTTTGATTTGCATCTCTCTGATGATTAGTTATGTTGAGCATTTTTTCATGTTTCTTGGCTGCTTGTATGTTATCTCTTTTGAGAAGTGTCTGTTCATGGCCTTGGCCCACTTTTTAATTAAACTGTTTGATTTTTGTTGTTGTTGATTAAGTTCCTTACAGATTCTGGGTATTAGTCCTTTGCAAATATTTTCTCCCATTCTGTAGGTTGTCTCATAGCTCTGTTGATAGTTTCCTTAGCTGTGCAGAAGCTCTTTTATTTAATTAAGTCCCATTTTTCTATTTTTAATTCTGTTTTAATTGCTTTTGGGGTCTGCATCATAAACTCTTTGCCTAGGCCAACGTCTAGAGGGGTATTTCCTAGGTTTTATTCTAGAATTTTTATAGTTTCAGATCTTACATTTAAGTACTTAATCCCCTTGAGTTAATTTTTATACATGGTGACAGGTACAATTTTACACTTCTGCATGTGGTTAGCCACTTTCCCAGCATAATTTATTGAATAGAGTATCCTTTCTCAATTGTTTATTTCTGTCAAGTTTGTTGAAGATGAGTTGCTGAGTTGGTTGTGCCTGTGCTGCTTTATTCCTGGGTTCCCTAATTTATTCCATTGGCCTGTGTGCCTATTTTTATATTGGTGCCAAGCTGTTTTGGTAGCCCTGTAGTATAATTTGACATTAGGTAATGTGATGTCTCTGGCTTTGTTCTTTTTGCTTAGGAATGTCTTAACTATTCAGGCTTTTTGGTTACATATAACTTTTAGAATAGTTTTTTTTCTACTTCTGTGAAAAACAACATTGGTAGTTTGATATGAACCGTGTTAAACCTATAGGATGCTTTGGGCGGAATGGCCATTTTAAGATATTGGGTCTTCCCACCTATAGGCATAGAATTTTTTTCCATTTGTTTGTCATTTATGATTTCTTTCAGCAGTGGTTTTGTAGTTTTCCTCATAGAGATCTTCCACACCTTGGTTAGATGTATTGTTAGGTATTCAATTTTTTTGTGTGGCTATTGTAAACAGAGGTGTAGTCTCCATTCGGCTTTCAGTTTGACTGCTATTGGCATATAGAAATGATACTGACTTTTTTAGTTGATTTTGTATCAAAGAACTTCTCAAGAAGTAGACAGATACTTCATGTTCATGGACAGGAGACTCACTATTGTCAAGATGTCAATTCTCCTAACTTGATCTATATATTCAATGCAATCACAATCAAAATAGTAACAGATTTTGTGGATAACAACAAACACATTCTGAAGTATATATGCTAAGTCAAAAAATTCCTATTAGTCAACTCAGTACTGAAGGAGAACAAAGTCATAGGACTGACACAATCTGACTTCAAAACTTACTATAAAGCTACAGTAATCAAGACTGTGTGGTACTGTCAAAAGAAGGGACAAACAGTCCAGAAACAGACCCACATAAATAAAGCCAACTGCTCAATTTTGTGGTGATCTTAAAACTGCTCTTTTAAAAAAGTCTATTTTAAGAAAAGAAAAAAAAATAGATCTTCTCTGGGTTTTTTTTTTTTTTCTTTAGCTGGAGTCTTGCTTTGTGGCCCAGGCTGGAGTGGAGTGGCATGATCTTGGCTCACGGCAACCTCCATCTCCTGAGTTCAAATGATTCTCCTGCCTCAGCCTCTGAGTAGTTGAGATTACAGGTGCATGCCACCACCCACCTAATTTTTGTATTTTTAGTAGAGATGAAGTTTTCTCCATATTGGTCAGGCCGTTCTCAAACTCCTGCCCTCAGGTGATCCACCCCCTTCAGCCTCCCAAAGTGCTAGGATTACAAGCGTGAGCCACTAGGCCCGGCCTTCCCTGTATTTTTCTACCATGATGATTGGTTACAAATAAAACATCACTCTCTGGCCAATTCAGTCACATATGTACAACCCAATTTTTATCTGAAGTGGGATAGTGGTACATCAGCCAAGTCAAACAGCAGGTATGACTTCCAGAAGTAGACAGAAGTCATACTGAAGTAAGCATATATAAAAAGGCCAAATTAGTATTTTCAGTACGAGGCTACACCTTTGCAGTAGGGAATGTTTATAGGACCACTTTGGGTAGAATTAACCCCAGCTCACTTTCTGACTACTTGGACAGCGTACAGTCTTGCACCCAGGTAGTAGGTGACATTCTACTAACTTCAAAATATCTTTTTACAAGTTACAGGGCAATGAAAGTCCTTAGAAACAGCAGTCACATGAAGTTATTTTTCTAAACTTTGACCCGTTAGTACAAGCAAATCTGTCTTAAGAGCATATTAATGGTCGAGCATAGTGGCTCACATTTGTACTCCCAGCACTTTGGGAGCTAAGGCAGGATTGCTTGAGCCCAGGAGTTGGAGACCAGCCTGGCTAACAATGCAAGACCTCATCTCTACAAAAAAAGTAAAAGCTTAGCTGGGCATGGTGGCATATGCCTACAGTCTCAGCTACTTAAGCCCAGGAGTTTGAGGCTGCAATGTGCTATATGATCCAGCTGGCACTCCATCCTGGGTGACAACAAAGTGACCCTGTCTTCTAAAAAAAAGGGGGAGGGAAGGGCACATTAAATTTACTCCTTGCAAAAACAACAAAATGTAGGTACTACCTTGAAAAGGAAATTTAGTGTAGATCATAAATAAAAATTTTAAAGATGTTAGTAAAATTTTTAAATGGGCAGAGTGTGTTAACTTTCTTGACAGAGATAATACTTTTTAGGTTTTAAACTTTAACAAAAGTCATGCTTGAAAGTCCTGGTAAACTAAAAGGTCACATTAACAAACAGGTAAAGTAGACAAGGTATAAATAAATTACTGTTTACCTACCAAAACAAAAACAAACAAAAGTGACAGTAATGACAATTCTCCTACAAGGTTAAAAGAAGGGTTGACATTCCTAAATGTGCCTAAATTTGTCTGGAGACTAGAAGCTGCAGAAAACTCATCAAGCTATTATTTCAAGTTGCTACCCTTACACCAAACAAAATTATTACCTACCAAAACATTAAGTCACTTATGTAGTCATGTGGGTGTGAGGATAAAATATCAAGGGATTTTTTTGGTCCCTCTGTAATTTCATGTCACAACAACAATGTGAATATCCTAGGGACAGGAAGAAGGCCATGTTTTGGATAAATTTAGGTAATCCTAACTCAGGAAGAATTACCCTTGAATTGATGTTTCTACTATTATTTTATTTTCTCCTAGGCCATAAGAAAACAACCATTTAAAATTACTTTTGAAGTTAGTCATTCAGGAAATTGCATAATTATTCTTCTTCACGTTTACTTTAAAGCATACTTAATGATTCTGATGCAATACTTTTCATTGACCTTTCCATATACTCTTGATGCAAAGGTCAACGAAAATTAAATTCAGAAACATGGCAATGACATATCCAGTAGGAAAAAATTTCAGTAATCCACTAGTCACACAAGTATGTTCTTAAAACTTTACTCCCTTCGAATTATACTCATGTGCTATCAAAACACACGCACAATACTAGGAAGATAAGCTGTTTAGCCATTTAAACATTCATTTGGATCTCTTCAACTTTACTCTAAAATCAACCTGTAGCCTTACCATCACCTTCTGGAGGTCAAGTAAAATCTGTCGTTATTTACTACAATTATTTTTCTTATTTAGTTATTAGTCTACATATTTTATTTAACTACAAGTTGAGCTTCCCTAATCCAAAAATCTGAAAAATTGCTCCAAAATCCAAAACTCTTTGAGTGCCTGTATGAAACTCAAAGGAAACATTCCTTGGAGCATTTCAGATTTCAGATTTTCATATCAGCAATGTTCAACCAACAGCTGTAATGTAAATATTCCAAAATCCAAAAATATCTAAAATCCAAACACTTCTGTTTCCAAGCATTTCGGATAAAGGACACTCATCTTGTATATGGTTATGTCTCAATGAATTGCCTGTTATTCCCTGCTAATTCTGCCGAACTGTTTATTCTCTTTCATAACACTGAAGGGCTGAAAAAACCCACAAGCCCTAATGCTGAAAACAAAGACATCTTAGAATTGACTCTGCGCTGTCTTCTTCCATCTGACGAGAAAGTTTCTCCTATTTTTGTTCCTTCTTTAGAGCCAGGGTCTTCTGGCTGGACTCAAATCCTGGGCTTAAGCAATCCTCCCACTTCATCCTAGAGTAGCTGGGATTATAGGTACATGCAACCATGCCCACTTCTATTTTATTCTTAAAAAGGAAGAAAAAAAGGAACTCTGGCTACCAACATTGAAAGCAGATTTGGAAGAAATCTGCTAGGAATAGAGGAAAAGGAATGGTAGTAGAGAAAGCAAGGGCTTCAACTCTGAAATCTTTGCCAATTTTGAAGCTAGCACTTTAAAACTGAGAAAACAGATATATTTTTAAAAAGATGTTTTAAACTGGGAAAAGATTAGGTATATGAAGCAGACTCTATTAGTCATATAAAATTTTTCCTTTTTTTTTTTTTGGAGATGGAGCCTCGTTCTGTCACCCAGGCTAGAGTGCAGTGGTGTGATCTCAGCTTACTACAACCTTTGCCTTCCAGATTCAAGCAATTCTCCTGCCTCAGTCTCTCAAGTAGCTGGGATTACAAGTGTCCACCACCACATCCAGCTAACTTCTGTATTTTTAGTAGAGATGGGGTTTCGCCATGTTGGTCAGGCTGGTCTCAAACTCTGACCTCGAGTGATCCACCAGCCTCAGCCTTTCAAAGTGCTGGGATTACAGGCATCAACCACAGCACCCAGCCCATACAATATTTTTCCATTACAAATCTTGGGTTTAGGGGTAAAGGTTGCTGGTTAAAGGGGCCCTGAATTCTTAGCACTGAGAATTTCTACCACTCCCCTAATGCCATGATGCTGAAAGTATAATTTAATGTGAAATTATAAAATTCCAGAACTGCTTTTCTTAGACTGGATTTGTCATCTCCTATAAAGACTATAACTTGAGTTATCGCTTAGGTCTTTGGAGCTTTTCTAAGAAAGATCAGGCTTTGCCAGGCATGGTGCCTCATGCCTGCAATCCTAGCACTTTGGGAGGCTGAGGTGGGTGGATCACGAGGTCAGGAGTTCGAGACCAGTCTGGCCAATATGGCAAGACCATGTTGGCTTCTACTAAAATCTACTAAAAATACAAAAATTAGCTTGGGCGTGGTGGTGTGTGCCTGCATTCCTAGCTACTCAGGAGGATGAGACAGAATAGCTTGAATCCAGGAGGCAGAGGTTGCAGAGAGCTGAAATCACACCACTGCACTTCAGCCTGGGCAATACACAGACTCCGTCTCAAAAACGACAAAAAGAAAGGTCAGGCTTTCAGACATGACTTGAATTAACTTCTCAAGCTAGAATTCAATTGGCTCTGAATCTATGGCAAAAATAACGGGCTTTTAAGTTTCACTGTGAATAATAGCTATCCTCCTTGAAGAACTTCCTATGGTCACCTGGACTAATGTCTTTAAATAAAACACCTAATATTAAAGAGTCCATACCGACAGTAAATAAGTTATCAATGCTGGCCAATCAGTGTTGGGAAGAAGCACAGGAAAGCCTTAGGAAAAATATTGGGGAAATTGGGAGTCCTTTGTTTGCCAATATTTAGATCAATCTTTGCACCAGCAGTTTTCTTCCATACCCAGAATTGCACAGAATTAAGGAGAATGTAAAGCCAGAATAAGCTTAGACGGATTCTGGTTCAGTCATTATGAAATTCTTACATTCTTGAATATACTTGTTTACATTTTTATCCAAAATTTTACGTAAAACATTCACAGAACCAATTTCGGTCGTACCTAGAAATGATAGCCATATTCAGGATACTGGTTACACCTAAGGACACATTTCCATGAAAGTTAAGCATATTCAGGTAAAGCAACAATGCTAGAGAACAACGTTTATCTCTTATGTGTATCCAGGTAGAGTTATAGCAGAAAGTCCAAGTCTAGAAATGACAACCTGACACAAAACCCCTTCATCAATGAAATGATCACGTTAAACTTTACATTTCAATATCTCTTCCCTATTAGTACTTCTATATATAGGCTATATATCGGGGTGTGTGTGTGTGTGTGTGTGTGTGTGTATATATATACACACACGAATTGATAGATCTATTAGATTAGATAATTTTTTTCTGACAGGATCTCGCTTTGTCACCCAGACTAGATAGCAATGGTGTGACCATAGCTCACTGCAGCCTCAACCTCCTGGGCTCACTTAAGTGATCCTCCCACTTCTGCCTCCTGAGCAGCTGGGCCTACAGGCATGTAGCAACATGCCCAGCTAGCTTTTTTTTTTTTTTTTTTCCATAAAGACAGTCTTGCAGTATTCCCAAGCTGTTGAACTCTTGGCCTCAAGCGATCCTCCCACCAAGGCGTCCCAAAGTGCTAGGATTATAGGCATAAGCCACTGTGCCAAGCAACACTCTTATTTTTTAAGTAAAAATGATCCTGTAAATATATATAAATAAAATCTAGAAGGCTATGTAAACCAAAACGTTAAGTAGTGGTTATTTCTGTCTAGACGGTTTTTTCCTTTTCTGTACCTATTCTCTAATTTTTCTACAATCAGCATATGTAATAAAATTGTTAACAAATTTTAATAATTAATGAAAAAGACTATATGAAGACGAAAATGTTAAGGATCTCAATCTTTTGTTTGGGAATATAATGAATTTGGTTTAAATCACTAATTTTACCTTATAAAAATATGTTTAATATCCATCCTCCACAATATAGACAGAAATGCTGCATCTAGAAGGAACATAATCTATTAGTAAATTGTATGTGCTTCTCTGATTTTTGTCCCTAGATGTATAATGACTGCGTTACCTTATTTTCCAAATCCAACAGAAACATATTAATCAAGAATTAAGGAAAGTCACTTTCAGTTCAACAAGCTTAATGGCTATCGGGAAAATATTTTTACACACATTTGAAGCCAAATACCATTACCATTTTAAAGCGAAAAACATTTAGCTAAAACACAAACTTGTATTATTTTTATTTACTTAAGTATATGATTTTCCTAAAAGCATGTTTGATTTTGTATTTTAAAATGTATTCAAACTACTGACGAAAGTACACTTAGTCAAATTAAAAGTTGAAACCTAAAAATACATGCTTATTCAGCTCACACAGACCTGACCTTCCTCTATTCTTGTTTGGAATGTAAATATAGAAAGTAGGATTCTTAGTTTTTCCAGTTACAAAGATAAGTTCTCTTAATTGAGTTTGACTAATTTGTTCAAGAAGAAGCTAATTAAACACTAAAATTAATTTAGCTAAATTTCTACTTGAGAAACTTCAGATGAACGCTCATGACTTCACAGGCGAACTTTCTTTTAAAATTTATCTACAAATGCCTATTTCTTGAACAATTCACTCTCGATCCTGAAAATGTCATACGGTTTAGGGAGCTCAATGCCAGGCAAAACTAACTCTGAGCTATTTATTAAAAACTTTTCTTAAAAGAGCCATGAATATATTTTTTACAAATAGTAAATTCAGGCAGATCTTTCACTTTATTCTTCATACATCACTCACCATAAAGCTGAGCCTCTGAGTAACTTCTTACTGTGCTAACTACCTAAATCAGTACATAGAAATGTTTGCAAAGATCAAATCAAAGGAAATGCAGAATTAATGGAGTGATTTTGCTTTTGCAAAGCAATTTCTAGAACACAATATTAAAAAGCAGGACTAGGTAGAGAAAATATAGTACATACACACCATGGACTACTATATGGCCAAAAAAGAATGAGATCATATCCTCTGCAGGAACATGGATGGAGCTGGAGGGCTTAGTGAACTAACACAGGAACAGAAAACCAAATATGCATGTTCTCACTTATAAGTGGGAGCTAAATAATGAGAACCAATGGGCACAAATAGGGGAACAGCAGACACTGGGCCTACTTGAGGGAGGAGAGTGGGAGAAGGGAGAAGACCAGAAAAACAATTACTATCAGTTACCTTCCTAATACCTAGGTGACAAATTAATCTGTACCCCAAACCCCCGAGACACAAGTATACCTATAAAACCAAACAAACCTGTACATGTACCCCTGAACCCAAAATAAAGGCTTAAAAAAAAAAAAAGAACAAAGAACAAAAAGCAGGGCTTCATAGAACAACTTATTTTATAATGGTTCTTAGCACTGTACTACTTTGCAGCTTAATGCTAAACAAATGACTTGTAAATCATGATTACTAATTTCTAAAAAGCACTTTAGTTCTTAACGAACCAAAAAGCTTCCAGTTTATGTTTTCTACAAAATTACTTTAACGGAAAATGAATATATTATCAATATTAAATCACTAGACCTCTCTGTGAAATGAATAATTTTGCTGCATCTACACACACATGGTGATATAACCTAGGAAGAAAGCACTCTACAAGAACATTACTACCCTGTGAAGTGACCACAACAATCCAGTTTCCTATCTGACTCACCATAGGCATATTCTAGCTACTGAAAAAGTCAGTAATAAGAAAAGATGGAATTTGTAGGAGGGAGGAAGGTAAAGAATAAGGTGAGGGTATATACACAAAACAATCCAAGGCAGAGGTTTATTTATGATCATAATATCTTCCTGAACATGAGCTGGCATAGATAATACAGAGGAGCACTAACTGGAGACTATTTCTTTCATAATCTCTACCTTCTATGTAAGGGACTCCAAGTTCAAAGAAAACTCAAAGCAACAACCAGCTGCGAAAGAATTAACTTTGCACATCATCAAAGTATCTGACTAGTGCATTTGGTTTGAACAGAATTCCTGCAACGAATGGATTACTTCACAGAAACTCAATTTCAAAGTCTGCTTATGATGACTGCCAATCCTAAAACTTCAATCCATAGTTTGGTCTGAAATTTGCACTCCGCAAAAGTTCTGTTTACCAGAAGCCCCTTCTACCCAACTTATATTCTACCCAAACCGTATCCCAAATAACACTTTGAAAAGCAATGGTTTTTCCTCAAGAATTTCATATCCAAATACGGATAAAGCAGAAGAGATAAACACAGCAAAACTGTGCAATATTTATTTACTGTCTCCAGCAGCAAAGCTTTAGAACCAGGAAAGCAGCTTTTAACAAAGCAATCTCCTTCCCACCCCAACTAGTTGTTTACAAAGTACACAGATCTTCTTTATATGAACAACTCTTAAAACATACATATAGATATACCCCATTCTGTAAAGTACCTTATTCAGTTAAGAAGGCTAGTCCCAGCAAACCTGTTAAAAAAGATTTTCCTATATTAACATTTGAGTAAATTGCCAACATCTATTTCTATAAAAATCCTTTTAGGAAAATGACTTTCATCTTCCTTCAATACAAGACCAAAAATAACAATAATAATAATAATAATACAACTTTGGAACTTATGAGAATTTTAAAATATATGACCAGGTGCAGTGGCTCATACCTACAATCCCTGCACTTTGGGAGGCTGAGGCGGGTGGATCACCTGAGGTGGGTAGATCACTTGAGGTTAGGAGTTCAAAACCAGCCTAGCCAACATGATGAAATCTCGTTATCTACTAAAAATATAAAAATTAGTCGAGCGTGGTGGTGGGTGCCTGCAGTTCCAGCTACTCGGGAGGCTAAGGCAGGAGAATCACTTGAACCTGGGAGGCGGAGGATGCAGTGAGGCGAGATCACACCACTGTACTCTAACCTGGGTGACAGAGCGAGACTTGGTCTCCAAAATAAAACAAAACATTAACTCTGAATATGAAGTGTGACAAAGCCAAAGGGAGTTACAATTTCTTTACCCTGAGTGGCACTGTTCTGCCACTGACACAGAAGGAAAAAAAAAAAGATGAACTATAGAGAAGATAAAAGTAAAAAAGGGAGTGGGGCCTGGTGTGGTTGTGGCTCACACCTGTAATCCCAGCACTCTGAGAGGCCGAGGCCGAGGATCACTTGTAGTCAGGCGTTTGAGACCAGCCTGGCCAACATGGCGAAACCGCCCCCCTCCATCTCTACTAAAAATACAAAAAATTAGCCAGGCATGGTGGCACATGCCTGTAATCCTAGCTACTTGGAAGGCTGAGGCAGGAGAATCACTTGAACCCAGGAGGCAGACGTTGCAGTCAGCCGAGATTGCACCACTACACTTAGCCTGGGCACCACAGTGAGACTTTTTTTCTTTTTTTAAGGCAAAGGTGGCCAACGGCAAGGAAAGAAACTTAAGAGAAAAAAACAAATGGGAAGTTGACAAAATGTGTTGGAGCTGCTAGAGATATTACTGGCATAAGGTCTACAACCTGGTTTCCTATCTTTATCATCTAAAGAGGATTCTGGTGATTATGAACACACTTCCAATACAACACCTCCAAATGCCAATGAAGCAATATTTTTCTAAGTATCTTTATTTTCCCCAAGTCTACCTAGAAATTATCTGTAAATCAAAACACAGGGCAATTAACTACTTTTAGCTACCGTGGAGGACACCTTTCCAGAGGTGACTGTGAACTATGCAACCATTTAACAATGAAGTGATACCACATTCCACTTCAGAGGCATTACCCTGCTAATCCTCGGAGTTGTTTTCTACCAGAACCTCAGTTCTTTCTGATTGCTTGAGCTGCCCGAGTCAGAGGTGAACTGCTGAAAGCCCTTCGTGGGCTCAGTTCTGGGAAAGAATTGTTCTGGATGTACATACTGGACTATAGTACAAAGTAACCCCTAGACAGATAACTTCTAGAGCCTTACAAGTAATGGCTACACAAACTTAGCACACTTTGAATATGTAGGAACTAATACATATTCATGGATAATTTATCACCTTTCTTTCTGTTTAGTCTCCTTCATTTCTGTTCTCCCTAAACACTATTTCTTATCATTCTGAAATCAGACACACCCCATTATGTTCACCACACTGTTGCACACTCCTGTTCCTCCACCTGAATGCCTGGCTCCTGTTTCTCTACCAGGCCAACTAACTTTTGCTTAATCATCCTCCAAAACTCAGCTCATGAACTTGGTAAGAAAAGCTTCCCTCACCCCCCTATATGGCCTTTTTTGTTCCATCACCACAGGCATTCTTCCAAACAGGACAGCTGCTCTTATACTTTATTGGTATTTATTTCTCTTGAGAATATACCATCTCTTATTAACCCTCAGTATTCTCAGACCTCTCTCAGTACCTGCCTGCGCATAGCAGGTACTGTAAAAGATGTTTGACAAAGATTGTTTTCAACAGATATAAAGTAACAAAATACCATCTATCAAAAATCATATACACATACATATACACTCTAGTTCTTCATTCTACATTCTCTTATTATTGTTTATTATGAGCATTTCTTAGCTTGTACTTGAGAAAAGAGACTATTTTACTTTAAATATATCTTTTAATGACTTAGTACACTGTTAGGCTTGTAAGATAGCCTTAAAAAACATAAAAGGGGGAATATGATAACATGGCATGAAATAAACATTTACATGCTGTCAAATACATTTTAAAATATATGTATCTATATCCAATACCATCCTACAGTTACAAGAAATCTATAAATATGAATAGAAACAGTACAATTACTTAAAAAAGGAAATCTACATCAGGCTTTAGTGTTTTCAAAGTACTTTTGGATATTACCTCATTTAAGAGTAGGAAAACTGAGGCTAAGAGAATAAGTGACTTGCTAATACTGAGGATCAAGGCCTTTGGAATTCAAATACCATGTGCTTTATACCATTCAATTTTCCTTCCATTAAACCAATAACCTCAAAATGGCAGTTTAAGAAAAAAAAAAAAGGTAAGTATATATATGAAACAAAATGAATGTAATAAGTCAGAACAAAGAAAAAACACAAGCAATAGGGTTAACATAGTGCTGAAAATGAATGGAAACAGAAACCAGTGACTATGAATCAATAATAAACAGTCCAGCACAGTGAAACCTCAGTAGAAGAACTAACAGGATAAGGTTCCTGATATGACAAGTGAAATAATCAGGATTCAGTTAATATAAGACATCAAATACTAATGGGGTGACAGTAAAGCCATAAACAAAGTTCTGAAAAGAACAAGATTGTTTATGTAAAATTAATTTACCATAGAAGATTTAAATGGGGTTTTGAAAAACACATGGAGGCAGCCTAGTATAATGTCAAATTGAGATTGGAAAAAGTCTGTATTTAAAGTCTGTATTAAAGTCAGTTCCACCACCTGAGCAAGTTGCTTAATAACTCTTTTAAGTTTCAGTTCTTCATCTGCAAAGTAACAATGAATTTCTCTCTCAAGAGTGCCTTGTAACCAGCACAGAGCCTGTACTATAGGCTATGCAAATGTAGATTCTTTCTTCTACTGTCTTTCCAGGCAGGAAGATGACAATTAGACACAAGGCTATAAACATGCTTCCAAGACCTGTTAGAATACATAGAAGTTGTTCTAAGCCATTAAAGAAAGATCAATATACAAGCCACTCTGTCTGTGCCAAGAATCTAAATGAAACTACTTATATAACTATACTCTACTGAAGGCAGAAAGGAATGGGCTGAATACCTAACAGTAGTTAAATGTAAATTAATATGTAAAAAAAATGAATTGAAAACTGTGTTTAGTGACTTGGGTAAATGTTTTTATTATTTTATCTCATCATCCACATCACTGTTACCCCACCAATCAAAAGAGGTGTTAAGGGACCACAACATGATAATTATTTAACACATTACTACGTTTATAAATCAAGGTAGTGTGAAACATAGCCATCACAAATAAAAGTAGGAGTTAACAAGAGGTCTATCAAACTGTAGCCCTTAAAAGTGAATGCCGTGATAGAGCCACTCTTATAGGTAATGAAAGAAAAAAGTACTATGATAGCTCATGGAGAAAAGATAGCATACGAAAGTTAAGTCTTACAAAAGGATTCCTAACTAAACCTATAACATAATACTTGAAGCAGTTAAGGTCAAAGTAGAATTTTTAAAAGTATCACCAAATATAAGCTATTTACTTTCATTAACCAAAGGAATATACTCAGGAATACAAGAAAACACCACCACTTGAAAGATCTCCAAAGTCCTAAAAGAAAATACAGACAACCTGAAAATTCTTATTGAATTCTTGACAAAGTATCAAAACACCCAATAGACCATTTGAAATAGTTACCTCAACCTGTAAAGCCCTTAAAACCTAGAGAAAATGGGTAAACTTTAAAATACAATATATCACAGCTATACTATAATAAATCCGTGGCGATGGGCTTCAAAATTTTACAAGATGCATATGACTCTAAACTATATATAACAAATTTGTGTGAACATGTAGAAATGAGAAAGTAATACTACCATTAAGCAAGGCAGCACTAAAAGTTGATTTAAGTTCAAAAACCAAAGTACAGTTTGAGATATTGGACTGGCTATATTTTTTTGAAAAGGGACATTAGAAGAAACTAGAAAATCTCTTCTAACAATGTTTAAGACATGGTATTTAAATATACAATACAAAGCCACATCAAAATCTTGCCTAATATACACTGATAGAATAAAAAATATAATCTACATCGAAGAGATTATGGGAAGATCAGACATTCTTTCAGAAAGAGGTGCTGAATACGGGAGAAGAAAAGGTCAAAACAAAGAATAACTGATATGCTAACAACATCAAAAGGACATGGTTGGGCTGTGACCACTTCCAGATATATCCCACAGGAAGCAAACAAAATTTCCAGTAATAAGTTATCTCAATGGTACCAAACACTTCTAAAGTTTCCATTACAACAAAAATCAAGTAAATGAAAAGACAAAGAAGTACAAATATCTCCCACTAATAAGATAAGATTTAATAAAACAATATTCTCTTCATCCAGGAAGGGAAATTTCATAAAATAATTTTTAATGGTTTATAAAACTCAATATATCTGGAAAAATAAAAAGATTTACATTCAATACAATAATCATGTTTACTAATAACTTCTACCTATATATTTTCTTAGTAAAAAATAAAGACTGGTTTGTGTATCTACTATGATAAACCATACAGAATTGATCTAGTCAATTGAATCACATGCATAAGATGCATACAGATGAGACAATCAATTACTGGACTAGCCACTAACATTAAGTACAGAATGGTAAATTCCAAAAGACAAGAGAACCTAAACAGTGCAAGACTGCGGCAAAATATGCCTCACATAAAAAAAAGATTTCACAGCCAGGCACAGTGGCTCATGCCTGCAATCCCAGCACTTTGGGAGGCCGAGGAGGGACGATCACCTGAGGTCAGGAGTTTGAAACCAGTCTGACCAACATGGAGAAACCCTGTCTCTACCAAAAATATAAAATTAGCCAGGCATGGTGCACATGCCTGTAATCCCAGTTACTCAGAAGGCTGAAGCAGAAGAATTGCTTGAACCCGGGAGGTGGAGGTTGCAGTGAGCACTCCACTGCACTCCAGCCTGGGCAAGAGTGAAATTCCATTTCAAACAAAAACAAAAACAAAAACAAACAAAAAAAAAAGGTTTCATTTATTGCAATCTTTAAACAATTTCTACAAAGATCTAATCCACAATATCAAGTCTTCATCAGAATCCTAGTCAACTAGTTGTATCTTCAAGAATAATGAACATCATGTCCATCCACCTTGGTACCCAATTTTACCAGACAATGGAATTCTGGAATGTCTTTTTCAACCTCCTTGTTTACATTACCTGAGAGGTTATCCTGGATGTATCAGGTCCTTAAGGACATTATCAATCAGGTCACTTAGGTATCACTCAGTAAATTATTAGTGTAGTATTAATACAGCATACTAAACAGTGTCCAAGTAGCCTGAAAGAGTTTATGCTCCCTTCAAAATGTCATTTTGAGGGCTAAGTAAATAAATGGAATTATACTGATAAAGAAGCTGCCACACAGTTAAAAAAAAAAAGTTTAAATGTAATTATACTGATAAGGAAGCTGTCATTCAGTCTTTTAAAAAAAAAAAGATAAAGTGTCAGTAAATTTACTGCTTTTTAAAAATGTCCTTGCTTATTCTAACCAAGTAAACACATCCACTTATCAAATATAAGTTGTGTTACCATGGCTAAAAACAAGGTTAGATATGAGACAATCAGAAAACCTAGAACATATCTACAGAAAACAAAGCTGCCTTAAGGCCCCCCCAGAATTGGCCACTCACTAATAACGAAAAGAAACTACTGTCTAGTTAGTTAAATAAGGGGGAGGAAGGTATTCTACAACCTTCTGAAATGAATCAACAGTGCTATAAAGAAAACAAATTAACATTCAGAAGGGAGTACATTTAGATAGTGCAATTGTACAAATGACACAGTAATAAAGTACAAGATTAAATCACTGTACAAAACTCACATAAATATCACCAGCAATATATGTAAGACATCAAAGTTTAAGATTTAAAGAAAAGGGTAGAATTTAAAAAGGCACTTCATATAAAAATGGAAACAGTACTTCTCTATACACAGTAACCACAAGAAACTATATTGTCTCTGTATACATTTTATATCTAATCAAGAAATAACATTTTGAAGGAAAAAGATCATTAGATACATCCTTTTTGAGAATACCAGATCATTAAACTTGCAACGATTCCGAGGCCTCCTAGAAAACCTAGAGGTATTTAAACATTAGAGGCGGGCCTAGTAGAGAATTTTGTTGCAGGCTCTGCACATGGCAGGCATAATATGAATATTTATTAACTGACTAATTAAGAGTTTCTGATTGTATTGGGGTCATCTCCCTAGACCAAATCCCCACTTTAAGTTTTATAACATTATCATCATTCAAGTATGCCAGAGATTTTTAAATAATAAAAAATAAACACATTAAGGGTATTTCTTTTGCAGTCAAGAAACTAATCTGTAGCTAAAAACTCCTCCTAATCTGCATTCTGTCCCCAACCCTATTAAACTTATCAAATCCTTTCAGAACTTGTTGGTCACCAATTTGATGTTTTCCCAATACCTTTACACTTTGAGTAAAACAGAGTATTCAGAGATACTTGGGCATATCAGTGAGAGTAACTAAGAAAGGATACTTTTACTTAATTACTGAGCAACATAAATATCACAAGAGGAAAAGAGAACAGCAACATCTTCTTACCAATATTTGAGAACTGAGGAACTGTGCAACAATGTGAATAGTCAACACTACCATAGGCTTAAAAAATGGTTAAGGTGCTAAACTTTACGTGTCTTTTTTTTTTTTTAACCACAATTTAAAAGGCGAAGGGGAGGAGAAGCACATTAAAGGGAAGTGCCAAAATAGTTTCAGACAATCACATTTTCAGGCATAACTTATTTTGGTTTAGTCTAAGGTCTGAAATAAGGGTATTTCAAAAACCACCAAGTTTATGACACAGCATCTAATTCACGGAAGGAAAAGGGGAGAAATGGAAAGTAAAGAGTCTGAAGTAGCCTTAGCTAGTAGGGAACTTGTTAGTGGCAAATCCTCTAAGATAAAACTACAGTGCCAATATCGAGAGCATATGAGATTGCTTGATTGGTGGAGTACACATAAGCTACAAAAATCTATGTATGATTTCTCAGGCCTTTGTTTCTTTTCAGGTAACCAATATTCTTCTAGAATTTGGTTTGAAAGACAGTTTGTAGAGAACATTGGCATGGACCTATTTCCACAGAAGTAGAAATAAAACTTTGTGTAAAATACAAAAGAAAATAAGGTAAATATTAACTCTTTATATGACTGGGCTAAATTTGCAAAATGACATCCTCTTTATTAAGAAAAGTTCAAGTTTAACCTACAAATAGGACAAACAAGACCAGTATCCTGAAGTTATCTGACAAAATAATTTCTTCCAAGTAGGAAAATTTATGCCTTCAACCACTGTAGCACAAATAAGGAAGAAAAGCAGATTTAAAAATGGATGCTGAATATGATTACAATGAGGCAGTAGGAATGAGCTTCCAATAAACTATTAAAAAGTATGGCACCAGAGAAAATGTCAATTACCACTGTGCAAGAACTATGGCAAGAAAAGAAACCACATAAACCATAAAATAGTGCCATATTCCATTAGTAGTATACACAAAATGTCTTGATCAAGATGAAAAAAATGCAGAAGTTACAGTATTTAAGTCTGTCAATGAAAAGAAAAACAACTGTTTTTGGCTGCAAAGTAAATAATACTAGGTGATATATTCAGACCCCTCAAACTTGACATATTCTCCTTTCTTGATGTCATACTGTGATGACATGGATCTAAGGGCTGATATATCATACATCCACTACCTTGAGTCTAAAGATAAGATACTGTGGGACATATAATTGAGGTATCTGCTGCCAGTTCCAGTACGGTGAAAAACTATTACTAGGACCAATTGGGAGCAAAAAGATAAGCCATCTATTACAGTAGGAGTCTGACTAAATTAACCAATTAACCAAGAATGTATCGCTTAAGTCTTGATTTCAGCCTTTCAAATCAATGGATATCATCACTTAGATATCCAGAAACAGAACTGTGTGGCTTGTTCTCTTCACTACATCCACAGCTATGCTTTAAATCTTAAGGATTCTCAATAAAATCTAGATGGATGGTATCCCTCTTTATTACAGTAAGAGGACAAGATTGTCAGGCATGTTTGGAATTCTTGCTCTTAAGAGTTCAGATCTGCATGCCTGGATGGTGTGTGTAACATCCTTTATTTCCAGGGCACTGATGTGCATAACTTTTTTGTACTTAGGAGTGTGATACACTATCAAGCTCAAAAGAATTACATGTTTAGAAGGTAGGTTGTTTAAGAAGGCCATCTTGGTGAAAGGCCCAGCTTATAGTGAGACTACCATGACTCAGTCATACAGCTTGATATGAGAGCTTGATAGGTCAAAGATTATTAGGATTGATGACAACGAAGAATTCTCTCACATATAGCTTTATGAGTAGTGATGGTATGGTGGCCATCAAAGTCTTGATGAAGATACTGTGCGATTTCTACAGAGATGTTACAGGTAGAAGTCTTTTTCCGATTGGTGTCCATAGTAGACCTGTGACATCTAGACATTCCAAAGGGAAGCAAATTGGATCTGGCAAAATTTGATTTGAATTCTAGTTGACCCAAAGCTTCATGGCTAATTCTGAAGTCTCACAGAGCTTGATAGTAGTATGAACTCTTGGTGAGTTGACCATCTTGACATAAAGACATTGTAACAGATGTGTCATTTTGTGAAGATCTGTCAAACTGAAGCCTAAACAAGGAAGCACTGATAACCTAAAAATGAAGGATTTACTTCTGGTCTCAGTAAACAGAGATCTAGTATTAGATTATTTCTAGATTCAAAATCTGCTAGTCCTCAGCTTACAAATAAGATTTTCCTGAGGAACAAATCTTTACATTTTTCTTTAATCACAAGAGGATTCAGATTCCTGAGTGGTCCTCCTCCAAACTTATTTTGGACCAGAAATAACGGATTAACATCTGGTCAACCCTCCTTTCAAGAAAGTCTCCACTGCTCACTTGGCCAATAAATCATGAGTTTATTATAATATTTCATTTCAAAAGTCTAGAATTCAAACATCAGCTGTGATCATTCCAGACATGCATTTAGTTTTTGAGATGATTTCCTATCTGTAGATCCTGTTTGTACAGGAGGAACAAGTAAAATAGTTAAGATCTTGGATGACTATCCTGCTGAACACAAAACAGGTTATTAATTCTTATACCCATGGCGTTCTGGAGACTCTCCCTTCTTTCTGTATCTATAGGGGTGGTTTCGAGGTTTGTACCAATCCCCTTTGGAGTATCCTCTATTGTGATAATGTGCTTTCTGATCATGACTATAAAAGTATCGATGCTGATTATAGTATTTATTGTGATCTTTATAGTCATTTTCTTTTATACTGCTCTCTTCTGCAACAACAGCTTTTACATCTTGTCCAAAAAGGGAAGTACCATCAAAGGGCAAGTGGGAGATCTTCTCCTGGGTTTTCTTGGTGAGAGATGTAAGTCGAAGCCAGGCCTGCCTTCTGTAGTCTATGGCCATGGCCATAACTCTGACTACAGAGTCCATTATGTCCCTAGTAGTACAAAGTTGCCAAAGGCCTGCATCCATACCATCAGATATAATACATCTTGCTTTTCCACGATCAAACTCTGGGTCATGAACCAGATCTTCCATGTCTTCCCAGAGTTTACGCTGATACTGAGTCATATAAGCCATGTAGCTAGCAGCTCGAGCTGCAATTGAGGCAGCATGGTAAAATCTACAACCCATGACTTCCATTTCTTTTGAGGTAGAATCTAGAGGGGATGTTGTGTTTCCTCTTTTGCTGTGTTCTAATGCTTCTACAATGGGGCCTTCAGCTGGTGGGTTTGGTTGAAAAGGAGAGGTGTCCTTGGCCACAGGATATACTCTATGTCCCATGAAGGAAGAAGGATGACAATCAGCAGGGTCTTTAAAAACCTCAGTGGTGGCAATTCTCAGAAGAGGATGTAATGGAGGAACCAAACGTTTTTTAGAGTTCACACAATCAGGTTTCCCTTCACATGATTCCGCTTCTGATTGTAATGTCACCCTTTTTATAACACCTCTTTGTTCCATTCTCTTCAAAAGACCTGTGAAACTAGATTGGCTGGGGTCAGATGGCTGCCCTTTGTCATCAGTTGTTGGTGATTTGTAATCAGTTTCTTCTTCAACTGTGGATAAACTTTCCTCCTTAGAGGTGGAGATGTCCCAAGGAACTGAGGAATTCTCATTTGGCCTAGAATGATGAAATCTAAAACAGCTCCTGGACTGCAGATCACGTATGACTCGGGACATCTCAGCTACTTGTGTCTGGAGATAGAGGATGGCATCCTGTCCATGCTGTGAAGCTGAAGAAGAATCTATATATAAATTCTCTTTGACCTCAGAAGAGGACAAAGATTCCTGGGGGACCAGAAGTGGAGATGAAGGCAGAGTGTGAAAATTCTGTGATGATTTAAGGGTCTGTGTCTCAGAGATCTTAGTATCTGAATTATTTTGATCATTTTTCTGGTTCTCCAATGGGTTCTCAACAGAGGAAGTTTGAGAAACTATCCTTTCTGGACTGCTGGAACAACTCCCAGAGAAGGAGCTGCTATCTCCAATGGGAAGAGGAACATTGCAGCTAGAGCACATTTCTGGGCGATGATTCTCAGAGGATGGCACCTTAGATTCAGGCATTCTCTGGGTTATCCACATGAACAAGAAAACCAAGGAAGAAAAAAAATATGCTTTTAATATGTTAACTTTCAAGTGCAGAGATTCATGTCCAGTAAGTAGAACTCAATTTTTTAATTATTATAATTAACAATGAAAGGTACAATCCACTCAACGTCAGCAAAAGGAATCAGAGAAGTCAAATCCACAAGCTTCACTACCCCAAAGACCCAATATGCCAATATCAACTATTGGAATTAATCTGGGACTCTGTTTACAAGAAAGGAGAGTGTAAAAACAAGCTCAGCTCATGTGGTGCTACCCTGGCCTGCCGTTTGGTCCCGTGTTAGTATAAGAATAAGTGCTGAGACCACTCATAAGAATAAAAGGAAAAAACATTCCATTCAAGATATGTAAGTTCTATTCAAAATACGCAAGAAGCTAATGATGGCAGAGAGAACTTAAGGAAAGTTCCACTGAGAAGAAAAAAAAATCTACAACTCCCCATTAGAGTCATTTTTAAGCCCCTTTGAAAATTTTGCCATTCATTCTACATGAATAACAAAATTTTCCAGTTGTAAAGTTCTACTTTATGGTGGGTACTTAAACGGAGTTATAATTTGTTACCTCATTTCACCCTCACAACAACCCTGTGAGGTAGGTATTATTCTTATTTGATTAAAAAACGGAGATTAAAAGGTTACTTAATTTATCCAAAGTCGCAGAATTTGTAAGTAAAGCTGGGACTCAAACCCAGATATTCTGATTCCAAGTCCAGGTCTCAATCCCCTGTATCACAGAGCAAGAAGCTTTGTGGCCACCTTGAACAATAAGAGATCACTAATCCAACAAGAAAACAGCCCATTAACAGAAGTTTGAGCTAAAACAAGGACAAATGAAAGGCAAGACTGTTACAAAGGGCTCAACTAGTTCAATTCTCAGAGCAAGGGAAGTATTGGTCCTAGGGTCAAACCCACAACCAGTACGTCACAGGTAAGATAACTCCAAATATGTGGGGCACAGACAAGGTTAAAGGGATGACAACTGAAGTCATATATCTCCTATAAACCCTTCTCACACTTTCCATTGCTTAAAGGATCTTTACATATCCTTTTTCCTAAGATAAAACAAATTTTCTGTGGTCATGTGGCTCTGGAACAAAAGAATCCAGTTCTATAGGGCACCTGAGGAAGAGTACAGGAAAAGAGAAGGGAAAGAGGAATCAATAAGCTTGCAGTTTTTATTCCATTTCCCTTTTATCAGATATCACCTCTAAGCCGTACCAGTTCCCAGTCATATTATCATTTTTTCATATCCTCACCCAAAGTAGAGGAAAAAAACTGGAAGTAGGAGATCTGGGCAAAGGACTCCTTTGACTACCTATTTTAGCTCATTCTAATAGAACTCACTATTTCTAAATGGCCATCACTGATTTGATAACTCTCTTTACAGAATCCCTCTTAAAAGACACAACGGAAGAAACGCAAATCAAATGTAATGTACTTACATCTGTATGAGAGGTGCTAGGCTCTTCATCATCACTGCTGACTAGATCAATGTATTCAAGAACAGGTCGTAATGGTCCTTCCTATAAAGGATCAAGCAAATTTACAAGTCATGAACAGTTATTCAAACCAAACTAGCATTTAAAACTCTAGTGTTTTTTGGTTGAGACTGCCAAGAATTACTCTGAAGAGGCAGATTTATAGATAGCAGAAAATAACCAGAACAAAAGCAGCAGAGGAAAATACGCAAAATACATAAATGTAAAATGATGACAAGGAAGGACCTAAGCCCCTGTAGAATGTGGCAGGAGAATAGCTTAAACCCGGGAGGCAGAGGCAGAGACGCTATTTCAAAAATAAAAATGGGGGCCATGTCAATTACTTAAGAAAGAAAAATTAATACAGAAACAGTACTACAAGGATACAAATATTATAATCCAGTGCTTTACACCTAGAATGGGTATCCAAAGTCTGTTAATAAGTCAAATAATTCATTTTTGAACTTGGACAAACAGCTGATCTTCATCACCCACCATTGCAGAGTCAAGCATCAAACCTGAATTCTTCTCCATTCTTTCTTTCCATCCATGCCAATTTCTTCACTGACCAGGCCTTGAATGTCAGGCTTACAAGCCTAGATTTTATTCAAAAGGCAAAGAAAATCAAAAATAATAAGAGAATAGCATAAGAACTGTGTTTCAAGAAGATCAATCACACAGAGGAGTATGGAGAACAGGGAAAGCCAGATAATTAATTAGTAAAGGCACAGGATAATGTAGAACTAATGTGATGATAGCAAGAAGAGTATGGTAGTAGACATATAAGAGAATACAAGTAAAATGGAAAACTAAAAAAGACTGATTAATTAGGCCATGTCCAGTGGCTCACACCTGTAATCCCGGCATTCTGGGAGGCCAAGGCGGAAAATCATCTGAGGTTAGGAGTTCGAGACCAGCCTGGCCAATACAGTGAAACGTCATCTCTATTAAAAATTCAAAAATTAGCCAGGAGTGGCGGTGCATGCCTGTAGTTCCAGCTACTCAGAAGGCTGTGGCAGGAGAATAGCTTAAACCCAGGAGGCAGAGGCAGAGACGCTATTTCAAAAATAATAATAAAAATAAATAAAGATTATTTAAAAAAACAAAAAACAAGGAGTCAGTTATCTGTAAGGTTTTAAGCTCAGGTGTCTACAAGAATAGTAATGCCATTAGTATAACTCTGGAAACCAGAAACAGAAAGCTGACATTCCTATGGGCTGAAGTAACAGTGGTACACAGGGGTACCTAGCAGACAGATGGAAATGCAGGCCTCTAATCTGGGAAGTACGAACATACCTGGAAATAAAAATTTGAGGGCTTTTCCCCCAGAAGACTATAAACTCTAGAACTAAACTGAACTATCATATCGTCTCAATAAAAAGCTGTCAATGTTAAATGTGGCCAGAAACACAGCAACAAGAAAATGCCACTGAATGTGGCAACCGGGTATTTTTTTAAATGTCTTTGAGAGCGCAACTTTCAAGAAAGTAGTGAGCATAGAAGTCTGGCTCTAAAACATTAGAGAATGCAGTAGAAAAGGCCATATTCTTTTGAGAAATCCAATATGTTAGAAACAAGAGAAAGGAACATGGGAGAAGAAATAACGGCTGAGGAAAGGATTTTGTAGAATTGTAGAAAGCTGACTGTTGGAGACAGAAGCTGAGATTTAGGTAATGATCTTCTTCCCTATAAGAGGCATCCAGTCTTAAAGATAGCTTCTTTCTCCCCTAGGCTATGACTTCTGCTCAACCAAGAAACTGCCATCTTTTGAGTACTAATTCAGACACCAAGATAAAACAAGAGGGCAAAATTGGGCAGAAATCTGTAACAAAAGAATTGGAATTTTTACTCCAACTGTAAAGACAGAAGCAAAAAATAAAGGATCTGACAAACCAATACTCTCCAACATATGGTCAAAAGAGCTGAATCACCTGCTTTAAAACTAAAATCTATATGTGGTAAGAATGTCAGCTGGACACAGTGGCTCACCCCTGCAGTCCCAGCACCTTGGGAGGCCAAGGCGGGTGGATGACTTGAGGTCAGGAGTTTAAGACAAGCCTGGCCAACATGGTGAAACCCGTCTCCACTAAAACTAGGACAATAAGCCGGGTATGGTGGTGGGCGCCCATAGTCCTAGCTACCCAAGAGGCTGAGGCAGAAAAATCGCTGGAGCCCAGCAGGCAGAGATTGCAGTGACTGAGATGGTGCCATGGCACTCCAGCCTGGACAACAAAGCAAGACTCTGTTATCAGAAAACAAAAAAATGAAATTGTATGTTCAATCCAAGAAGAAAATAGAGGAGATTAAAATATGACAGCTTTTCCCATTGATACAATCACCTTACTTTGTTCTCTTCAAGAAATATCCATTAGGAACCTTCATTATGGGCCCACAGAAATAGCAAATCACAAAAGTCCCCAGGGAACCAGAAATACAGAGGCAGAGTTACCATGCACAGAAAGTAAAGAGGAAATGAAAAATGACAGGATGCTATATATAAAAAGTAAAATGGACCAGAAAAAAATAAGAAAAATGGGCTAGACACAGTAGCTCACACCTGTAATCTCAGCACTTTGAGAGGCCGAGGCAGGCAAATCACATGAGGTCAAGAGTTCAAGACCAACCTGGCCAACATGGTGAAACCCCGTCTCTACCAAAAATACAAAAAATTAGCCAGGTGTGGTGGTGGGCACCTGTAATTCCAGTTACTCAGGAGACTGAGGCAGGAGAATCACTTGAATCTGGGAGGCAGAGGTTGCAGTGAGCCAAGATCGCACCACTGCACTCCAGCCTGGGTGACAAGAGCGAACCTCCATCTCAAAAAAAAAAAAAAAATGAAAAAAAGTGATCAAAAATATAATTTAAAATTAGCTACAGACCAGGTGCAATGGCTTATGTCTGTAAGCACTTTGAGAGGCCGAGGTGAGCAGATAGATCACATGAGGCCATGAGTGCGAGACCAGCTGGGCTAACATGGCAAAACCCTGTCTCTATTAAAAATACAAAAATTACGCTGGGTGTGGTGGCTCATGCCTATAATTCCAGCTGGGAGGAATGAAGTGGGTGGATCATGAGGTCAAGAGATCGAGAACATCCTGGCCAACCTGGTGAAACGCCATCTCTACTAAAAATACAAAAATTAGCTGGGCTTGGTGGTGTGCGCCTGTAGTCCTAGCTACTCAGGAGGCTGAGGCAGGAAAATTGCTTGAACCCGGCAGGCAGAAGTTGCAGGGAGCTGAGATCACACCAGTGCACTCCAGCCTAGGTGACAGAGGGGGACTCTGTCTCAAAAAAAAAAAAAAAAGCTGCAGTAGTATTCAAAGGGCAGGAGTAAGGACAGATAAGCTTATCAGAAATTTATTTTTGCGGTGAACCATTAAACTGATATGCAAACATTTTTTAACTACCAAAGAACAATAATTTCAGGATTCATACTAATTAAGAGAAAAGGAAAATATGAATAGAAAATACAGACAGGCATGGTAGTTCATGCCTATAATCCCAGCACTTTGGGAGGCCAAAGAGGGAGGATCACTTGAGTCCAGGAGTCTGGCATCACCTTAGGCAAACAAGTCAGACCTCAACTCTACAATAAAAGTTAGCTGGGAACAGTAGCGTGTGCCTGTAGTCCCAGCTATTTGGGAAACTGTGGCGGCAGAACTGCTTGAGCCTTGGAGTTCAAGAATGTAGTGAGCTATGATTATGGCACTGCACTCCAGCCTAAGCAACAGAGTGAGACCCTATCTCCTAAAAAAAAGTATCACAGAAAATCCAGCATTGAGAGAAAAAGCGTTAAGTCATTTACAATACTTATATATTCAACAAATAAATTACTGAGCTTTAAGTGACAGAGTAGAATGAAAAGAGGAATCATGCTAAAAATCACTAAAATGGCAAAAAGACTGAGTGGAAAAATAAGGACAGACATGTACTCCAAAGGAAAAGATTACTTATACACAAATAGTGTAAACTTTTAGCTAATTTTCACAGTGGATATAAAAAAACTTCCAGGAAAATGAGTGTATGGAAGTAAAACATTCAGTACTCCATTTATTTTACTAAGAATCTATAGTATTTATTGAGCCCTGTACCATGCCTTGTGCAAAGCTTTTCACGCACATTGTTTCACTTAATCTCGAAATTGCTTTGCAAGGTGAGATACTGAATTATTGCTATTATTCCATTTAACAGATGGAAAAACTGAGTGAGTTACACTTGTTTCTCTAAACGCAACTGGCTGTATAGTCACTATAATTGTGAGGTAGTTCAAAGCATAAAGATAATTTTTAAACCAATGTTTATACCTGTTTCTGAAATAACACATTTTTTCTTTCTTAAGATAAAATGGACCTCTATTGCCCCATCTCTGAATACTTTGTAACAATAATCAAAAATTACCAATTTCTCAAAAGAAGTTATGTTTACAATAAAAATATCAAGTAAAAATAATTTCTTATAATATTTATAATTACTACTTATATCTTTAACAACCATAACTGCACATGGTCCTTTAATTACAAGGTATTTCTATTTGCATTTGTTCTGTCCATCAACTAGTAAATCATCATTCTCATCCCCTGTTGTACCACTAACAAAAATTAAAGGATTCTAAACTGGGCATGGTGGAGTGCACCTGTAGTTCTAGCTACTCAGGAGGCTGAGGCAGGAGGGTTGCTTAAATTCATGACTTTGAGACTGCAGTAAGCTATGATCACAACACTGCACTCCAGCCTGGGAAAGAGTGAGACCCTGTCTCTAAGATAAAAATTAAAAATTAAATAAAAATAGAATTAAAAAGTTAAAGGATGCTATTCCAAATACCACACAACATAGGAACAGAGGCATATGTAGAAGCATGGCAAAACAGTTTAGAAAAAGTTAATCTAATATTCTTAGTTTTGAAATATTTTTAATGAAATAAAAAGCTTTCATTCCTATTATCAGAAAACTGATTCTCTAAGCCAAAACACCAATCTCCTCCTAACTGGAAAGACATGTCAATACACCAAAATATGGTCTATTATAAAAGCAGTTTACTACAACCAAAGGTTTCTCTAACACAAAGAATATGGATTTGAGCATAAATCTAAAACCCTAAATAAGTCATCATGTTTTTCCCATATAGAGAAGTTAGGTACACAGCTTACTTGCCTGACAGGCAACATTTCAAATAGTTTCCAATTGTGCCTATTTTATAGTTCAAATTTAATCCAGTATTTAAGATCTATACCATCTGGCCCATACCTCCTTCTCCCACTTTAAAAGAACAAACAAAAAAATCTTTCAGAACCACACATAATGTTCTCTGCCTTCCCATTCTAATGCCTTTCCTTGTTTCTTCTACTCAAAATGTCCTTTTAAACACATATAAATACCACTATTTATTACTACTACTAACTACTACAACGATAAACTGCAAGTCTTACGTCCTTTTTTTTAACATTACTATGTACTTTTTGTAAAATAACTTTCTAGTATCTCAAAGTACTATTTACATACTTCTCACCTCTTATTTGATCATTCATACTTAAATACTGATCCTTAAGGGTAGAATGTATAATCTTTGTAGTTCCAAGGAACTTAACCCATGGCTTTGCATATTATGAGCTTCAACACTATTTTTATCTATTGAACCAATTATAGCCCCAGGACACCCAGTGAAATAATCCTATTTTCTGCCTGACTCCCTTCTACTGCAGCTAAAGTATTAATACTCTACCCATGCAGTACTGAAGCTATTTAGGGAATTATATCCTGATTTCACGATTTTGAAATTTCCAATAATTCTATACTATATCAATAATCTTAGCTGAAACCTGAATCTCTTGTATTGTTTTGTTATCAAAATTAGGATACGTTCCCTTAGCAGTTTTTATACCTTTTTATCTAGAATAGCTCTGTGAACTATCACATAATCAGCTATTCGTTTTTTAGAAATAAATCAGATGGCCAGGTGCGGTGGCTCAAGCCTGTAATCCCAGCACTTTGGGAGGCCGAGGCGTGTGGATCATGAGGTCAAGAGATTGAGACTATCCTGGTCAACATGGTGAAACCCCATCTCAACTAAAAATACAGAAAATTAGCTGGGCATGGTGGTGCATGCCTGAAATCCCAGCTACTCAGGAGGCTGAAGCAGGAGAATTGTCTGAACCCAGGAGGCGGAGGTTGCGGTGAGCCGAGATCGCGCACCATTGCACTCCAGCCTGGGTAACAAGAGCGAAACTCCGTCAGTCAATCAATCAATCAATCAATCAATCAGATAAAATGTCTGCAATTTCAAGGAAAGACATAAAAATAGTAGTTGAATAAAGGGTATCACTAAACAGAAATAAGAACAAAAGACCTAAATGAGAAGTTTTTGTTATGGCAGCATTATGTTTCTTGATTTAGGTACTCTTTACACAGGTATACAGGCTTTGCAAAAATTTACCAAAAAAGTAGACTTATGAATTGTGCACTTTTATGTATATTTCAATAAAATTTAAATGAGAGGGCCCATTTTTCCACCTCCCCTCCATATCTATATCACTCCTTTCCTTCAGCATGTTGTGTTTAGTTCAGATTCTGTATTCTGCACCAAGTGGATTAAAAGTTGGAAAATTAGATTAGTAACAGCTATGAAATCCAAACTGTAAAAATGAAGAGGTGAATCACAACACTCACTTTTTATCTGAAGAACTCAAACTTTTTCACCTTTACTGAATAAGCATTGCTGACTGGAGGAGTCACATATAAGACAGGATTTCAAGAGAAGATTCTGTCTCTGAATATTACTTTGAAATATAATTAAGCTATTACTGTTATTTAAGTGGTGCCACTTAAATGTAAAGGGAAAATTTTTAACAGGCTTCTTTTAGTATTGTAATTGCACTTAAAACATATAATTCACTTCTCCATGTGGAGCTGTCAAACCTTTGAACCTTTATTTGGGAACAAGAGTAAGAAGCTGCATCAGCTGCATCATGTTGGATACTCAACGACTGTACATTCTTTATTCCTGCTGCAACGACATACGTGATAGTCTACATTCAAAATAAAATTTTAAATAAAAAACTCCTTTAAACCAAAGCGGAACTCAAGCCTACATTAACAAGTCACAAGCTACACTGTAATTCATTACATAAAATATTTTTCAAATCTTAGAGATTCTACTTGTGTTTCTCAAAGGGCCACAGTTCATAAAGAAGTACGTCATTCCTAGTATTATTTCTACTAAACACTATGAGATAAACACAGTTCACAAATATACCAAGGTTCAGGAAGAACCTGAAATATTTGTCCTAAAGAGCCATGCAATCTTGTTATTAAACATACTTCAGCCCATGGTGAAGGAAAGGGCAGGATATAATTCATCCCCATCCTCTACCTAAAATCTGTATAAGTTCAAAATGTAAAGGAGTACAATATACACTGGTAAAGGGAAAGAAATTCAAGAAAAGAATCTCGTGAAAGACTCCTAAACAACCCTATTAAAACACCATACAAAAATGAATTACTAAAATGGGCCTAATGCTGGGGAAGAAACTTTTAATAACCAGTTTTACATGGTTTCCCAACATCCACCACAAATGCACATCAGACACACAAAGGAAAATTCTACAGCTTAAATACCAAACTGTAACTAACTACCGCATTCCAAAAGGAGTTTAGGACAGAAGCATTTTCTGCCTAGCGAGCTGAGATACCACTTTACGCAGAGCTTTTCTAAAACTCCAATCATTATGCATGAAAATCACCCCAAAATATATCACAAAACACTCCCTTCTGCTTCAGAAACCAATGCTTTACAAAGTGTGCTCAGAAACCCGTCTGTCCCTGCATTTGTCCGAAAATGAAGATTCCTAGGCCACACCTTGAAACTCTGATTCGGTAGGTCTGCAGTGGGGTCCAGGAATCTGCCTGGTTACATTTACTAAGGCTTAAAAACTACTGTCCCAAAGGGAAGAAACTCAGAAAAATAAAGCATGTTCCCAGTGATGCAGGATTCTGCCTTATGAGCATCAATCGTACTATGCTGTAACATGATGATCTCAGAGCTCAGTGAGATCTTCAAGCTATTTGCCTTCATGTTAGCAGCATCATAACGCTAAGACTCTGGACTCTGGCAACCATTCCTGTTCTCTCTGTTTTTGCTCATCATTAGCAGCTCCTTCCTCCATGTCGCCTTTAGAAGTTACTCTTGCTTCATTTCAAAACAGCGTCTTAGAGGCCAGCATTTTATCTTAAATCTACATGAAAGGCAGGGGCGAGATTAAGTGTACAGCACGTTCTTTAGGCCATGCTCTTTGTGATGGCTGCGGGGGTGGCTCAGATACCTCTTTTGGTAAATTTCCCAATCCTGTGCCATGCTCCATAGTGTCTAGTATGTATTAGACACTCAAACATTAGTTAAATGACCAGGTGAGGTAAACTTACATGATGGCCCACCATAGTCTTTAACTCTGGGAAAAAACCCAATCATCAGTTGCTACTTACACTGACAAACTGAATGTCGTCCTCAGTTTCATCCGTTTTTGACTCAGATGCCTCAGGGCCAGCTGGAGGGGCAGATTCTATTATCTATAAAAACAAGCCAAAACACGCTTATCTATTCAGCCACATAATTAGAAGAGAGCTTTTCCGAAAGGAACAATTAAAAACAAAGAGCTCTCGAGGAAAACGAATTTTCCTGAGCACAATTTCATGCAAACCCCGGTAGGAGCAGAACTCGGAGTCGGCTCTGGCCACAGCGTGTGCGGAGCTGCAGGGACCGAACGCCGAAAACGCGTTACCAGCCTCTCAGAATTCCCCTTATCAACTCCAGGAGGAGGAACGCAAGCTCACTACCGCAGGGCAATCCTGCCTTAAAACGTCGCTCAACGAACGCCGGGGCCCGTGCGGGGGGCCGGGCGGCCATTGTTGCTGCGGGTTCCTCGTTCAGACATGCACCAGGCCCCAGAGCAGGGCTCGGCCCAAGACGCTGAAGAGGTATCGCCCCGAGGCTGCGGCGGAGCACCAGGCCTCAGACCGCAGAGAACACAAACCCTTAGCGGTTCACCTCTGAGAACGCCAGGGCCCTCACTCGACTACTCACCTCCGACCCCGGGTCTCCCATTTCTCCGACGGCCGCGCTGACAGCACCACCGCGCCTGCTGTCCCTGCCGCCGTCGCCGCTGCCGCTGTCCCTGCCGCCCCGGCCGCCACGACTCCCCTTCCCGCCCTGCACTGCCTCGCGCTACCGGGACCCGCCCCTGCGTGAGCGCCGACGCCACCGGCGGAAAAAGACGCAAAACCGCTTCAAAGGAGGAGCGGCCCTCACTGGCCCGCTATCCCCCGGAGCCTCTTTCTCTCATTCTCAGGCTTCCTTCCCCGCGCCGCGCAGGATGCTGGGAATTGTAGTTCGGGTCGGCCCTGAGACCGCCCCGCGGTAAAGAACCTAGAGGTTAGGCGCATGCGTTGCGCCTAGAAGATGCCAGCTGCGGTGGCGCGAAGCCGGGGCCGCTGGGTTCTGTGGGACGGAGAAGCGCAGGGAAGATGTGGGAGGATATGAGGGTGGGTTTGAGTTGGTATTGGTTTGTTTTGGTATGGTTGTGGAGCGCAGCGCACTGATTTTTCAGTTTTAGCCCTGAAGGTGGGTGGTGGGAACGGACGCTTATTTTTTAATTTATATATTTATTCACTTTTGAGGAGAGGGGCTATGTGGAGGTTTAGCAGAATTTTAAGATCAGGAAAGAATCTGAAGTGTCCTTTCATTACTCACCTCTTCCCTAGCGTCAGTCTCCCAGGCCCTGCCAGTATTAATATACCTGAGGAAGAAAACAGGGATGATGGGAAGTCCAGGGCCAAATAGGAAAGGGAACTGAGAATCTACCTAACCTTATCACTAAACCCTAGCAGTGATATTGAAATGTGCTTTTTCAGTATTCTCAGATACACTGAGAGAATAGGAGAGATCTATTTTATAGAGGGCTGCAAGGTTAACCTTTTAACCTTTTGTGTGTTCACAGTCTATAAAATAGATCTTTCCTATTCAACTATGCATTTAATCTTTTCTCAGATAATACCTTACCAAAACACACACAGACACACGCACACCAGTCATTGTCAATAAAGTTTATGAAAAGAATTAAGTGAGAACATTATTTTAGGTGAGGCAGGTTCGCGTACCCTGGGAGGCCTCGGCGGCCTGTTCACTTAAGCCCAGGAGTTGGACACCAGCCTGAGCAACACAGGGGAACCCCGTCTCTACAAAAAATACAAAAATTAGCTGGGCGCAGTGGTCCTAGCCTGTAGTCCTAGCTGCTTAGGAGGTTTAGGTAGGATGATTGCTTGAGGCCGGGAGGTTGAAATCCAGGCTGCAGAGAGCCTAATTCATGTCACTGCACTGCAGCCTCGGTGACAGAGACGCTGTATCAAAAAAAATTAAAAAAAATTAACATCTTAGATTCCTGTTTTTGTTTGTATGCAAAACTACCATCTCATTGCCTAAGCCTGTAGTAATTATTGTTTAATATTTGATATTTCCTGCATTTCTACCAAGTGCTTTGTGACTTTACTTTCTACCTAGTAAGCTTGAGACGTGAGGAGGCCAGTTGAGAATAAGAGATCTGCATGGGTAGTTCTTCAAATGCTGTATGCAAATTAAATATTTTTAAAATGTTAATCTGTAGGCACAACTTGTATTTAAAAGATTTTCCTAGTGAGCTGTTGAGAGTTTGCTCTAATATTTAATTGGCTGAGGTAGGTGTTAATTGGTAAAATCCTTTTTTTTTTTTTTTTTTGAGACAGAGTCTTGCTCTGCGGCCAGACGTCAGGCTGGAATACAGTGGTGTGATCTCATCTCACTGCAACCTCCGCCTCCCAGATTCAAGCAATCCTCCTGCCTCAGCCTCTCGAGTAGCTGGGACTACAGGCATGCACCACCACACCCAGCTAATTTTTGTATTTTTTAGTAGAGATGGGATTTCACCATGTTGGCAAGGATGGTCTCCATCTCTTGACCTGGTGATCCACCCGCTTCAGTCTCCCAAAGTGCTGGGATTACAGGCGTGAGCCACTGCGACCAGCCAGTAAAATTCTTGGAAAACAAACAAAAAGATGTGGCTAGACTCAAAAACGTCTCATACCATACAACTCAGTAACTGTAGTTGCAGGGATTATTCTGAAGATACATCACAGGTTTGTTTACAACAGCAAAAAGTGGAAAATATCTAAATGTCTAATAATTTGGGAATGTAATATTTAAATTTTGGTCTGTACTCTCTCAAGATAACATTATATTGTTTTATCTCCACTGAAAATGTTTACCTAATGTTTCTCAAAGCATATTTTTCAAAAATTCAAGAAATATATAGGATAATTAGAATCATGTTGTATTCATTCTTGCATTGCTATAAGAACCACCTGAAACTGGTAGTTCTTATAAAGGAAAGAGGTTTAATTAGCTCACAGTTCCACAGACTGTACAGGAAGCATGGTTGGGGAGGTCTTGGGAAACTTAAATCATGGCAAAAGGTGAAGAGGAAAGAGGAACATCTTCACATAGCCAGAGAAGGAGAAAGAAAGGAAAGCCGGCAGGTGCTACACACTTTTAAATAACCAGATATGGGAACTCACTATCAGAGAACAGCAAGGGGAAAGTCCACCCCCAGATCCAATCACCTCCCACTGGCCCCTCTCCCAACATTGGGGATTATAATTCGACCTGAGATTTGGGTGGTGACACAAATCCAAACCATATCACATGTCAAGCCATCAAGAAAAGCATCTCCGAAAGAGGAAACCTACTTAAACAGGAATAGTAATTTATTCTTTTCTGGGTGTCTGGACTATGTGTTTATAAGAAAATCCTGGCTGGGGTGGTGGTTCACACCTATAATCCTAGCACTTTGGGAGACTGGAGGATTGCTTGAGCCTAAGGGTTCAAGACCAGCCTAGGTAACTTAGTGAGACCCTGCCTCTGCAAAAAAATTTAAAATTAACCAGGCGTGGTGGTACATGATTGTGGTCCCAATTGCTCAGGAGGCTGGAGTGGGAGGACCAATTGAGCCCAAGAGGTCAAGGCTTCAGTGAACCTTGATCTCACCACTGCACTCCAACCTGGGTAACAAAGTGAGATCCTGTTTCAAAAAAAGAAAATCCTTTGAAACCCACTAAGAGAAAATCAGAGACATCCCTGTAGTTCCCAAAAGCCAGGTTTATTTAGCTTGATGTAGCAAAAGAGGAAAAAACAAACAAACAAAAAAAAAACACCAGAGGCAAAATTTAGGAATCTCCTAATCTTAGAAAGTTAAGAAGGGATTGGGTTGGGTGAATTTAAGCCAATCTTGGGAAGTGAGGGAACCAGTTAGAACTGGAAGAAGCATGGTTGTTTGCTGACTGGTTCAAGGTTCAAAATGGAGACTTTTAAACTTTCTGTGATTGAGGAATTTTTTTTGTTTTGTTTTACTTGAGCTGTGGTGAATCCATTATTTTGCTATAAGTCAAGATCTTGAAGAGGGCCCATCATTGGGTTGACAACCCTCCTAAATTTAATACTTTTAGACTTTCTCCCAAATGACATCATAGATTTCTAGATCTATATCAGTGACATTTTGTTGATAGTCTTCCTTCAACTCATCATCATAATGTTTCATGTAAGTCTAGTTTTGTTTTCAAAACTAAAATTTTTCATTAAATCTCCATTGACTTTCTTGCTGTTTGTATTGAATGGTAATAAAGAACCATCTGTCAGAACATTGGCTGCTAACAACATTTAAGACTCTAGAGACTGTGTTCTTGGCCAAGGGTATGACACCAAGAGGCAAATTAAATGCATCAATGTTTGGAACCCCTGATTAGAAACATTATCTTGGGGGCTGGGCGCGGTGGCTCACGCCTGTAATCCCAGCACTTTGGGAGGCCGAGGCAGGTGGATCATGAGGTCAAAAGATCGAGGCCATCCTGGTCAACATAGTGAAACCCCGTTCCTACTAAAAATGCAAAAAATTAGCTGGGCATGGTGGCACGTGCCTGTAATCCCAGCTACTCAGGAGGCTGAGGCAGGAGAATTGCCTGAACCCAGGAGGCGGAGGTTGCGGTGAGCCGAGATCGCGCCATTGCACTCCAGCCTGGGTAAACTCCGTCTCAAAAAAAAAAGAGACATTATCTGATACTCATAAATTTCAAAAAAGGGAAAGTTTCAGGGTTGATGTTTCCATCCTGACTAGCATGAGCCTCTAATTTATTTAAGTTGCATTCAACATGGACAGAAGAGTTCATGTATATACAGCACCAAATTTTACTATGGTTTAATAAAGCACAGATACTTCCAATGTAATTCTATTATTAAGAACCATATTTGGTTTGGATTAAATGCTCAGGTTTTAAGATGTAGAACTGGAATATTCTCATTAACAATTTCTGATAAAGTAGGAAATAGATTTGTAGGCATTTTAAAAGAGAATATTCTTCAGGGAAGAAAACGGCTCTTAGTAACCTGGTGTCATAGGCATTGCCTGGAAGTTATGGGAGCAAAATAAAGAGCATTTGATTCTGAAAAAGTATAAAGGACTAGAGCATAAGAAAAAAAAGCCTGTTGGAACATAGGACAAAAGAGAGGGTGGCACCTTTCTGTCATTGGTTCATAAGTACAAACTGCTTGACTCATTTAGAGCAAGCTATCATAATTCATTTAGAATATGGACATTTTCCCTTTCAAGCAAAATGTATTTACCTTATGAGTAAACTGATGACAGTTGTTTTTGGTGTTAGCACTAAACATTGTTGAGTAGTTTGCTACATATCCTATTCTCTTTCTAGAAAGATTTGGAGGATCACAGTTCACTATATTTGGATCATATTAATAGTATTATTCCATGTCAGACTACTGAACAAAACTGATAGTTTAACTTGTGGTAGTTAACAAGGGGTTTGAAAACACCATAGACAACCAAAAATATTAGAACCAAATTGTATTCATTAAAGGAATTGGTCTGTAGTGCAGTACGTAGGCATAATTGTAACAGTCTTATTAGAAGGTTATATCGTCTGAACTCTTTTACAATAATCTACCTGTTAAAATCATTGTCAAAACTGATTTACTGAAGAGCAACTGAGGAGGAATTTAAGACACGTATGACTAACACTTGTTACTTCCTACAAGCTAAAGGAGAGTGAAAAATACTAATAAGAAGCAAGACATCTCGGTATGATTTCACAACTGTAGAAAAGTTGCAAGAATAATATTTGTTTACCATAATTTCTGTCTGTGTACATATACAGAGACATATGTTTACATATTACTTTTTCTGAATCATTGGCAAGTAGGTTTCATGTATCATGCCTCCTTATCCCTTAATATTTCAGTATATGTTTCCTAAGAACCAGGATTTTCTTTGACATAAACAGTACTATTACCAAAATCTGGAAGTTAACTTTGATAAAATACTTTTTAAAAATCTATAGTCCTTATCACATTTTGTCAGTTGTCCAAATTCAATGTCTAGTCTAGGATCACATAATGCATTCAGATGTTATATCTTTTTATTCTTTAATTTAGAATAATTTTTCAGCCACTGTCTTTATGATATTGATGTTTTTGAAGAACCAAGGCCACTTTTTTTATAATATGTTCCTTAATTTTGCTTTGTCAGATGTTCCCTCATGATTAGATACAGGTTAGACCAGAAAAAATACTATCAGTGACATTAAATTGTTTTTTTATTATTACATGTTGAGGCACATGATGGCTATCTGCCCCTCACTGAGGATATTAATTTTAGCCAACTGGTTAAGGTGTCATCTAGTATGACCACTATGTAATTACTATTTTTCCCCTTACAACTAGTAAGTAATCTGTAAGGATATACTTTCAGGCCACACAAACATCATGTTCCTTATGAAACTTTTCCCTTAGATATATCATCCTCTGATGATTTTTGCCTGTATCAGTTTTTACTATGATGGCTTCAAGTGGTAACTGTCCAATACTACTGTTTTCTCAATGATTTCAATTGGCATTTTTCTGTAAGAAAGGCTTACCTTTTCCCTTTTTAAAATTTATTAAATATGGACTCATCAATTTCCTTTTTAACTTTTTATTATGTGATTTGACAGCATTTGTAGTGTAGATACACAGAATAACACCAATATCCTTCATTGTACATAGCTAGCAATCACTTTGCAGATATCCGTGGTTCAGAATATCAATGATAACAACTTTTCTTGTGGGTCTACTTTTTCCACCATGAGACCTATCCTACTTGTTTAAGATGTAGTTTTGCCATGCTGTATATTTATGTTCTGATTCCTTTCTTTTTCTTAAATTTCCTTTTGTAATAATTTTAGATTCACATGTAGTTATAATAACTAATAGTACTGGCCAGGCATGGTCCGCACTTTGGGAAGCCAAGATAGGCAGATCACCTGAGGCCAGAAGTTGGTGACCAGCCTGGTCAACATGGTGAAACCCTGTCTCTACTAAAAATACAAAAAATTAGCTGGGCATGGTGGCAGGTGCCTGTAATTCCAGCTACTCAGGAGGCTGAGGCAGGAGAATTGCCTGAACCCAGGAGGCAGAGGTTGTGGTGAGCCGAGATTGCGCCATTGCACTCCAGCCTGGGTAACAAGAGTGAAACTCTGTCTCAAAAAAAATATATATATACAAAAAATTTAGGGGAGGGGAGAAAGAAAGAAAGAGAGAAAGAGAGGAAGGAAGGAAGAGAAAGAAAGAATGAAGGAACAAAAGAAGAAAGAAAGAAAAAGAAAGAAAGAAAAAGAAAGAAAGAAAGAAAAGAAAGAAAGAAAGAAAGAAAGAAAGAAAGAAAGAAAGAAAGAAAGAAAGAAAGAAAGAAGGAAAGAAAGTAGGACTGTAGTACTTCTGGCTTGACAGTATGAGGAGTTCCACTGGCCTGCTCCCATGTGAAACTGATAAAAAATATTTTTAAAAATCATTTAAAGCCTATGGAAATAGTCCTAACAGGAAACAGAAAATGAAGAAACATATATCAAAGAAAGTCTGAAAATTCTGTAAGAAAGAAGAGTCTGTAGTATGTAAACCAAGAGCACTTCTTCCCACCCACTTCCCAGCTCAGCAAGACAGGGTTCACTCTAGACTGATACATATCAAGAACACAGGCCCCCTCTCTGCATTATCGCCCTTCCTCAACTTCCACATGGAGGGCCTCTTCCTGTAAAGAGCAAAACATCATTGTTTCTCATCCTGTTTTCAGCTACCTATTGCTGAAGCTAAGCATTAGGCTAATGCATTTGAGAAGTAGGGGCTCTCCTCTTCCACTGGGACAGAGGCTCTACCTTCAACTCAGCACATAGAGAATACTGAGGGCCTTAGGACCCTTGCCCAACCTGGAAAAATGATGGTTCCATGCCTTACCAGGAAAGGAAAGGCAAGAGGACCTCAGACTGCTGCTCTCAATCCTCTGCCAAGCAGTCAGCTTCCAGAGCTCCCCAAAAGAGAAGTTTAACATTGTTCCCACTTGCAACTGCAAGCTGTCCAGAGGATGCTCACTTAGATTCAAAGACACAAATAGACTAAAAGAACGGAAAAAGGCAACATCATGCAAACAGTAACCATAAGAAAGCTGGAGTGACAATACTAATGTGAGATAAAATAGGCTTTAAAACCAAAAAAGTTACTAGAAATGAAGAGAATTTTTATTTTATTTTATTCATTTTATTTTATTCATTTTGAAACAGGGTCTCTCTGCTGCAGGGCAGTGACACAATCTTGGCTTACTGCAACCTGTGCCTCCTGGGCTCAAGTCTCAATCCTCCCACCTCAGTCTCCAAAGTCACTGAGACTACAAGTGCATATCACCATGCCCAGCTAATTTTTGAATATTTTTTGGTAGATATGGGGTTTCACCATGTTGTCCAGGCTGGTCTCAAATTCCTGAGCTCAAGCAGTCTGCCCACCTTGGCCTCCCAAAATGATGGAATTACAGGTGTGAGCCACCAGACCTAGCTGAGAGTCATTTTGTAATAATGAAACAATTAACTCATCAGAAGATACACTGATTTGCACTTAGAGCACTAAAATACATGACACAAGGACTGACAGGAAGTAAGGGAGAAACAAATAATTCAACAATCATAGTTGAAGACTTTAAGAACTTATTCTCAATATAGATAGCAGCTCAGCTAGGAAACAGAAAACAAACAACACAATAAACTAACTAAAACTAATAGACATCTATAGAACACTCCACCCAGCAACACAATATACATTGTCCTCGAATGCACATGGAACGTTCTCCAGGATAGATCAAATGCTAGACCACAAAATAACAAATTTTAAAAAATAAAATCATACAGAATAGATTCTTTGACCAAAAGGGAATGAACTTAGAAATCAATACTGGGAAAGAGTTTGGGAATCTCACAAATATGTGAAAATTAAATAACATACTTCTAAATAACAAATGGCTCAAAGAAGAAAGCAAAAGAAGAATAAAAATATTCTGAGATGAATGAAAATAAAGACATAACAAAACTGATGAGATGTAGCTAAAGCAGCACTTAGAGAAAAATTTATAACTATATTAAGCATGCCTATATTAAGCATGACAAAAGTATGTGAATATACATATCAGCTTCATTTAGCCTTTCTACAACATATGTATTTCAAATGTCATATTGTACACCATAAATATATGCAATCTTTGTCAATTTAAAAATAAATAACTTTTTTAAAAGACAAAAGATCTTGAGGCTGGGTGTGGTGGCTTATGCCTGTAATCCCAGCACTTTGGGAGGTCAAGGTAGATGGATTGCTTGAGCTCAGGAGTTTGAAACCACTTTGGGCAAGATAGTAAAACTCTGTCTCTACCAAAAAAAAAACCACAAAAATTAGTCAGGCATGATGGTGCATGCCTGTAGTCCCAGCTATTCAGGAGGCTGAGGTGGGAGGGTCATTTGAGCCCAAGAGGTTGAGGTTGTACTGAGCCGAGATTGCACCACTGCACTCTAGCCGGGGCGACAGAGAGAGACCCTGTCTTAATAATAAATAAACACAAGAATAAAAGACAGAAGGTCTCCAATCAATAACCTAACATTCCAATAACCCTACAGGAGGTGGGCGAACAGAAAACTAAACCCAAAGCAAACAGGAGGAAGGGGATAGTAGAGAATACAGCAAAATTTAATAAAATAGAGAATAGGAAAGTAACAGAGAAAATCAATGATATCAAAAGCTGTCTCTTTAAAAAAATCAACAAATAGACAAAACTTTATCTGACATTGACCAAGAAGAAAAGAAGACTGAAATTACTAGATCAGACATGAAAGAGGATTCATTTCTACCAACCTTGCAGAAACAAAAAAAGATTATAAAATATACAATGAACAACTATACACCAACAATTAGAAAACTTAGACAAGATGGACAAATTCCTGGAAAGACACAAACTACAAAAACTGACTCAAGAAGAAATAGAAACTTTCATAGAGCTATCACAAGTAGAGATTCTATCAGTAATCAAAAACTTACCTATGAAGAAAAGCTGAGGCCCAGGTGGCTTCACTAATGAATTCTACCAAACATGTAACAAAAAATTAATACAAATTCTTCACAAGCTTTTCCAAAAAGCAGAAGAGCAGAAATATTTCCCAATTTTCTTTTCTTGTGATATCCTTTTCTGGTTTTGGAAGTAATGTAATACTGACTTCATTTTAACGAAGTCATTGTATTTCAAAACATCATACTGTACACCATAAATATATGCAATTTATTAATTTATGTATAAAATAAAGTAAATATTACAGTAATGACAAAACTAGAAAACGATACCACAAAAAAAAGAAAATTACAAACCAATATCTCTTCTAAACATAGGCATGAAAATCCTCAGCAAAATACTACAAAACCAAATCCAGCAAAACATACAAAACATTATAAGCCATGACCAAGTGAGAATTTTCCCAGGAATGCAATGCTGGTTTAGCATCCAGAAATCAATTAATGTAATACATTCTATCAATTAAAAATTAAAATCACATGATCATCTTAATAGATGTGGATAAAGTATTTGGCAAACTCCAACACCATTTCATGATCAAAACAGTCAATAAACTAGGAAGAGAAGGAAACTTCCTCAACCTGATAAAGGACATCTATGAAAAACCCACAGGTACCATCATATTTAATAATTAAATGCTTTCCCCCAGGATCAGGAACAAGGCAAATATGTCCTGATGCTTCTATTCAACAATGAATTGGAGGTTCTAGAAAGGGCAATTAGGCACTAAGAAGATATAAAAGGCAGTGGGGTACAGTGGTTCATGCCTGAAATCCCAGCACTTTGGGAGGCCAAAGTGGGTGGATCACCTGAGGTCAGGAGTTGGAGAGCAACCCGGCCAAAATGGTGAAAACCTGTCTCTACTAAAAATACAAAAAGAATTAGCCAGGTGTGGTGGTGGGTGCCTGTAATCCCAGCTACTTGTGAGGCTGAAACAAGAGAATCCCTTGAACCTGGGAGGCTGAGGTTGCAGTGAGCCGAGATCATACCATTGCTCTCCAGCCTGGGCAAAAAGAATGAGACTCCATCTCAAAAAAAAAAAAAAGAAAAGATATGAAAGGAAACCATATTTAAAAGTAAAACTATTCATATAAGACCTAAAAACAAGCTTCACAAGGCTGCAGGATATAAGACTAATTTATGAAAATTGGCAGGGTGTAGTGACTCACGCCTGTAATAGCAGCACTTTGGGAGGCTGAGGCAGGTGGATCACTTGAGGTCAGGAGTTCAAGACCAGCCTTTAACTCATGGTGAAATCCCATCTCTACTAAAAATACAAAAATTAGGCAGGTGCGGTGGCATGTCCCTGTAACCCAGCTACTCGGGAGGCTGAGGCAGGAGAATTGCTTGAACCCTGGAGGCTGAGGTTGCAATGGCCCAATATTGTGCCACTCTACTCCAGCCTGGGCAACAGAGTGAGACGCTGTGTCCAAAGGAAAAAGAAAAGACTAATATATGAAAATCAGATGTATTTCCATACAGTCACAATGAATAATCCAGAAGTGAAATTAAGAAAACAATTCCATTTTTAATACCATCAAAATAAATTTAAGAAAAACGCTAAATTTATACTCTGAAAAACTACAAAACATTGTTGAAAGAAATTAAAGATCTAAATAACTGGAAAAACATCTTATGTTCATGTGTCAGAGGATTTAACATCATTATATGACAATATTCTGCACAATGATCTAGAAATTCAGTGTCATCCCTATCCAAATCCCTATCAGAATAACTTCTTCATAGATATTGACAAACTGGTTCTAAAATTTATATGGAACTGAAGGGGACCCAGAATGGCCAAGACAATGTAAAATATAAAGTTGGAGGACTCACCAGTTTTAAAACTTAACTACAAAGCAATGGCAACCAAAACAGTGGTACTGACACAAGAACAGACATATATATCAATGTAATACAACTGAGGGTCTAGATATAAATCCATACATCCATGATCAACTCATTTTTAGCAAGGATGCCAAGACCATCCAATGGGAAAGAATAGTCTTTTCAACAAATGATGCTGGGAAAGCTGGACAGCCACATGCAAATGAATGAAGCTGGACCTTAGCTCACACCATATACAAAAATTATCTCAAAATGGATCAAGGACCTAAATCTAAGGGGTGAAAACTATAAAATAAAACTCTTTGAGAAAACATAGAAACATCTTCATGACATTGAATTTGGGAAATAATTTTTAGATAGGACACGAAAAGCACAAGCAACCAAAGAATAAATAAATTGCACTTCATCAAGATTTAAAACTTCTGTGCTAGCCAGGCACAGTGGCTCATGCCTCTAATCCCAAAACTTTGGGAGGCCAACGCAGGCAGATTGCTTGAGTGTAGGATTCAAGACCAGCCTGGGCAACATGGTGAAACCTTGTCTCTACAAAAAATAGCCAGGCATGGTGGTGCATACTTGTATTCCCACCTACTCAGGAAGCTGAGGTGAGATGATAACCTGAGCCTGGGGAGGTCAAGGCTGAAGTGAGCTATCATTGTGCCACTGCACTCCAGCCTGGGTGGCAAAGTGAGTCTCTGTCTCAAAAACAAAACAAAAAAACAAAGAAAAAAAACTTCTGTACTTCAAAGGATACCATCAATAAAAAAAAAAGACAACGGAGACATTATATAAAGAGACTTGTATCCAGAATATAAATAACTCTTACAACTCAATAATAAAAAGACAACCCAATTTAAAAATGGGCAAATTATCTGAATAGATATTTCTGCACAGAAGATATACAAATAGCCAATAAGCACATGGAAATATGTTCAATATCATTAGTCACTGGATAAATGCAAATCAAAACCACTATGAAATACCTCTTCACAACCACAAGGATAGCTAGAATTTAAAAATCAGGTAATCACTGGAGTTAACAAGAATGTGGAGAAATAGTAAACCTAACACACTGCTGGTGGCAATATAAAAGGGTACAGCCATTGTGGAATGCTGTTTGGCAGTTCCTCAACTGATTAAACATAGAGTTACCATATGACCTAGCAATTCACTCTAGATATATACAACATGTTCACCCAAAAATTGGTCTGTGGGCTGGATGCGGTGGCTCAAGCCTGTAATCCCAGCACTTTGGGAGGCCAAGGTGGGTGAATCACAAGGTCAAGAGATCGAGACCATCCTGGTCAATATGGTGAAACCCTGTCTCAACCAAAAAAAAAAAGAAAATTAGCTGGGCGTGGTGGCGCGTGCCTGTAATCCCAGCTACTCAGGAGGCTGAGGCAGGAGAATTGCCTGAACCCAGGAAGGGGAGGTTGCAGTGAGCCAAGATTGCATGATTGTACTCCAGCCTGGGTAACGAGCGAAACTCCATCTCAAAAAAAAAAAAACAAAAAAAAATTGGTCTGTGAATGTTTATTACAGCATTATTCATAATTGCCAGTAGGTGGAAACAACTCAAATGTCGATTAACTGATGAATAGGTAAATAAAATGTTGTATGTTCATACACAATAAAGTATTATTGAGCCTTAAAAAAGAATGAAGCCAAACTTTGGGGGGAAGATGGAGCTGTAGGACCAACTCAGGATTGCAGCTCCCAGTGAATCTGCAGAGGGTGAGTGGACGCCACATTTCCATATGGATCTTTATTGCCCACAGACCAGGAGATTCCCAGGTGTAAGAGCCCCACGGGCCACCAGCGCAGCAGTTTGGGCCGGCGCGGCTGTTTGGGCCGGCACAGCTGTTTGGGCCGAGACTGCAGCGCAGCGACACTCTGTACAAAATACACTGGTTTGGTTGCCCTGTTAAACTGGCAATTGGAGATTTCGGAAGGCAGATTAGCACATTCATCTGATTAAACGGGACTTAAACAGAAAGCCAGGCCAGGAGATTCTCGGGCAGCAACGTGGTTTGAGCTGGCGCAGTGAGTCGCTGCATGGGAAATCACACAGATCCTGGCACCCTTGCAGCAGGCAACTGGAACACCTGGGAGAGAGTCAACCATTCAACTTAAAAAAAAAAAAAAAGGCTCTGAGGCAGGGAGCCAGGTGATCAGGCTCGGCGGGTCCCACCCCCCACAAAAACAAACAAAACAGCAATTGGAAACGCTTGGGGGTTGAGAGTTTCACGGCAAGCACAGCTGAACCCAGGACAGAACAGCTCGGTGGGGGAGGGGCGTCCGCCACTACCAAGGCACGCGACCCCTACGGAGGTACTCTGCCATTGCTGACGCAGCCTGCCATTGCCGAGGCAACCCACCATAACAGAGAGAGTCCGCCACTACAGAGGTGGGCCACCATCGCCACTGCAGTTCTAACCACACCCATATAAACAGGACTACAGGGAATTACACACTGCAGCAGGGTGGAGCCCATGGCAGTGGAGCAGAGCCCACAGCAACAGGGTGGAGCCCATGGCAACAGGGTGGAGCCCACAGCAGCTCATGATAGCCACTACAGACAGGCAGTGACTAGACTGCCTCCTTGCTGGGCAGGAAAGTGCAACAGATACTCATAAATAAAGCCCTAACTCCCCGGGACAGAGCACCTGAGGGAAAAAAAAGGGGGCTTTATGAGTTCTGCTGCAGCAGACTTAAACGTACCTGCCTAATAGCCCTGAATGAACATCAGAGCTCACAGCTCAGCACTAGAGCTCCTATAAAGTACAGACTGTCTCCTCAAAGAGCTCCCTGACCCCCGTATATCCAAAGAGTCACCTCACAAAGGACTGATCAGACCGACATTCAGCAGGCATCATTCAGGGAGAAAGATAGCAGAAGAAGAATCTGGTAGCAACCCTCACGGTTCCACAGCTGCTATAGGAGTTCCCCAGGCAAGCAGGGCCTAGAGTGGACCGCAGCAGTCCTACAGCAGTGGGGCCAGACTGTTAGAAGGAAAACTAAGAAACAGAAATACTTCATCATCAACAATCTGGACGTCCACTCAGAGACCCAATCAGAAAATCAGCAACCACTCAGAAGACAGGTGGATAAATCCACAAAGATGGGAAGAAACCAGTGCAAAAAGGAGGAAAACACCCAAAATCAGAACACCTCGCCTCCTACAAAGGACCAAAACTCCTCATCAGTAAGGGAACAAAGCTGGACGGAGAATGAGTGTGATGAAATGACAGAATCAGACTTCAGAAGGTGGGTAATGAGAAACTTCCGTGAGCTAGAAGAACACGTTCTAACTCAATGCAAAGAAACTAAGAACCTTGAAAAAAGATTTGAGGAAATGATAACAAGAATGGACAACTTAGAAAGGAATATGAGTGAATTGAAGGAGCTGAAAAACACAACATGAGAACTTTGCGAAGCTTGCACAAGTTTCAACAGCCAAATCGACCAAGCAGAAAAAAGGATATCAGAAGTTGAAGATCAACTCAATGAAATAAAACAAGAAGCCAAGATTAGAGAAAAAAAGTGCAAAAAGGAATGAACAAAGTCTCCAGGAAATGTGGGACTATGTGAAGAGACCTAATCTACATTTGATAGGTGTACCTGAATGTGATGAAGAGAATGAATCCAAGCTGGAAAATACCTTCAGGATATTATCCAGGAAAATTTCCCCAACCTAGCAAGGCAGGCCAATATTCAAGTCCAGGAAATACAGAGAACACCACAAAGATATTCCACAAAAAGAGCAACCCCAAGGAACATAATCGTCAGATTCACCAGGGTTGAAATAAAGGAGAAAATGCTAAGGGCAGCCAGAGAGAAAGGTCAGGTTCAACCCAGAATTTCATATCCAGCCAAACTGAGCTTCATAAGTGAAGGAAAAATAAAATCCTTTGCAAACAAGCAAGCACTCAGAGATTTTGTCACCACCAGGCCTGCTTTACAAGAGCTCCTGAAAGAGGCACTATACATAGAAAGGAACAACCAGTACCAGCCATTCCAAAAACATACCACATGCTAAAGAGCATCAACAAAATGAAGAACCTGCATCAACTAACGGGCAAAACACCAAGCTAGCATCAAAATGGCAGTATCAAATTCACACATAACAATATTAACCCTAAATGTAAATGGGCTAAATGCACCAATCAAAAGACACAGGCTGGCAAATTGGATAAAAAGCCAAAATCCATCGGTGTGCTGTATCCAGGAAACCCATCTCACATGCAAGGATACACAAAGGCTCAAAATAAAGGGATGGAAGAAGATTTACCAAGCAACTGGAGAGAAAAAAAAAAAAAAAAAAAAGCAGGAGTTGCAATTCTCATCTCTGATAAAATAGACTTTAAAGCAACAAAGATCAAAAGAGACAAAGAAGGACATTACATAATGGTAAAAGGATCAATACAACAAGAAGAGCTAACGATCCTAAATATATATGGACCCAATACAGGAGCACCCAGATATATAAGGCAAGTTCTTAATGACTTACAAAGAGACTTAGACTCCCACACAATAATAGTGGGAGACTTTAACACTCCACTGTCAATATTAGACAGATCAACCAGATAGAAAATTAACAAGGATATCCAGGGCTTGAACTCAGACCTCGAACAAGCAAACCTGATAGACATTTACAGAACTCTCCACCCCAAATCCACAGAATATACATTCTTCTCAGCACCACATCACACCTACTCAAAAATTGACCACATAATTGGAAGTAAAGCACTCCTCAGCAAATGCAAAACAACTGAAATCATAACAAACAGTCTCTCAGACCATAGTGCAATCAAGTTAGAACTCAGAATTCAGAAACTAACTCAGAACCACACAGCTTCATGGAAACTGAACAAGTGGCTCTTGAATGGTGACTGGATAAACAATGAAATGAAGGCAGAAATAAAGAAGTGCTTCGAAACCAACGAGAACGAAGACACAACATACCAGAATCTCTGGGACACATTTAAAGCAGTCTCTAAAAGAAAATATATAGCAATAAGTGCCCACATGAGAAGAGTGGAGAGATCCAAAATTGACACCCTATTGTCAAAATTGAAAGGGCTAGAGAGCAAGATCAAATAAAACACAAAACCTAGCAGAAGACAAGAAATAACTAAGATCAGAGCAGAACTGAAGGAGATAGAGACACGAAAAACCCTTCAAAAAAATCAATAAATCCAAGAGCTGGTTATTTGAAAAGATCAACAAAATAGACCACTAGCCAGATTGATAAAAAAGAAAAAGAGAGAATAACCAAATAGATGTGATAAAAAACGATAAAGGGGAAATCACCACAGATTCCACAGAAATTCAAACCATCATCAGAGAATATTACAAACAACTTTATGCACATAAACTAGTAAACCTGAAAGAAATGGATAAATTCCTGGACACTTGTGTCCTCCCAAGCCTAAACCAGGAGGAAGCCAAAACTATGAATAGACCAATAACAAGGTCTGAAGTCGAGGCAGCAATTAAGAGCCTATCACACAAAAAAAGCCCAGGTCCACATGGGTTTACAGCCGAATTCTACCAGACACACAAAGAGGAGCTGGTACCATTCCTTCTGAAACTATTCCAAATAATTCAAAAAGAGGGAATCCTTCCCAAATCATTTTGTGAGACCAACATCATCCTAATACCAAAACCTGGCAGAGACTCAACAAGAAAAGAAAACTTCAGGCCAATATCCATGATGAACATAGATGCAAAAATCTTCTATAAAATACTGGCAAGTTGATTGCAACAGCACATCAAAAAGCTTATCCATCATGATCAAGTAGGATTCACCCCAGGGATGCAAGGCTGGTTCAACATACACAAGTCTATAAACGTAATTCACCACATAAACAGAACCAAAGACAAAAACCACATGGTGATCTCCATTGATGCAGAGAAGGCCTTTGACAAAATTCAACAGCCCTTTTTGCTAAAAACCCTCAATAAACTCAGTATTGATGGAACGTATCTCAAAATAATAAAAGCTATTTATGACAAACCAACAGCCAATATCATACTGAATGGGCAAAAACTGGAAGCATTCCCTTTGAAATCTGGCACTAGACAAGGATGCCCTCTCTTACCACTCCTATTCAATATAGTATTGGAAGTTCCAGCCAGAGCAATCAGGCAAGAAAAAGAAATAAAGGGTATTCAGGTAGGAAAGGAGGAAGCCAAATTGTCTCTATTTGCAGACGACATGATTGTATATCTAGAAGACCCCATCGTATCAGCCCAAAATCTCCTGAAACTGATAAGCAACTTCAGCAAAGTCTCAGGATACAAAATCAATGTGCAAAAATCACAAGCATTCCTCTATACCAATAACAGACTTAAAGAGAGTCAAATCAAGAACGAACTGCCATTCACAATTGCTACAAAGAGAATAAAATACCTAGGAATACAACTAACAAGGCACGTAAAGGACCTCTTCAAGGTCCTTAAACTACAAACCACTGCTCAATGAAATAAGAGAGGACACAAACAGATGGAGAAACATTCCATGTTCACGGTTAGGAAGAATCAATATCATGAAAATGGCCATACTATTTTATGGCCCAAAGTAATTTACATATTCAACGCTATCCCCATCAAGCTACTGATGATCTTCTTCACAGAATGGGAAAAAAAAAAAACACCTTAAACTTCATATAGAACCAAAAGAGAGCCTACATAGCCAAGTCAATTCTAAGCAAAAAGAACAAAGCAGGAGGCATCACACTACCAGACTTCAAACTATACTATAAGGCTACAGTAATCAAAACAGCATGGTACTGGTACCAAAACAGAGATATAGACCAATGGAGCAGAACAGAGGCCTCAGAGGCAACACAACACATCTACAACCATCTGATCTTTGACAAACCTGACAAAAACAAGCAATGGGGAAAGGATTCCCTGTTTGATAATTGGGGTTGGGAAAACTGGCTAGCCATGTGCAGAAAGCAGAAACTGGACCCCTTCCTGATACCTTACAGTAAAATTAACTCCAGATGGATTAAAGACTTAAACATAAGACCTAACACCATAAAAACTCTAGAAGAAAATCTAGGCAAAACCATTCAGGATGTAGGGGTAGGCAAGGACTTCATGACCAAAACACCAAAAGCATTGGCAACAAAAGCCAAAATAGACAAACGAGACCTAATCAAACCCCACAGCTTCTGTACGGCAAAAGAAACAGTCATTAGAGTTAATCGGCAACCAACAGAATGGAAAAAATTTTTCGGTCTACCCATCTGACAAAGGGCTGATATCCAGAATCTACAAAGAACTAAAACAGATTTACAAGAAAAAAACCAGCCCATTCAAAAGTGGGTGAAGGATACGAACAGACGCTTTACAAAAGAAGACATACATGAGGCCAACAAATATATGAAAAAATGCTCATCATCACTGGTCATCAGAGAAATGCAAATCAAAACTACATTGAGATACCATCTCATGCCAGTTAGAATGGCAATTACTAAAAAATCTGGAGACATCGCCTCTCGGCCTTTTGGCTAAGATCAAGTGTAAAAATCTGGAGACAACAGATGCTGGAGAAGATGTAGAGAAATAGGAACACTTTTACACTGTTGGTGGGAATGTAAAGTAGTTCAACCATTGTGGAAGACAGTGTGGCGATTCCTCAAGGACCTAGAAATTCCATTTGACCTAGCAATCCCATGGGTATATATCCAAAGGATTATAAATCTTTCTACTATAAGGACAAATGCACGCAAATGTTCATTGCAGCACTGTTTACAATAGCAAAGACCTGGAACCAACCCAAATGCCCATCAACGATAGACTGGACAGGGAAAATGTGGCACATATACACCATGGAATATTATGCAGCCATCAAAAATGATAAGTTTGCGTCCTTTGTAGGGACATGGATGAACCTGGAAACCATCATTCTCTGCAAACTGACACAAGAACAGAAAATCAAACAACGCATGTTCTCACTCATAGGTTGGTGTTGAACAACGATAACACATGGACACAGGGAGGGGAGCATCACAAACCAGGGTCTGTTGGCGGGGAAACAGGGGAGGGACAGCGGTGGGTGGGGAGTTGGGGAGAGATAGCATGGGGAGAAATGCCAGATATAGGTGATGGGGAGGAAGGCAGCAAATCACACTGCCATGTGTGGACCTATGCAACAATCTTGCATGTTCTTCATATGTACCCCAAAACCTAAAATGCAATAAAAAAAAAAGAAAAAAAATCAGGTGGACATACTTGTATGGGTCTATTTCGGGGTTTTGTATTGTGTTTAACTGATCTCTATGTCTATATCCCCACAATACCACACAGTCTTGAGTACTGTAGCTATATGATGTCTTGAAATTGGGTAGATTGATTACTCCCACTATATTCTTCTCTTTAAAAATTGTTTCAGACCAAGCTCACTGGAAAATTATCATATTGTACACTTACAACTCATATTTCTTGTATGTGTATTTCAAGAAAATATTTGTAAATAAAGCAGCTTTAAATAGACATATGCACTCACCTTTAAGATACATTCTTACCAAAAAGAAGCAAAGTTCAGAAGTGTATATAAAATCTTACCATTTGTGAAAAATTTATGTATATAGTTATATATATAATATATACAATCTGGAAATATACATAGAAAAGTGATAGGAGTGGTTTTCTCTGGTGAGTGTCTGGGGTAGTGATGAGGGACAAACCGTTTTTCAATGTGTAACCATTTGGATTTTTTATTTTTAAAGACAGGGTCTCACTCTGCTACCCAGGCTGGAATGCAGTGGTGCCATCAGAGGTCACTGTAACCCCAAACTCCTAGGCTCAAGTGATCCTCCCACCTCAGCTTCCTGAGTAGCTGGGGCTATTAGGCACGTGCTACCAAACCCACCTAATCAAAAAAAAAAAAAAGATTTCGTCAAGACAGGGTCTTGCTATGTTGCCCAGGCTGATCTGGCATTCCTGGCCTCAAGAGATCCTCCTGCCTCCATCTCCCAAAGTTCTGGGATTGCAAGCATCAGCCACAATGCCTGGTCTACATTTTTAAAATACTTCACTATGTGCATGTATTACCCATTCAAAATTAATTAATTAGTTAAAATAATAAATTTTTATTAGCCAGCTGTGAGCCAAAATAATTTTATCAGTACATAAAAATTACTCTGAACTACTCATGGGTGTTATACTCAAATCCTATAACATACCCTATTTATTCTTTAGATTTAGTGACATGAAACAGGTTTATCGCATAACTGAGTCTGAGATGACCAGAAGCAGCAGATTAGTAGATAGGGGAGGTTTACTGGAAGCAAGTATACTCAAAGTTGCAGGAAAAGATAACAGCTGGAAAATGCGGGGTAGAAAACAAATATTTGAAACAGAAGTAATAGTCAGGCCTGTTTGGTATGGGAGCAAACAGTCCCACCTATTCAATAACTTTTGAATCTATGATACAGCAATCACTGTTCACAAGTTCAGCTTAATTCATACTAATAGAATAAAATAATGCCAAGTAAATTTTTTTAAATCATGGGGTACAGTTTCCACACTAGTGTGATCATAAAATGGAATCATGTAGAAAGCAAATGAACCTGAACATGGTACCAGGAATTTGTGCCACATAATTCCAAAGATACAGAATTTTTTGTTTCCTTTCCTCTTCTTTTCGCCTCTGGATCCTGCCACTTTTAAATCCAAGTGTCCATTTTTTTGTTCCTCTGAGGATAGAGCTTGATTGTCTACCACAAAGTTCCCAGATATTAGAATCTCAAATAACTGCCTTCTTTTTATGAGTGTATTATGAGACTTGTATGTGTGAGAGAAATGTGTGTGTGTACTTCCTGGGACATTCTAGCTTAAAGCAGCAAAAGCAAAACACAAGTCAGTGGGAAACTTGTTTAAAGAATGTCTTATATGCAGTCAACAAGTGTCAGACATAACAACCTTAAAGGCATTCCTATTCAAGTGAAGGACAAAATAAACATATTTATAACCACTACTTCTGAAGTCTACTATTTTTGAAGTAATAAGCAATGCTATGAGTTAAGAAAAAGAATACTAGTCATAAATATTAGAAAGAGAAGGTAAAATGATCATTATTTGAAAAAGAAACTTTTTCCCCTACCCAAAAAACCTACTTGAATCAAAAAAGTAACTTGGACATTTAAAAAGAAATACATAAATATATTTTTTTCTATAAAGTAATAGTCAAAAATAAAAATAATGTCCCATTTATAGTAGCAACATGTAAAATGTGAACATATAAAATACATAGAAATTAAATTAGTATGTAGGGTCTACATGAAAAAAATGCAAATATTTACTGAGGAGGAAGAAAAAGTGTATGTTAAGCTGACCTTGTTCTTGGATTGAAAAAATAAGTTTTATAAATATGTAACTTCTCCCCAGATTTGAAAATTACTTAAGTATAATTGTAATCAAAATCTTAGGAGTATTTTAAGGGTGAAGGAGATTAGAGAAAACCAGTCAAAATGACTGTAAAACTCTTCTGGACTGAGGTATGAAAACAGTCAAAATATTCTTAAAAAATAATATTGAATAATGATTAACTATCAGACGTTATAATTTATCACAAACTTCTAACAAGATACTGTAATGGCAGGATTAAAGCATGAATTTATTTCATTTCTCTCAATTTTTTATTTTGCTAAAATGAATACAAATAAATTAGTAATTCCACAAAAACAGCAGTAGAGATTTTATTGGCATCACTACCCAGGTAATTAATATGACCAGGACTGTCTGGGATATTGAGAAATTGTATAATACTAATAACTACCATTTATAGAATGATTACTCCATGCTAGGTGCTGTGCTATGCATATTACATATATAAATTCATTTAATCTACACAACAGCTTTGTAAGGTATTATGTAGTATTATCTCCATTAGACAGTTGAAGAAGTTTGGGAGACAAAAGTAGGTGGAGAAGTAGTTAATTTATTTCAGAGGGCAAAGGCAAGAAACCAGTCTGCCCCAGGGAACCCAGGAAGGACTCAGAACTATGACACCACATGCACTGAATGATGAAGGTAAGGTGCCACTTAACAAAAAGGTTGAAAAACTGCATACGCACATCTCCACATTTCTACTCACAAGACATTCTCTGCATTAAGTTCAAAGGATTCACCCATGGCCCAGGACATCATGTGCAGTTGTGAGCATGAGTGACAGAATTCATTATAAGTCTATTTTTAACAGTTCCAGCCCCCTTTTGTCTGTCTTCTGTGCAAACATTATCAGCCAGAAGAACCAAGGAAACTTGTGGAGAAACACTTAGCATAAACTATAAGACACAGTATCAGACTGATATGTAGCTATCCCAACAAAACAAATGCCCTTCTACCCAGTGACTCCCAGTGAAGCTACCCAGTAACAGGTTAAATATGAAAGAACATCCAAGGATAAAAGAGAAAGGCGTCAGAGAGGAAAGCAAATTTCAGATAACAAGAGAAAGAGATCTTAAGGGAAACAAATAATGCCCAGAAAATAATAGTTTTTAATAAAATTATTATTCTCAGAGGATAAATCAAAGGCTTCCAGAGATAAGCATAGTATTAAATGATACAATCAGAAAACAAGAAACAGCTCTTTGAAGTTAGAATTTTTTTTCTTTATTTTGTTTTTCCTGTATTAAAAAAGACCCCCAATATAAAGGTAGAGAAAGGGACACAAGGGAACATACCCCTTAGTGTTGAGAAATAGGGGGCAGAAGGAGAGGCCTCAGAAGGAGAGGTAGGAGGGGAATGTCATTAAGGCAGCAAAGTAATCTCTGTAGAAAGGTGGAGGTGGAGCCTCCACAGGCTCAGAGACGAAGGCAGTGCCGTCTCAGTGTCCAGAAGAGAAACAGCAGCTTTTCTTCCTTCCATGGCAGCCAATTCATTGCTCACTCCAGATTACCTTCCTCCTTATGTAGATAAGAGTGCTGCAGACCTCGAAAGGCAGAGATTCGCTTGTGTGGGTTAAAAGTCAGCATTTCCAGCAGCAGATGTGCTCCCAACTCCTCCATCTTAGGTACCACTGACTGCACTGGGTGGGGCCCTCTGGGGTGAAAGGCTCCACGGGGCAGAGATACATCTCGAGGCCAGTCATCCTCTGGAGGCAGTCCAATCAGGTCAGAGATTTTGCCCAACTGGTCAGCTTCAGAGTTTCTGCAGAAGAGAGGCTTTCAACGAAACCTCTCAGCAAAGATACAGCCAACAAGCCACATGTCCACAGGTGTTGCATATGTGGACTGCAGAAGAACTTCGGGAGCTCGGTACCAGAGTGTAACAACCATGGGTATAAGTGCCATCTGGTAGCTGTAGATTCTGGCCAGGCCAAAGCCAGCCAGCTTGACTGTTCTACCACTTGTCACCAGAATGTTCGCTGGCTTCAGATCTCGGTGACCGATGCAATTGGCATGAAAAAAATCTACGCCTCTTAGAAACTGTCGCATCAGATCCTTGACGGTCTCGGCTGGCAAGCCAAGTGAGGGTGCCTTGTCCAGATATGTCCTTAGATCTTGGTTCACATGCTCAAACACCAGGGTTACCTTGATCTCTTGGTCAGTTCAGGATGTGGCACAGACATCCATCAGCCGGACAACGTTGGGATGTTCAAAAGCCTCCAGTCGCCTCAGTAAGGCCACCTCACGAACTGTGCTGATGGGAAGGCCTCCTCCAGCTCCTCCATTGGGGACTCTCACACTCCTGAGGGCCACAAAGTGGCCACTGTGGCGATCACAGGTCTTGTACATTGTCCCATAGGCACCGACATCAATTTCAGCCACCTGCTCATATCGAGAGGTAGCCATTCTCATATCAAGGGAGACCCTCACGCCAGGCTGGGGTGCTGCGGGGGTGGCCCGTTATTGGGGCCACGGAGCCGGTTTCTGTGGCCCCATACACCCGAGCTCAGTCCCTGGCAGCTGGACGCAAAGGGCCTGACCATAGACACAGGCTGCAGACTAGAGAGCTAGAATTTTCTTTTTTTTTTTAACATAGGAGTCTCAATGTTGACCGCAAGCTGGAGCTGGAGTACAGTATTGAGATCTTGGCTCACTGCAACCTCCACCTCCTGGAGGTTCAAGCAATTCTCCCACTTCAGCCTCCTGAGTAGCTGAGATTACAGGCATGTACCACCACCCCTGGCTATTTTTTTTTTAAGTAGAGACAGGGTTTTACTATGTTGGCCAGGCTGGTATTGAACTTCGGACCTCAACTGATGCACCCACCTCAGCCTCCCGAAGTGTTGAGATTACAGGTGTGAGCCACCATACCCAGACAGAAATTCGAATTTAATGGCTACAATTTTAAAAGGCTGGAATTTATACGTTGAAGGAAATTTCCCAGAAACTGAAAAAAGAAATATGCATGGATTTTCATGGTAGAGAAAAGATAAGACATGTATTCAATCCATAACTGAATTCCCAGAATAACTGAAATTCAAAGATGAAAACTAGGGAGGAGAAAATCATGTAGAAACTACATAAAAATAAAATTTCTCTGAATTGAAGAATACAGGTATTCAGTTTGAAAGGGTCCATTATGTACTCAGCACAATTAATGAAAAAGATGCACAACCAGGATGGGCAATGTAGCAAGACTCCATCTCTACCAAAAAATAAAATGTTAGTCAGATGTGCCAGTGTGAGCCTGTAGTCCCAGCTACAGGGAGGCAGAGGTAGAAGGATTGCTTGAGCCCAGGAGGTCGAGGTTGCAGTGAACTGTGATCATGCCACTGCACTCCAGCCTGAGTGACAGAGCAAGACCCCAACTCAAAAAAAAAAACTCAACAGGCATTTTCATCAAATTCTAGTATATCAGATGAAAACATTGAAACAGCCTCGAGGAGCCTGGAGAGACAGCTTTTGAATAAAATGAGAATCAAAGTTGCATTAGGCTTCTGATTACCAACACTGGATATACATCTTTGTTACGAGCACATTGGTAGGTAGCCTTTCCCTCTTTCTCCTCCTCTGAGACAGTAAACAATGCAACAAAGAAAAATTAGGAACAAAATATAGAAGATTTTTTAAAATTGCCCCATTTTTTCAGCAAGTAGGTCACATAAATTCTGCAGTCAAAAGGAAAAACAATTAAAATTAAGAAAGTACAAAGAAAATATCAAAGTCCTTTATGAATAGCAAATCTGAGAGCATCAGCAAAACGATACTTCCCGAAAAGGAGGAACTTACCGAGAAATGCAAAATCTTCAATCCAAAAACCTAACAACTGAGTGAGCACAGAGCTGCAGAAGCTGAGCTTCACCAGAAGTCACGAGGTTGGAATGCAGAAAGAAAAGCACAGAGAACAGAGGGCTCTTAGCAGTACATCTCAGAAAGGTCCAGCAAAAACATACTCCCTGAGGTGAAAGGCTCACATGAAGCTGCAGGTGCTGAAGGGCCTGGGGAGTGCAGGGCTTGTGACAGACACTCTTCCAGATTCATCTCAGATCAAAGAACCAGAGAGAGCAGGGACACACACAAAAAAATTTCCCAGAAAAGCCACACCTGTCAGAATCAGTGGTCTCTATGACAATAAAGAGAAGGCCTTTGGAACATTTATAAATCCTGGAAGAAAACTCCGGGGCCTCCCACCATCCAGGAATCCATTTGCAAACTGCTGGCCCAGAAAACTGCATGCCACTAAAATATATGTTCAAGAAATGCTACAGCACAGGATCAATATAAATATTTTATAAGAAAAATTGTGAGAAAGCTGCAAAATTGACAAATGCATGAAAAACATTCACAAGAAAAACGTTGTTATAGAACAGATGAAAATGCTGACCATACATCTACCACAGAGTAAAATTCTTAATAAAATGTTCACAGGCAGAATTCATGCATTGGCTAAGGTCTGTTGGAGCACTCTGGCTTCACTACCTTTGGATTGAAAATATTCTTCCCATTCAGAGAACACAAAAATAATCATTAGTTTATTTTTATTTTATGACTTCAATTTTTCCTCTTTATTCCATCTTTAATCTTTTCTAGAATTGGTTTGAGGTAGGAATATAACACATTTTTCTCATATACCAACTATATATTTTAGAATGGGGAAATACATATCCTCAAATAAACCACTATGCATGCTTAATTGACTGGTAGAAATTCTCGGGTTTGATGCATCATTGTTATCTATATCAGCTTCTTCAGCAAGCCTGTTGCTCCCTTCGGAGAGCCCAGCAATGTTACTGATGTCTTACATAGTGCATGTCTCTGGATGCTCACCGCCAAAGTTACAGATTCTCCCACAAAATCCAACGCTATATTTAGAACTCAAGATGCTTTTTTTTCAGGTACATATAGTATCTTAAAAAGCAATTTTAAAAAAAGGGCCAATTCATAGTATTGTATTATAGTATTTGAAATATTTGTAAGTTATTTTGGGACTAGGGGGTTTTGCTTAAAAATAAAAATTGTTAATAATAGCTATTATTACTTAGAAATAACATAATCTGCATATAGGGGTGGCTCACGCCTATAATCCCAGCACTTTGGGAGGCTGAGGCAGGCGGATCACTTCAGGTTCGGAGTTTGAGACCAGCCTGACCAACGTGGTGAAATCCTGTCTCAACTAAAAATACAAAAATTAACCAAGTGCAGTAGAGCGCACCTGTAATCCAAGTTACTCAGGAGGCTGAGACAGAATAACTGCTTGAATGTGGAGAAAGAGGTTGCAATGAGCAGAGATCATGCCACTGCACTCCAGCCTGGGCAACAGAGTGAGACTCCAATTAAAAAAAAAAAAAAGAAAGAAGAAAGAAAGAAAGAAAAAGAAAGAAAAGAAAAGAAAGAAAGAAAGAAAGAAAGAGAAAGGAAGGAAGGAAGGAAGGAAGGAAGGAAGGAAGGAAGGAAGGAAGGAAGGAAGGAAAAGAATCTATATAGAGGATTCCAGCATACAAAAATGTTAAATTATTTTACATTTATCTCATGTGATTTTAAAAATACTTTTACTGGGAAAATTTATTTATTTATTTATTTGCCTTTGCAAAGCTTTTATTTCATGCCTGCAGCATGGAATCCACCTGTTCATGGCGTCTTAACTGCAAAGGAGAAAGCAGTGCACAAGAAGGAATGAAGAGTGGGCAGAAGGAACGACCTTCCAAAGCTGCTTCCCTGCAGCCTGCCAAGGCCATGGCAGAGATGGAAACAGACACGCATGAGCGAACAGTCTCATGGCTGGAGTCTAAATGGTCACAGTGGCATGTGTATATCTGACAAAATTAAAAGTGTGCATAGTCTGTTACATGCATAAAACACTAACAATAAAAATCCTGTTTACAAGTGACTGCAGCAGGCAGGTGACTCACGACTGCCCTGCCACATCACATCAAATGCCATGGTTAGAGGGTTTTCCATATGTAATTCTTATTCTGTAAAAGGTAACAAAATATACAGAACAAAACTTTCCCTTTTTAAAACTAATGTTACAAATCTGTATTATCACTTGTACATAAATACTATATAGCTGATCAATCAGGTGTATAAGTACAACAATGTAGTTTTCTAACTGTTAAGCAAAAAACCAACAAAACTAAAAATTTATCCAGGTGTCCTCCTCTGCTGCTCATGCTGATGACCACTGTGATTTCTGCCAGCTGCATGGAGTGACAGGAGGAGGGAATCGTTGTGTGTGCGAGTGCTTGTCTCATTTCTGAAATAATTTTCAACGCTCAAAGCATGTAAATATACAAAGATGGATCCTTCACAGAAATTAAAATCAAAAACCAATTTGAGCTAGTTTCAAATGCAGAGGAAGTATGGCACAGATGGAAGCCACGCCGCAGTTTCCTTTAGTGATACAGAATCTTGTGTCACACAGGCCAGCATAAAGTTTCTTACTCAGACTTTACAGGCATTTTCCGTAATTCAATCAGTCCTGCTCTCAGCACAACACAGGAGGTGATTTGAAAATAATCTCAAGAATCAGGCCTGCTTGGCACTATGATACAACTGGGGAAAACCAACCAGGGTGCCTCCCTGGTTCCCAGCCCAGAATGGTTCTGTTGGGTAATGCTTTTTACAGGAACTGGGATCTGATGAGGGAGTTCCTAGACTTGGGAGTACTAAAGACACAAGCATGACGAGGCTGGCAGCGTTGACAGCAGCGCCAACTGTGAGCGCCCCTCTGCCCACGGTCCTGGCCTGGCCACTACATGGCCTCGAACTCGTCAATGCGCTGCTTGGTGTTGCCCCGCCGGATCTGCCGCAGCGTCTTGTACTTGTCCCGGCCTTGCCTCATGTTCTCATTGTGGATGATGTCATTGTGGGTCCTCTTATTCTCATCTGGGGCCTGGGACAGCTCGCTGCTCAGCGTCAGCAGCTGCCGCTGCACACGCTCATTCTTCTCCGCTTCGGTAATACGCTTCTCCTTGTTGCGGTCATCCCGGATGCCCTCACCAGACAGCTCTGTGCTGTAGCCCATGGGCTCCACACCCTCATCCTGCAAGCTCTCCTGGACATGGTAGCTCACTGGCTCGTACACGGGGTGGTGGGGGCAGGGGTGCCATCATCACCAGGTACAGCTCCTCCTTGGTCCTCACCAGGTCATCCTGGGCTTCTTTGGCCCTGTGCTGCCACTCTTCAACCTCATCCTCCTTGCACCTCTGCGCCTCTTCCAGGAGGGCAATCTTGGCAGTGTACTCCGCAAGCTCCGCAGCCAGCTGCTCCTGGCTCTTTATCTGATCCACCGTCTGACTCTCCAGCTCCTTAGCTCGCAGTGCAGCCATGCGGTCAGCCTCTAGGTGCTCGGCCTCCTCCTGTGCCCGCTTCCTCTCCTCCTCCAGCTGCAGGGCCCTCTGAATCTGTTCTGAGAGCTCTCTCTCTGCCTTCTTGGTCTTCTCATAGTCCTGCAGCCACAGCATCAGCTCCTCCTTCTCACGCAGCATCTGCTCTTTCTCTCTCTCCAGTTTCTCTCCTTTTCTTCTCTGTTTCCAGCTGTTGCCATTCCAGCTGCTTCTGATGCTTCTCCTCCCGGGCCTGGGCCTTCATCTGACTGCACCTCGATGGTGTCGGGCTTCCTGTGGCGCATGTACAGATCATGGTTGCCCATGCAGAGCTGCAGGATCCACTTGTTAATTCTCAGGCAGGGGGCATAAAACACAAAGTCAGGTGCCTTCTTGTCTATGGGTTTAATGAAACTTTTTGTCATTGAAAGAGATGTTCCTGATTTCACTCCAAGGGAAGCCAATCTTTGGAGTTAACTTATCATCTTTTTCATAAATATTCAGTCCAAGGGCATCAACTCCAAGCCAAATGTCTGTTCCTTTCTTGTTTTTTATCTCAAAATAGTTGATTCCACACATTTCCAGGTCCTGAGCAATCTTCAGGTATTCCAACATAGCGTTATCTTTGAGCATCCCACAGTGTTCCGCATGCCACACCTGGATCCGGTCTTCCCACTGGTCCCTGGTAAGTTTGTGCTGGTCCATGACTCTTTGAGGGATCAGCCGCTCATAGCTGAGGTACCCAGACTTGTGCAAATCTTTGTTGTAGTCCCCAAACTTGGCCTGCACAGCATAGGACCCCAGGAGCACGGCAGTCTCAGGAGGGCAGTAGATCTCGTCACTAAGGATCCCTTCCTTCACTTGGAGGAAGAAAAGTTTCTGGGTGATGTCCTGGATGAGCTCCTCAGCCACATCTTCAGGGTAGAACTTGGCCTGGAACTTGAACTGGAGGGGATTCTCCTTCCTGACCTCCTGGGCAGACACCTTCTTATCCAGCTTCAGCCAGGTAGGAAATCCTTTATTATCCACATACTGGAGGCCAAAGTATCACACTTCCCAGAGACCTATAGTCTTCACCACCTGATCAGAAAGCTGTTTTCCAGTTGTATTTGGCTGGATTGCAAACTCCAGCTCTGCATCCATGGTGGTAACTCGGACATTGATTGGTTTAAGTATTTTCAGTTCTTGCTGAGTATCCTCGATGCCCGGAAACACGACTCTCCAAAAGCAGCAAAGACGCTGTCCTAACCCAGCACCTGCAGTGCTCAGTGAGCTCCCCTATTGGGAAAATTTTAAACACAAAGTAAAGCCAGGCATGGTGGCAAGTGCCAATAGTCCCAGCTACTCGGGAGGCTGAGGTGGGAGGATTGCTTGAGCCCAGTAGTTCTGGGCTGTAGTGTACTATGCCCAATCAGGTGTCTGCACTAAGTTCAGAATCAATATGGTGACCTCCTGGGAGTGGGGAACCACCAGGTTGCCTAGGTGTGAACGGGCCCAGGTCAGAAACAGAGCAGGTCAAAACTCCCAAGCTGATCAGTAGTGAAATTGCGCCTGTGAATGGCCACTGCACTCCAGCCTGGGCAACATAGCGAGACCCCCCATCTCTAAAAAAAAGAGAAAAAAGAAAAAAGCCCCTCCCTCCCCCATACCCATACTCAACAACCAGCTTAAAAAATTATCCACAATTCTTTCATTTTTCTGGTAATATTTGTTGATTACGTATTAAGCATCTAAGAATTTCTCAAGTCTGCTTTACCTCATTCAAGAATCCAAAACACTAGAAGAGGTAAGTCAAAGGCAGAGTAACTGTGAAACTTACTAATGGGTACCTTCCAAAAAAGGACCCAAGTAATATCTCTTCACATTTATATATTTTTGTTAAATTTGCAAAAAAATTTTTTTGGAGACGGAGTGTCGCTCTTCAGCCCAGGCTGGAGTGCAGTGGTGCAATCTCAGCTCACTGCAACTTCCACCTCCTTGGTTCAAGGGATTCTCTTGCCTCATTCTCTCGAGTAGCTACGACTACAGGCACATACCACCACACCCAGCTAATTTTTTGTATTTTAGTAGAGACTGTTTCGCCATGTTGCCCAGGCTGGTCTCGAACTCCTTAGCTCAGGTAATCCACCTGCCTTGACCTTCCAAAGTGCTAGGATTACAGACATGAGCCACCCCGCCCTGCCACAGAAATATTTTTACCATAATCAGTTAAGACTACTGTCTCCTTCCATTTCACCTGCACCTTCTGTGTACTTTCCCTTCCTGTTGTAACCATGTAGTGGCAGCAGACATTTCTGAGATCTTGTTAATGAGTGACTGGGATGTATTTGTATACTCTGAAATCTCTTCCATGTGTAAACTATTGCTGTCCATCTCAGTTGGGAAGTCTTCTAAGAATACTTTGGTCAATTGAAACAATATTAAGAGCAGTCACTTCACAAAAAATTGAAATGCTCTGAAATCTTGTAGTTCAGAGGTGACTCTTAAAAGAAGTTACCCGGTCGGGCGCAGTGGCTTACGCCTGTAATCCCAGCACTTTGGGAGGTCAAGGTGGGCAGATCACGAGGTCAAAAGATCGAGACCATCCTGGCCAACATGGTGAAACCCCATCTCTACTAAAAAAAATACACAAGGCTGGGCGCCGTGGCTTACGCCTGTAATCCCAGCACTTTGGGAGGCCGAGGTGGGCGAATCATGAGGTCAAGAGATGAAGACCACCCTGGCCAACATGGTGAAACTCTGTCTTACTAAACATACAAAAAAATTATCTGGGCGTGGTGGCGTGCGCCTGTAGTCCCAGCTACTGGGGAGGCTGAGGCAGGAGAATTGCTTGAACCTGGGAGGCGGAGGTTGAACCTGGGAGGCAGCAAGCCGAGGTCGTGCCACTGCACTCCAGCCTAGCACCTGGTGACGGCGTGAGACTCTGTCTTAAAAAAAAAAAAAATTAGCTGGGTGTGGTGGCGTGCCTGTAGTCCCAACTATTTGGGACGCTGAGGCAAGAGAATTGCTTGAATCTGGGAGGCGGAGGTTGCAGCGAGCCGAGATTGCACCACTGCACCCAACCTGGTGCCTGGTAACAGAGGGAGACACTGTCTCAAAAAAAAAAAAAAAAAAAAAAGAAGTTTCCCTACATGTGATAATAATCCTAAAAAATTACACTGTATTAGTCATAGTTGAGAATTTGAAAGAAACCTATGTAAACTGTCAAAAATAAAAAAATCAAATTTCCATTAACTAAGCTAGAGGATACTCTAAATTATCCTTCTATTCCTCTATAGAAAATGCCATTACAGAACTGTCAGATGGAGACAATCAATGCATATATAACCAAAAGAAAACTCAGGGCCAGGCACAGTGGCTCAGCCCTGTAATCCTAGAACTTGGGGAGGCCAAGGTAGGTGGATTCCTAGAGCTCAGGAGTTCCAGACTAGCCCGAGCAACATGGTGAAACCCTGTCTCCACAAAAACATATAAAAATTGGCCCAATGTGGTGGCACGTGACTGTGGTCCCAGCTACTCAGAAGACTGAGGTGGAGGTTGCAGTAAGCTGAGATCGTGCCACTGCACTTCAGCCTTGGTGACAGAATGAGACCCTGTCTCAAAACAAACCAACCAACCAACCTAGAAAAAAATAATTATAGAGCTGTAATTAATAAAAACATCATGCCTTTTTCACATCTATATTTTGTGATATTGTTAACTTTTAAATATTGTGAAGATTACAGTGATTTCTTTCTTTTTTTTGAGACAGAGTTTCGCTGTTGTTACCCAGACTGGAGTACAATGGCATGATCTCGGCTCACCGCAACTTCCACCTCCTGGGTTCAAGCAATTCTCCTGCCTCAGCCTCCTGAGTAGCTGGGACTACAGGCGCGCACCACCATGCCCAGCTAATTTTTGTATTTTTAGTAGAGACGGGGTTTCACCTTGTTGACCAGGATGGTCTCGATCTCTTGACCTCGTGATCTACCCGCCTCGGCCTCCCCAAGTACTGGGATTATAGGCGTGAGCCACCATGCCCAGCCGTGATTTATTTTCTTAATCTAAATATTTCAAATAATTTCTAATGGTGTATTCACAATTTTGTGGGATTATTTTTCTTAGAGTGTGCCAAATTCAGTAATCAACAGGGCCCACAAAACCTGAAACTAGGCTAGGTGTGGCTCACGCCTGTAATCTCAGCATTTGGGGAGGCTGAGGTAGGATCATCACTTGAGCCTAGGAGTTCGAGACCAACCTGGACAACAGAAGAAGACCCCTGTCTCTACAAATAATTTTAAAATTAGCTGGGGATGGTGGTGCATGCCTACAGTCCTAGCTACTTGGGAGGTTGAAGTAGGAGGACTGCCCATGTCTGGGAGGTCAAGGCTGCAGTGAGCCGTGACTGTGCCACTGTACTCCAGCCTGGGCAACAGAGTGAGAACTTGTCTCAATAAATAAATACATACACACATACATGGAACCATTCAATATGCAATTATTATCCTTGCTGAAAGACAGATAAATTAACACTCAGAGACATTAATTAACTCTTCCAGGCCATCCTCATATTAAAAGGTGGAACATAATTTAAAATCACATTTTTCAGGCCAGGTGCAGTGGTTCATGCCTGTAATCCCAGCACTTTGGGAGGTCAAGGCAGGAGGATCACTTGACGCCAGGAGTTCAAGACAAGCCTGGGCAACATGGCAAGACCCAGTCTTTATAATAAAAATAAATAAACAAATCAAATTTTCAGTTCCCAAAACATTCAATAGTAATTTTGGTTATCTGTTCATAACAAACTATGACCCTGGCAATTAACTAAACCTCTTGAAATATCAATTTTACTATCTACAAAACACAGAGACCCTATTAGATCATCTTTAAATTGCCCTTTCATAACCAGGCCAGTGAGTGCTACCTTGAGTTCAGTACCAGATGGAGGGCACAGACTCATTATAACCTTAAACTATCCTGAACAAAGTGGGGAGCCAGTAAAAGCTTTTCAGTAGAGGAAAAATATGTTAGACTTCATAGACCAGCTAATCAACCACCCATTCCCAATTATTTCTCCCTTGCCTACTTCTAATACAAAAGCTATGAAAGGTAAAAGCTCACATTCCAACTTTCCCTTGCAACGAGTATGGCCATGCTGACACAGTTAAGGCCAGTGAAATATAAGTCTGCTTAGTAACGCTTCTGACAGAGCTTCTGACTTCCTGATGAATATGCAGGGTCTGACCCAGCCCTTGCCATGTTGCTTTACATTGAGCATCCCTGAAATTGTGCCAGGCATCCTGCAATTATGAGAGAAAGACCTAAATCTCTCCAGATAACACAACAATGACACTTCAGCTACTCAAGCAAAGATTGTAGCCATCCCAGATTTGCTATACAAGATTATAAATCTGTTTAAGTGATTTGAGTTTCTTGTCTAAATGTCTTCTCAATAATTTATATAAGAATAAATGTGTACTTTAGAATAGTTAATCCTTAGTATAAAGAATATGTAATATTAACAAGGGCTAAGAATGAGGGCAGAGAGACTTATTACAAAGTTATTATATTACTCTAAGCAAGAAAAATGGCAACTTAAACCAAGATAACTACAGGAAGAGAGGTGGAAGAGACAAGGCAAGGTAGATGAAGAAAAGGTTTCAAATATCTTCGACATTTCTAGTTTAGCATCAAGGGAAATGGTTGGACCATTTCTCAAAACAGGTATGATGACAGATGAATAAATTCAACTTTGGACCTATTCATTTGGTTGTGAAACTGAAGAAAAGACAGTTCACCACAGATCCTGAAGTCAAAAGTAAGGTCTAGATTGCTGAAACTTGGCTTTAAGAGTAACTATCACATAGGGTAGTGCTATCTAATACAACTACACTGCAAGCCACATATGTAATTCTAAAATAGAAATACAAGGCCAGGCGCAGTGGCTCACGCCTGTAATCCCAGCATTTTGGGAGGCTGAGGTGGGTGGATCACGAGGTCAAGAGATCAAGACCATCCTGGTCAACATGGTGAAACCCCGTCTCTACTATAAATAAAAAAATTAGCTGGGCATGCTGGCACGCGCCTGTAGTCCCAGCTACTTGGGAGGCTGAGGCAGGAGAATTGCCTGAACCCAGGAGGCAGAGGTTGTGGTGAGCTGAGATCGCGCCATTGCACTCCAGCCTGGGTAACAAGAGCAAAACTCCGTCTCAAAAAAAATAAAAATAAAATAAAATAGAAATACAGTGATAAATCACAGGCGACAAAGTAGACTCAAATATTCAAATTGTTCCAAACATAATTATCATTTTCTTTTATTTCTCATATCCACACTGAAAAAAAATCCCATTCGTCTTTTTCAAAATAATTGATTTGTCTTCAGACCAAAAGCATATCAGTTTGAAAACATTTGCCTAAGTTAGGTAAATTCAATAAATCTTATGTAAGCTCAGTTTACTGTTAACACTGAATTCAGAGTTACTGAGTATACTGAAAAGCAACCCTAAATCTAATCGATAGAGCAGTTTAAAAATTTTTCTTAGTTTTTACAGTAAATTTACATGACACTATCAAATACAATTAAAACTTCAAGCATATTGACTTATGTTAGAAAAATGAATACAATTAATCTCACTGATTTGTATTTTTAGAAGTTTTGATTTCAATATAAACTCTAGTACTTGTCTAGGTCAGGCACAAGTAAGCTTTTTCCTATCCTTGGAGCTTCAAATTTAGATCATTCATATGCCATGGGATATTGGGTAGAAAAATTAAACTGCAATTTTTGGTCTTTGATTATTAAATATTTGGCCAACATTCCTGTTACAGAAGAAAATCTTGGACTTAACAGTACAGTAAGTTTTGTAGAGCTCTTCTACAATATGACCAACTGACTGACAGGGTATATAAGATCACTAAATTCATCTCTTAATTCTTTACAGAATCCTATAAGTTGGTATTGATTTGTACCATGTATACTTACATAATGGGCACTTAACTGTACCCAACAAGTGACAATTTGTTGTAGAAACCATTTCAAAACACTGAGCAGATTTTCAAACCGTAACATTTAGTAGAATGAAGAAATAACAGAAACATCAAGTTTGTTAAAAAATTCCAATGAAATCTGACTTTTTTAACCTAACTTAGCTGGAGCATCATTTATTGTGGCAGAAAATAGTTTTTTTTCTCCACCAGCTTAAACTGTTCTAAGTAGAGATTTTAAAATAGCTGTAGTGTGTGCAGTGCTATTTTAACGTGTGCAGTGGCTCACACCTGTAATCTCAGCATTTTGGGAGGCTAAGGTGGGTGGATCATTTAAACCAGGGAGTTCAAGGCTAGCCTGGGCAATATGGGGAAATCCTGTTTCTACCAAAAATACAAAAACTAGCCAGTTATGGTCATGTCTGCCTGTAATCCCTGCTACTTGGGAAGCTGAGGTGGGAGGATGGCTTGAGGCTGGAAGCAGACGTTGCAGTGAGCCATGATCACACCACTACGGGGGCGACAAAGCAAGACTCTCCCTCAAAAAAAAATTAATTAAAAAAAAATTTTTTAAGCTACATAATTTTGACTTTTTTGTTTTTTTGAGATGAAGTCTTGCTCTGTTGCCCAGATGTGGTGCGATTTTGGCTCACTGCAACTTCCACCTCCCGGGTTCAAGCAATTCTCCTGCAAGTAGCTGGAAATACAGGTGCCTGCCATCACACGCAGCTAATTTTTGTATTTTACGAAAATACAAAAGGGTTCACTTTCTTGGTCGGGCTGGTCTCGAACCCCTGAACTCAGGTTATCCACCCCGTCTAGCCTCCCAAAGTGCTGGGATTACATGTGTGAGCCACCGTGCCTGGCCATAAATTTGATTTATGAGGCCATGAATTGAAATTATTTCTTCCACCGGGCGCGGTGGCTCAAGCCTGTAATCCCAGCACTTTGGGAGGCCGAGGTGGGTGGATCATGAGGTCAAGAGATCAAGACCATCCTGGTCAACAAGGTGAAACCCCGTCTCTACTAAAAATACAAAAATTAGCTGGGCATGCTGGCATGTGCCTGTAATCCCAGCTACTCAGGAGGCTGAGGCAGGAGAATTGTCTGAACCCAGGAGGAGGAGGTTGCGGTGAGCCGAGATCGCGCCATTGCACTCCAGCCTGGGTAACAAGAGCGAAACTCTGTCTCAAAAAAAAAAAAAAAAAGAAATTATTTCTTCAAAATTTTTAAGTCCTATGAGACACAATGTAGTGTGTTAGTGGGTAGTTTTTCATATTATAAAACTGTTTTAAAACTACAGAAGTGTACTTCTAATTTCTCAGATTTACAATCAATCTTTAATATTGCTAGGTCCTGTATTTTATAAGCAGTTGTTTGGTGCTTAACTAAAGGCCTTGTACTTTTTTTTTTTTTGAGATGGACTCTCGGTCTATCGCCAGGCTGGAGTGCAGTGGTGCAATTTCTGCTCACTGCAACCTCCACCTCCCGGGTTCAGGCAATTCTCCTGCCTCAGGCTCCCGAGCAGCAGGGACTACAGGCGTGTGCCTCCACGCCCAGCTAATTTTCTTGTATCTTAGTAGAAATGGTGTTTCACCATGTTGGCCAGGATGGTCTCGATCTCCTGACCTCCTGATCCACCCACCTCAGCCTCCCAAAGTGCTGGGATTATGAACATGAGCCACTCCGCCTGGCCAAGACCCTGTACATTTTAATAAACATCTTATTTAGGCTGGTACTCATAATTTTCTAACAATTTCCTCAACCAAAATAATTTATTTCACATTTATACATTTAAAACTAGTTCTCAGTCAGTCATGGTGGCCCATGCCTACCATCCCAGCACTTTGGGAGGCCAAGGCAGGAGGACTGCTTGAGCCCAGGAGTTCAGTACCAACCTGGGCAACACAGCAAAACCCCGTCTGTACAAAAACTAGCTGGGTGTGGTGGCATGTACCTGTATTCCCAGCTACTCAGGAGGCTGAGGTGGGAGGACTGCTTGACCCAAGAGAAAGAGGCTGCAGCAAGTGACTACAGTCCAATCTGGGTGACAGAGGAAGACCCTCCCCTCTCCCACCCACTCAAAAAAACCTAATTCTTTCATGTATGAATCTCAGATATTTTTTATCTGGCCAAACTTATAACCTTAGTTTCTTCTAAAATTGTTTTTAAAATTTTTTATTAACTCTAATTTCAGGTGACTAAATTTCATGATTATTTTTGGCATAAGAAATGTAATTTACCTAAATTCATTTTGCTCCTGCTGAAGTCTCAATTTTCCTCCTTCAATTGTTTCTTAAATAACAGCTTGTTTTGCTCTGCCACAGCAAACTGCAATTGCCATTGTCAAATCCACAACATACCTTCTTTGAGTCTGTTTGTTTACTGTTCCAGTTGTTGTACTAGGTTCTGCATCTCCACTTGATTCTTTTTCAGTATGCCTTCATTTTAAATTTAAAAATTTGCTCATATTCATGTATAAACTAGAAAAATAATTTAATCATGATTAAAATAAGTATTTCAATTGCCAGTTACAATTTACACAGGAATCACTGTAATTCCTGTTGTCTGCATAAAATATTCAGATAAACATGATGTTACATCAATTCATAGAAAAAATAATTTGCACTGAATCCATCTGCTGACAGAGGTATAATATCTATCAGCAGTAAGTTTATATTCAGTATTGGATATGACACACAAGTTTGACAGGCACACTACAACAACCAAACCTTATGCAAGGTAACAGAGTAAAATGTATTTCTGAAAAACAGCAAAGCTAAGCAAAAAAAAATTTTACATTTTCAGTTTTTATATTTAATTAAAATTAAGTAAATTAAATTTTACTTTTAGTCCTACTGAGCTGATTAGCCACATGTGGCTAGTAATTACCATACTAGATAGCACAGATATGGAAATGAGAAAAGAGCCAAAAGGCGTACAGTTTTGATTCCATTTCTCTTTTATTTGATGTAACCTCCAGGACTTAGAACTTATCTGAATCCTGTTATTTTTTTTGCATCCTTACTTAAAGTAAAACAGTACAAAATTATAAATGGTGTTTGTTCTGCACAGAACTTCATGGAATATGTATTATGACCCACTCTAGCAAACATGGGCCAATCTCTAAAAAACTATAGCTCCTAAAACCAATCTTCGAGGTTATCTTGTTAAACGCTTTTAAACAGCAACATGCTGATAAAAGTTTAACTGGCTTTCCAAAACAACAAAAAAACCCTTTATATATATATAAAGGATGTATAGTACATAATTTACAGATGATAAAAAACACATAAAATATTATATTGTAAGTTCCATATAGCCAATTGATTCTCATGGAAGACTTTTGTTGCCTTTTGCCGAACTCTTGTATCTGTAGCCAACCTGTGGTTGCAATTTGACCAAGATTTTACAAATGGTGTTGCATCCCAATCTGCTAATTCCTTCCCCAATAAATTTATTGTCATTAAATCTGATACATGATCTCTTGTTAAACTACTTCTCACCCTTGTACAAATTATGTTCATTAAATTGAAACCTCTTTCAGTTTCAGCACTATTGATTGCAATGGTGCTCTTTCTAGCTTTTGTATAGTTGTAGGAATTGAAACATTGATTTTGTATCGTCGTTTACAAATTCCCGAAAATCATTCAAATCAACTTCATATTTTAAAATTTCACACAAATGAAATAATTTTTTTGCACCAGCTATCCATGGTGAAGTTATTTCTTCATAAGGCCATGTAGAAGGTTCTAGCAAATCAAGGTAATTAAAAATACTTTCATCATGGTTTTGCTCAGATAAAAGGCATAGATTCATGTGCTGAATTATATTGTCTAGTAAGATATTCCTAGGAAGAGCATTACATTTATTGTTTTTATTAAATGGAATATCTTTAAACTTATTTGACTTGATTAAAGCTTCAATTTGAGATTCATACTTTCCAGTATGAATTTTTAAGTTTTCCAAAGCTCTTATGGTACATTTGATCAATTTTTGTGCTTTCTGAATATTAGTTGATCTTGACTGTAATGCAGTAGAAAGTACTGAAAATTCTTCAAGGATGTCAATCATTAAACCAAGGTCTTGTAAGAAATTAACGTTAGCTAATCTCTTTGCCAAACCAGAGTAAGAATGAGAAAAATGCATGTATAATACAGGATACGCATGCCATACAGCAGTAGCAGCTTGTAAACTACATGCTGCCCATTTTGGTCCCATAACCAGACCAATTTTAATAATTTCAGTTTCAAGTTCTTTAGCTACAGTTCCTAGAAGCTTGGTTTGATTTTTATTAGGTTGATGATAAATAGAATAAATTTTATCAAGAAATATTTTTAAATGATTAATTTGTTTTATTTCAGATATAGAATCATCAAGTGAGAATTGCAATCGATGATTTAAACAGTTCCAAATGATGATTTCAGGAAAAATTTCTAACAATTTTGTAGTTACTCCAGACTTTCTTCCCAGAATTGTATTAGCACCATCAGAACAAAATGCAATTAGATTTGCTTTCAAATAATCATTTGTAAAACCACAATCATTTAAAGTAGTCACTAATGTATTGAAAATATACTCTGCTGTAGTTGACACCAATTCTTTTAAAGCAACAAATAACATAGCAGGTGCAGAAGCTGACTGAATTGTGCACTGGAGATAAATCACTAGGGTGCTTTTCTTTGAAACTGTAGATGTCTCATCAATTATGATACAGATTTTGGCATTCTCTTCGATAATATTCTTAAATATCTTCATTTTCATTTCTTTTGCAATATGTTCTGCTATTCTTGTTGCACTGTAACATGTATTTAAACAATTTACCTCTGCATTTTTTTCCTGTAATTCCATTGCTCCCTCAATATCAGATAAAGGTCTATTATGTTTTACTAAACTGTAAACAGTATTGAAAACTTTTACAGTAGCATCAATGTTTTTATTATTTTGTTTATGTACGAAATTGGAAATTGAATCATTAGCTGATTCCTTTAACAAATCCTGAATTTTACCATGAGCTTTAGAAACATCATGTTCCCTAATTTTTTTTTGCAGAGAAGCTTGTCTAGTAGTTTTATTACTGCCATTAGGGGTTACTAAATATGCAATCCATTCCTTGGACACATGAATATGCTTTTCTGCTTTTGATCCTAAATGCCGAACTGTTGAAACAATCTTTACATCCTAATTTACCTTCTTTTATTTCAAGCCATTTGTACTGTTCTGTAAACATAAATGCTTGTTTTTCATTCCAACAATCTGGAAGCACAAGATTATCTATTTCTTCCTTTGATGAACATGATGGTTTTTCTTCAATGAATGGCTGTTCAATATACTGGAAATGTAGTTCCTTTGCCTTAGACAATCCGCAATGATTTTTCCCCACTTCATTATTTTCTGTGTCTGTTTTCACCTTCTTCACTTTTAAAAAATGCAAAAAATCACCCTGTCGTTTGGCATTTTAGGAAACAGAATCTGAAAAATAATTTCATATATATGTAAGTAAAATTCATAACATTTTAAGGGTCAATGTAAAAAGTTAACTTAATGAATCTTTATCTAATTTTGGAAATACATTTTAAACTTAAATATTTAACCTGATTTTCAGCTTGTATCTATAACATCAATATGATGTGGGTGGGTGTGGTGGCTCACGCATATAATCCCAGCACTTTGGAAGGCTGAGGTGGGCAGATCATGAGGTGAGGAGTTCAAGACCAGCCTGGCCAACCCCATCTCTACTAAAAATACAAAAATTCGCCAGGTGTGGTGGCATGTACCTGTAGTCCCAGCTACTCAGGAGGCTGAGGCAGCAGAATCACTTCAATATCAGGAGGTGGAGGCTGCAGGAGCTGAGATCACACCACTGCACTCCAGCCTGGGAGACACAGCGAGACTCCATCTCAAGAAAAAAAAAAATTATTTATATAAATAAATATATAAATATGTATATTTTATATATACATATATATTTATATTTATTTTAAATATGTATATATAAACATACATATTTTAAATGTATATATATATATACATATTTTTATATATATATGACTTGCTATTTCTTAAAAAACCCACTATCAGTTTTTAAAATTCTACAGCCAATAGTTTCACAAAATCTGACTATGAATTATCATTCAATTCAGCAAAAACGTTGGTCATGAGATCTGCAAATGAGTATATTATCTGCACCTCTTCATACCAAAATCCTCCCATGCTCAAGTCCCTTGTATAAAATAAGGTATTTGCACTCAACCTATGAATATGCTCCTATATACTTTAAGTCATTTCTAGATTATTTTTAATACCTAATATAATGTAAATGCCATAAAATAGTTTTTGTAATGTGTAGTTTGTTAATGTACATTATTTTTTATTATTGTACTTATTATTTAAAAAATATTTGCCATCTGCAGTTGGCTGTATCCACAGATATGGAACCCACAGGATGTGAAGGGCTGACTGAAGTAGCAATATAAAATTTGGATAATATCTTCAATTACATTAATGAATAAGATGAAAGTGAAACAATACAGGCATATATTAGAGTTTCACTCATTCATCAATAACATCAACATCTTTCTGAACTAATAAAGAGTTTCGAATTTTTTTTTTTTGAGACAGAGTCTCACTCTGTTGCCCAGGCTATAGTGCAGCGGTGCAATCTTGGCCCACTGCAATCTCTGCCTCCCAGGTTCAAGTGATTCTCCTGCCTCAGCCTCTCAAGTAGTTGGGACTACAGGAATGCACCACCACACCCAGTTAATTTTTGTATCTTTGGAAAAGATAGGGTTTCACTATATTGGGCAAGCTGGACTCGAACTCCTGACCTCAAGTGATCCACCAGCCTTGGCCTCCTGAAGTGAGGGGATTACAGGTACGAACCACCTTGCCTGACCGAGTTTTGGAATACTGCAAACCAACTTCCTCAATTTTTTGTATTTTATATAGTCTAGCAGAGACACATCATACATTGAAATTTAATCTGCATTAAGATTTTATCCTTCACTTCAAGTTTAATCAACAAATAATAAAATAAACTCTGGTTCGTATTTTACTGATCTTGATGGGGTATGTTCTTTTTTTTTGAGACGGAGTTTCGCTCTTGTTACCCAGGCTGGAGTGCAATGGCGTGATCTCGGCTCACCGCAACCTCCGCCTCCTGGGTTCAGGCAATTCTCCTGCCTCAGCCTCCTGAGTAGCTGGGATTACAGGCACACGCCACCATGCCCAGATAATTTTTTTTGTATTTTTAGTAGAGACGGAGTTTTACCATGTTGACCAGGATGGTCTCCATCTCTTGACCTCGTGATCCACCGGCCTCGGCCTCCCAAAGTGCTGGGATTACAGGCGTGAGCCACCGTGCCGGGCAGGGTATGTTCTATCATCACGCTGCAGCAGCACACTAGTATGTATTAATAGTATTTCTACCAGCAGATGCAAATAACCTCAAGTGCACAGATAGTAGGAAATAATACTATTAAGTATTACCTTAAATATAATGATCATTTATGTACTTGTGTGTTTATATACTTTAATTTTTAATAACTGCTATGTTTATAATCAGCTCACAAAATTCCTCAAAGTTTAACAATTAGTGTTGGTTTTTAGCCTTTTTTTTTTTTTTGTGAGATGAAGTCTTGCTCTGTTGCTTAGGCTGGAGTGCAATGGCATGATCTTGGCTCACTGTAACCTCCACCTCCCAGGTTCAAGCAATTCTCCTGCCTCAGCCTCCCAAGTAGCTGGGATTATAGGCACATGCCACCACGCATGGCTAATTTTTTGTACTTTTAATAAAGACGGGGTTTTGCCACGTTGGCCAAGCTGGTCTCAAACTCCTGACCTCCGGTGATCCAACTGCCTTAGCCTCCCAAAGTGCTGGGATTACAGGCGTAAGCCACGGCACCTGGCCAGTTCTTATGATCCAGTTCAAGCCACCTCCAACACATTATTGCACTTAATAAGAAAACTGAAAAAATAGAAATATAATGTTCTTACATCACTATGATAGGTGGTAGGCTTTTCATCATCACCACAGGCCAGATCAATGTATTCAAGAACGGGTCTCGACAGTCCTTCCTAAAAAGGAAGTGGGTAAATTTACAAGTCATGAACAATCGTTTAAAGTAAAATTATATTAACAATCAGTGGGAGATTTTTTTAGTTGGAATTGGCAAAGATTCCTGAGAAAATCTTGCAAGTGGCACAGAATAATTAGAACCAAAAGCGGCATGGGGCTGGGAGCAGTGGCTCACACCTTAATCCTAGCACATTGGAGGCCAAGGCAGGAGGATCACTTGAGCCCAGAAGTTCAAGACCAGCCTGGGCAACATAATGAGACCCCGACTCTAAAAAAAAAAAAAAAATTACATGGGTGCAATGGCTCACACCTGTAATCCCAGCTACTTGGGAGGCTGAAGTGAGAGGATCACTTAAACCCAGGAAGTTGGGACCACAGCGAGCTATAATTATGACATCCCATTCCAGCATAGATGAAAAAGCAAGACTGTCTCAAAAAAGAAAAAAAAAGAGGCATGGGAAAAGATTCAGAGTACATGAATATGTAATAATATTCTTGCTAGTAAAAAGTAAAAAAAAAAAAAAAAAAAAAAAGAATATGCAATAATGACAAAACCCAAAGAGCCTAAATCTATATAGAGGAATAAAACCATGTAGATTCCTTTCAAAATGGGAAATAGCACAGACATTGTATTAAAAAGATAATAGGTTTCAGCTAGGCACAGTGCCAGCCTCAGCTGCTCAGGAGGCTAAGGCAGGAGGATCACTTGAGCCCAGGAGTTCAAGTCCAGCCTGGGCAACATAGTGAAAAACTCACCCACTGGCCCTACCTCACACAAAAAAAGAAAAGATACAGATTTCATTGTACAATTTTTGTTTAACTGAAATGGTTATCAGTGATCTCTTAGATATCTGAGTTCAAAACAATGGAGTTCTTTGATAACCATGCTTTATCCTCTATATCACTATACAGCCAGACATCAAACTCTGAATCTTCTTCATCCTTTCTTACACACACACTACCCTCATCATAGATCAGGCCATAAATGCCCTAGTCAAAAGCCTAGATTTCATTCTATAGGTCAAGGAATCAATAAATAACATCAAGATGGGAACATTATTACAGCTGTTTCAAGGTTAACAACATATGAGAGTATGTGGGAAAATGCAAACAAGACAATCAATCTAGACAAATAGTAATGTGGTACAAAAACAGAGTCATGGCAAAGAGAAAGTAAATTTCTCTGTATGTGTACTGTATTTTAATAGAATTTACATCAAGATAAGAGCTCTTTTTGTACTCCCAAATCTTTTTTCATTGCTTTCTTTCAGCGTATTGTTTATTTTGGAGGCTAGGTATGTGATGAAACACAAAGAGGATTCTGTGCCACATGCAGAATGAAGGCAGGATAATCAAGATTCATATGAAAAGGCTAAGGAATCCAAACCAGAATATATTAAGAAGTAACAAACTTTTTAAAAAAAAATCTGAAGAACTGACAGAGACCTATACCCAGCAGCATTGCATTTTTTATTGGATGGTACTATAAAAAACAAAGAGAAATAAGCATATCCTGGTAGAGCCCAGTACAGGTTGGGGTTACAAAGGAAAATTGTCTCTGAATGTATGTTAAAGTAGAATTGTTATCATTGTCTTTTATGTGGCATCATTGAAATGCAACAGGGATGTTTTACTACATTCTTTCTTGTACTGCAATTACACTGTCAGCATGTAATTCACTTCTCCATATAAAAGCTGTCAAACCTTCGATCCTCTACTTTGAACAGGGTTAAAGGGTTCTATCACACTGGATATACAAAACATTGTATGAACTGATGTAGAAAGATCTCTACATTTAAAATACAATTTAAAGTAACAGTTTTAAACCTCAGCTAAACACAAGCCTATATATTAACACAGAACTTAAAATATAATGATTTATTCCTCAGGATATTACAGAAACCTATACTGATTTACTTTTCCAAACTTAATTTTGTAGATCCCTTCTATATTGCTCAATGGCACATGCATCATGAATCAGACATATGTCACTTCTACATACAGTTGCACAAAAAACTCAAGATCATCCCAATCATTCCTGTTTTTATACCAGTTAAGAGAAACCAAAATTATTTTTCCTAAAGACCCATGAAATTCTCTTCCCAAATGTTTCTTGTTACAAAAACAGACATTGCTCTTCGATTTTGAGTTATGTTGCTTACTCATCACAACAGTGCAGGCAGAGTCAGCATACAACCTCCCCTGGTACCATCAATATTTATAAAGGTTCCAAATGCCAGGAACAAAATATACACACACTATTAATGGGGAAGAATATCCAGAAAGTGACAATGTAAAGAAATTCTACACAAAACAAGAAAAACAACTTTGTTAACCAGACAATGTTTAGGGAGGAAATTTTAATTTAAAAAACAAGTAACTAACAAAGTCATCCTAAACCTACAAAAACCAAGAAACACAAAAACATTAGACACCATTAAAGAAAAATCCTACAGCTTGAATACCAAACTGTAACTAACTACCACATTCCAAAAGAGGAGTTTAGGACAGAAGCATTTTCTGCCTAGCGAGCTGAGATACCACTTTACGCTTTTCTAAAACTCCAATCATTATGCATGAAAATCACCCCAAAATATATCACAAAACACTCCCTTCTGCTTCAGAAACCAATGCTTTACAAGTGTGCTCAGAAATCCGTCTGTCCCTGCATTTGTCCGAAAATGAAGATTCCTAGGCCACACCTTGAAACTCTGATTCGGTAGGTCTGCAGTGGGGTCCAGGAATCTGCCTGGTTACATTTACTAAGGCTTAAAAACTACTGTCCCAAAGGGAAGAAACTCAGAAAAATAAAGCATGTTCCCAGTGATGCAGGATTCTGCCTTATGAGCATCAATCGTACTATGCTGTAACATGATGATCTCAGAGCTCAGTGAGATCTTCAAGCTATTTGCCTTCATGTTAGCAGCATCATAACGCTAAGACTCTGGACTCTGGCAACCATTCCTGTTCTCTCTGTTTTTGCTCATCATTAGCAGCTCCTTCCTCCATGTCGCCTTTAGAAGTTACTCTTGCTTCATTTCAAAACAGCGTCTTAGAGGCCAGCATTTTATCTTAAATCTACATGAAAGGCAGGGGCGAGATTAAGTGTACAGCACGTTCTTTAGGCCATGCTCTTTGTGATGGCTGCGGGGGTGGCTCAGATACCTCTTTTGGTAAATTTCCCAATCCTGTGCCATGCTCCATAGTGTCTAGTATGTATTAGACACTCAAACATTAGTTAAATGACCAGGTGAGGTAAACTTACATGATGGCCCACCATAGTCTTTAACTCTGGGAAAAACCCAATCATCAGTTGCTACTTACACTGACAAACTGAATGTCGTCCTCAGTTTCATCCGTTTTTGACTCAGATGCCTCAGGGCCAGCTGGAGGGGCAGATTCTATTATCTATAAAAACAAGCCAAAACACGCTTATCTATTCAGCCACATAATTAGAAGAGAGCTTTTCCGAAAGGAACAATTAAAAACAAAGAGCTCTCGAGGAAAACGAATTTTCCTGAGCACAATTTCATGCAAACCCCGGTAGGAGCAGAACTCGGAGTCGGCTCTGGCCACAGCGTGTGCGGAGCTGCAGGGACCGAACGCCGAAAACGCGTTACCAGCCTCTCAGAATTCCCCTTATCAACTCCAGGAGGAGGAACGCAAGCTCACTACCGCAGGGCAATCCTGCCTTAAAACGTCGCTCAACGAACGCCGGGGCCCGTGCGGGGGGCCGGGCGGCCATTGTTGCTGCGGGTTCCTCGTTCAGACATGCACCAGGCCCCAGAGCAGGGCTCGGCCCAAGACGCTGAAGAGGTATCGCCCCGAGGCTGCGGCGGAGCACCAGGCCTCAGACCGCAGAGAACACAAACCCTTAGCGGTTCACCTCTGAGAACGCCAGGGCCCTCACTCGACTACTCACCTCCGACCCCGGATCTCCCATTTCTCCGACGGCCGCGCTGACAGCACCACCGCTGCCGCTGTCCCTGCCGCCGCTGCAGCCACGACTCCCGTTCACGCCCTGCACCGCCTCGCGCTACCCGGACCTGACCCTGAGTGAGCGCCGACGCCACCGCGTAAAGAGAAAACAGCTTCATAGGAGCAACGGCCCTCCCTGGCCCGCTATCCCCCAGAGCCTCTTTCTCCCATTCCCGGGCTTCCTTCCCCGCGCCGCGCAGGATGCTGGGATAGTAGTCCCGATCCTCCGCGGGACCGCCACGCGCTAAATGAAGAATGGAAAAGGACTCTGAGCTACAGTGCAGGGGTCTCTCTTCGCTGTTGCTCTAAAATGAAATAGCAGAGTTCTTTCTCTTACCTTTTTCACAGCCAAATATTAGTCTATGTAATAAATCAATGGTGATTTTAAAAAATTGTGTGATTTGCTCAGAAAATGCCCTACCAAACTCGTGGCTCAAACTTTTATTTTAATATATATACACATATGATTTTAAACATGAAGTTTATGAAGGCAAATTTGAACAGAGAACATTCTTTTAAAGGTTTTCTTTTTTTACATCAGACTAGGACCACCTGTTATTGACAAATCTGTAGTCCCAGAAAATCACCTTTATGGTTTTGACCCTGACCTACAGTGCACAAAATTATACTGCAGAGGAGCTATGAGGCATCTAACTACACAAAGGAAAACACAGACTAAGATTTTAAGGAATGGTAGAATTGGTAAAATTTAAGTGAAGCAGTGTTTTGATAGGTTCAAAACTGTATATGGCTGTGTGTAAAGGGTTCAGCATCACATATGGACTGCACAGCGAGCCAAAGTTCTTGTTAACTTCAAAACTACAAGGTTAACACATACAGAATGTTGTGCTCAGAAACCCCTCCCTATGTGTAGCTGTGCACTATGTGTGTGGATTTATTTCTGGGTACTGTATTCTGTTCCATTGGTCTATGTATCTGTTTTTATACCAGTACGATGCTGTTTTGGTTACTATAGCTCTGTAGTAGAATTTGAAGTCAGGTAATGTGATTCCTCCAGTTTTGTTATTTTTGCTTAGGTTAGCTTTTGCTATTATTATTATTGGTCTTTTGTGGTTCCACATAAATTTTAGAATTGTTTCTTCTATTGTAATAACCTACCCTGGGCTAGCATAACGGACTCCATTTTACCTGTAAACTCCAACGTGGCTTCCCCCTCCTTACTACAGCTCCTTTGGGTGCATAACTGGGTCATGCTGCACTTAGAAGCATTGAAGCCTACTGTTCCTAACACTTGTAACCATTGTAACCGCATCCTGCTTGGCATACCTCCTCCCTGTTATTATAAGAAAAAAGTTTCCCTTTGATCATTGTGTAGAAGAAGCCTGATTGCCCCCCACTTCTTGGATCACCTGGGCTGGAAGCCCCTTCCTCTAACCTGCTTTTCTGTTTCTGTAAAATTCTGCTTCAGCTAGTTACTCCCCTCCCCTACCTAAATCAAGGTATAAAAGATAATCAGGCCCTTTCCTCGGTGCTGAGAGAATTTTGAGTGTTAGCCATCTCTCAGTCACTGGCTAATAAAGGACTCTTAATTTGGAACTCAGAGTGTGGCGCGTTCCTTCTAACTCGCTCGGTTACGACACTATTTCTGTGAAGAATGTCACTGGAATATTTATGGGGATTGGATTGAATCTGTAGATTGTTTTGGGTAGTATGAGCATTTTTTTTTCTTTTTTATACAACTTTATTTTTTATTTTAGTAGGTTTTTAGGAAGCAGGTGGTGTTTGGTTACATGCATAAGTTCTTTAGTGGGGGTTTCTGAGATTTTGGTGCACCCATAACCCAAGCAGTGTACAATGTACCCAACAGCTTTAATCCCTCACCCTTTCCCACCCCTTCCCCTGAGTCCCCAACGTCCTATGTATCATTCTTATGCCTTTGTGTCCTCATAGCTTAGCTTCCACTTATGAGTGAGAACATATGATATTTGGTTTTCCATTCCTGAGTTACATCACTTAGAATAATAGTCTCCAGTTCCATCCAGGTTGCTGTGAATGGCCTTATTTTGCTCCTTTTTATGGCTAAGTATACACACACACATATTTATATATACTGATGATTGGGTTTTTTCCCAGAGTTAAAGACTATGGTGGGCCATTATATAATTTTACCTCACCTGGTCATTTAACTAATGTTTGAGTGTCTAATACATACTGGACACTATGGAATATGGCACAGGATTGGGAAATTTACCAAAAGAGGTATCTGAGCCACCCCCTAGCCATCACAAAGAGCATGACCTAAAGAACGTGCTGTACACTTAACCTCTTCCCCCACCTTTCATGTAGACTTAAGATAAAATGCTGGCCTCTAAAACGCTGTTTTGAAATGGAGCATGAGTAACTTCTAAAGACGAAGTCTTGCTCTGTCGCCCAGGCTGGAGTTCAGAGGTGCAATCTCGGCTCACTGCAAGCTCCATCTCCCAGGTTCAAGTGATTCTCCTGCCTCAGCCTCCTGAGTAGCTGGGATTACAGGCACCCGCCATCACACATGGCTAATTTTTGTATTTTTAGTGGAGACAGGATTTTGCCATGCTGGCCAGGCTGGTCTTGAACTCCTGACCTCAAACTATCCACCCACCTTGGCCTCCCAGAGTGCTGAGATTACAGGTGTGAACCACCACACCCGGCCCCTTTAGATAAACTTTCTATCCCTGTCTGTCTCTTTAGCTTTTCTTTAAGGCCAATACCTCTTAGATGTGCACTTTTGAGGCTATTTTCTAGATCTTGTAGGTGTGCTTCATTCTTTTTTATTCTTTTTCTTTTGGCTTCTCCAACCATATATTTTCATGGAATCTGTCTTCAAGTTCACTTTTTCTTTCTTCTGCTTGATCAATTCTTCTACTAAGAGACTCTGATGAATTCTTCGGTATGTCAATTGCATTTTTCAATTCCTGAATTTCTGCTGGATTCTATTTAATTCTTTCAGTGTCTTTTTTAAATTTACCTGATAGAATTCTGAATTCCTTCTCTGTGTCAGCTTGAATTTCATTCCTGAATTTCTGCTGGATTCTATTTAATTCTTTCAGTGTCTTTTTTAAATTTACCTGATAGAATTCTGAATTCCTTCTCTGTGTCAGCTTGAATTTCTTTGAGTTTTCTCAAAACAGCTATTTTGAATTCTCTGTCTGAGAGGTCGCATATCTCTGTCTCTCTGGGATTGGCACTTGCTGCCTTATTTAGTTTATTTGGTGAGGCTGTGTTTTCCAAAATATCTTGATGTTTGTTTATGTTCATTGCTGTCTTAGCATCAAAGAGTTGGGTATTTATTCTTGTCTTTGCAGTTTGGGCTTGTTTGTACACATCCATCTTGAAAAGGCTTTCCAAGTATTTGAAGGGACTTGGGTGTTGTAATCTAAGGTTTTGGTCGTTGCAGCCATATCTACATTAAGAGCCACCCCAAGACCAGCAACACTGTAGTTCTTGCGGACTCATAGAGGTACCACCTTGGTGATATTGAATAAGATCTGGAAAAATTATCTGGATTACTATACAAAGACTCTTACTCTCTTCCCTTGCTTTCTCCCAAATAAACTGAGTCTCTCCCTCTGTGCTGAACTGCCTGAAGCTGGATGAGGGATGACATAGGCAGGGCTGTGATCACCCCTGTTGGGACTGGGCTGGGTCAAACCTGAAGCAAGCAGAGTACTGAGTCTTACCTACAGCATACTGTAACCACTATATAGCTGCCTCCTATATTTACTGAAGTCTCCAGTGCTCTGTAATCAACAAGTAGTGAAGGCAGCCAGTCTTGTGTCCTTCCCTTCAGGGTGGCAAGTTCCCCTGAGCCCCACATGGATCCAGAGATGATGTCTGGGACCCAGGGACTAGATTTAGAAACCTTAGAAATATACCTGGTGGGTATTCTACTACAGCCACACTGGCACTGAAACCACAAGATTAAGTCTTTCCCACTCGTACCTCTCTTTTTCCCAGGCAGAGGAGCCTCTCCCTGTGTCCACCACCACAACGTGCCCACAGGGAGTGCTGCCAGAGTGCCACCAATGTTCCTTTAATACCCAAGGGCTCTTCAGTCAGCTTGTGGTGAATCCTGCCAGGCCTGGAACTCATCCTTTAGAGCATTGGATTCCCCTCTAGCCCAGGGCAGGTCCATCCCTGAGCTAGATATATCACCCACAAGCCAAGGCCTAGAAATGGGGACCCATGAGCCTACTTGGTGCTCTTCCTTACTGTCGTCGAGCTGGTACCTAAGCTGCAAGACAAAGTACCCTATACACTTTTCTCTCCTTTTCTCTGGGAGAAGAAGTTTCTCACTGTAGCCACCACAGCTGTGAAGCCAGCACCTCTCAGAGTCTCACCCAAGGCCCACAGCATGTACTATTTGGTTACCACTACTCACTATTCAGGGCCCAAGAGCTCTTTAGTCAGCAGGTGATGAATCTTGCCAGGACTGAGTTCTTTCTTTCAAGGCAGTGGGTCTTCTTCTGGACCAGGGTGTGTCTAGAAATTTTGTCCAGGAGCTAGGGCCTGGAATGGGGGCCTCACGACTTATACCCACTACCCTATCCTACTGTGGCTGAGCTGGTATCCAAGTTGCAAAGCAAAGTCCTCCTCACTTTTCCCTCTTCTCTCCTCATACAGAACAAAGGGGTCTCTTTTGGAGCTGCAAGCTGTGCTGCCTAGGGTTGGGGCAGGGATGATGCGAGCACTCCCTTAGCTGACCCCAGTGGTGTCTGACTTGGTCAGGTGTCCCTTAAATCCACTGGCTCCAAGCCCAGCAGAGCTCCACAATTTACCTAGAAGTTTCTGTCCTTGTGGCCTGGACAAACTTTCAAGTTTATTTAGGACTCCAGAGCACATTAGCCTGCAGCTGCGAGGCCAACCAAGGCTCAGTTCCAACTGCTGGGGTGGGTGAATACCCTCTTGCTAGGGCTTTTAAAAATGCTCGCTCTGTGGGTGCAGGCTGAGTTCTGCCACGTGTTGGCAGTGCTGAGTTCCAATGCAAAGTCCCCCAATTGCTGTGCTCTCCCTCCCCTTAAATTCGTAATTCTCTATGCCATGTAGCTGCTGCTGGTGGACGGGAAGGGCTGGTGTCAGTAATTCAAGACTGTCTTTTCTATCCACTTCTGTGCCTCTTTCAGTGATGTGAAGTGAAAACCATTTACTGTGATCATCTACCTTATTTCTGCTTCTTATGAAAGTGCTTTTTTTGTGTAGATTGGTGTAAAATTTGGTATTCCTGCAGGAAGGTAAATTGGCAGAAGCTTCTATTTGCCCATCTTGCTCCACCTGCCCCCAGATAGTATTTTTGTTTCTTCAGGAGGAGAAGGCTTCCACAGGCAGTTCTTAAAAACCAAACAAATCATTATTTCTTCCCCCCCTTTATCTCTCTCCCCCGCCACTTTTTCTGGAGTCTAAAATTTACCTCTTTGGGTACCAAAGTTTTTGTTCTTCCTTCATTATTACAAAATCTGTGTGTCCATTTCAGTAACTATAACCTCATATTTTTTCCCAATTATTTCCTCAGAGCTTTTGTCAAGAGGATGTGGGTGTTAAAGGGAGAAAAATATTTTCATAGAAAAGCATTTTTAGACAACTTAACCAGAATTAAGCCTGATATCTCCTAGGCTACCTTAAGCCAGGCTGCAGGAAAAAGAATAATGGAAAAAGAACAATGGAAAAAGAACAATGCACGAAGCCAGGTCAAAGCAAGATCCTGAACGTTCAAAATTTCAAAATAGATTTGTATAATTTCCCAAACCTTTTGTTCCAGTCATATTCAGTAACAGCCTAATAAAAATAATCCCATTATGAGGACACCTCATTATAATCACATTGTGGGGACACCAATCAAACTACTGAGAAGTATATAATAGGAAAAAGTAACAGAGTCATGTGATCAGCTCACTGTTAAGTAACTTCTGTCATAAAAGGTACAAATTGTCAGACTGCAAATAGTCTAGAAAGCGAAACACAAAAATCCAATAGCAATAGTGTATCTTCAAGAGGTGGTTGAAAGTCTGATGATTTTCAGTCAGTGAAAAATGGGGACAGATGGGAATGGCAGGGAAGGACTCCAAGCCATGTGTCCTTTCCCACCTGAAGCTTTCAGTAGGAATCAAATGTGGCAGGCAGTTATCCTCTGAAATCTGAGCAGTGTTTGCTCTTGCTTGGATGTTTTCCTCCCATACGTGTGCTGATCAGACTCAACGGCAAGACAGACCCTCTGCAGATGCCTGGTGTTCTTTAGTGTCTCTTCTCTGGTGGTCTTCTCTGTGTGCTCTAGCTACCTTGGCTTCCCTGGACTCTTAAGCCCATCTCCTTAATTTAGGGAGACCACCAGCCTATTCCTGGGTTTCTCTTCCTTTCTTCTTGGCTTAGAAACTTCCTCCAAGAAAAAGCTGGGTCAATTTTAAGGTTTTCTGTCTTCTGAGGATCACTGTCCTGCAATGTTTGACATGCAATATGTTGAGGGCTGCTATGTCATATATTTTACATAGTGTTTTAGTTCTTTCAGTTGGGAGGGTAAATCCAGTCCTTAATACTTCATCTTGATCCAAATCCAAACTCTTAGTTTGATAGTTTTCTGCCTGGAAATGAGTACTTCTTTCCTTCCGGTAGGCCTTTACTGTGTGGAGCTGAGCCAGTCTAATTAGGAGGAGGGTGAGGTGTGGAATGCATTGCAGTCATGCTTTTCTCACTGCACATCAGGCTTCAGATTTCTCTGTGCTTAGGCTGGGGGCTGGCTTACTAGAGGGTTTATCTCAACATCTACTCCAACCTCAAACTTCAGGTCTTCTCTTTTTGGTGTTCCTTAGAAGGGGCCTCTCCCCCAAATTCTTGCCCCTCTCCTAGCAGTCCAGGGGTAGATTGCCCTTATCTGTTATTTGATGCTATGTTTTTAAAGACAGGGTTTTGCTCTGTCCCCTAGGATGGAGTGCAGTGGCATCACAGCTAACTGCAGCCTTAACCACCCAGCCACAATTGATTTCTCCCACCTCAGCCTTCCAAGAAGCTAGGACCATGCCATCATGCATGACTAATTTTTGTATTTTTTAATAGAGACAGAGTTTCGCCACATTGCCCAGGCTGGTCTTGAACTCTTGAGCTCAAGGATCTGCCCACCTTGGCCTCCCAAACTGCTGAGATTACAGGGATGAGTCACCACACGTGGCTGACAGGTGGCATTCTCTATACCAATTAAGACTCTCTCAAGCAATCTGTCCCTGAGTCTCAGGGTAAAGACTTTCCTGTGATCCAGTTTGCCCCTAGCTGTAGCTATGAGTCTAACAAATGTCCTATTTCCCTACAGGGTAATTGTTTTTTTCTTTTTCTCTTTCCTGCAATGGAGTTTCACCAGGGCTCTGAAGAGTGACTGAGTTTCATGCCCTTTTTCCAGCAGCTAAAGATACTTGTTTCATAGAGATACAGGGAAGACGGATCCATTGGAGGGGCTTCTTTCCTTTTGTACGGCAGCTTCTATTCTCTCCCTCTCCCAACCTTGTTTACCACTCTCCCGCCCCACCCCATCTGCTCCATAAGAGATGCTTCCTCAGCACTATCACTGCCTCCAAGAAAAGGAAAAGCAGAGCTTAGATGACAGTATGTTTGTTTACAGAAGTGTTTACTAAATATTTTAAGTCCACTGTTGAGACTTATTGCTCAGATATAAAGATTTCTTACAAAATATTACTGCTCAATACTGATAATGCACCTGGTTATCTAAGAGCTCTTAGAAAGATGTAGAAAAAGATTAGTGTTATTTTCATGCCTGCTAAAACAGCATCTGTTCTTTAGCTCATGAATCAAGGAGTAACTTTGACTTTCAAGCCTTACTATTTAAGAAATACATTTCCAGCTGGGCGCAGTTGCTCGTGCCTGTAATCCCAGCACTTTGGGAGGCCTAGGCAGGTGCATCACTTGAGGTCAGACATTCAAGACCAGCCCGGCCAACATGGTGAAACCCCACCTCTACTGAAAATACAATAATTAGCTGGGTGAGGTGGTGGGTGCCTGTAATCCCAGCTGCTCAGGAGGCTGAGGCAGGAGAATCACTTGAACCTAGGAGGCAGAGGTTGCCATGAGCCGAGATTATGCCATTGCACTCTAGCCTGGGCGACAAGAGCGAAACTCAGTCTAAGAAAGAGAGAGAAAGAGAGAGAGAAAGAAGGAAAGAAAGAAAGAGACTTGCAGCTGCAGCCCCTGCGTTGAGTGAGTGCGCAGCTCTCCAGCCCACTTGAACGCTCCCCACAGCCACCACCAGCCATTGGAATGGCCAACAGGGGACCTGCATATAGCCTGAGCTGAGAGGTGCAGCAGAAGATTGAAAAGCAATATGACGCAGACCTGGAGCAGATCCTGATCCGTGGATCACCACCCAGTGCCGAAAGGATGTGGGCCGGCCCCAGCCTGAACGGGAGAACTTCCAGAACTGGCTCAAGGATGGCACGGTGCTATGTGAGCTCATTAATGCACTGTACCCCGAGGGGCAGGCCCCTGTAAAGAAGATCCAGGCCTCCACCATGGCCTTCAAGCAGATGGAGCAGATATCTCAGATCCTGCAGGCAGCTGAGCGCTATGGCATTAACACCACTGACATCTTCCAAACCGTGGACCTCTGGGAAGGAACGAACATGGCCTGTGTGTAGCAGACGCTGATGAATCTGGGTGGGCAGGCAGTAGCCCGGGATGATGGGCTCTTCTCTGGAGATCCCAATTGGTTCCCTAAGAAATTCAAGGAGAATCTTCAGAACTTCTCGGACAACCAGCTGCAAGAGGGCAGGAACAGGATCGGGTTACAGATGGGCACCAACCGCAGGGAGTCTCAGGCAGGTATGACCAGCTATGGGATGCCACGCCAGATCCTCTGATCCCGCCCCAGGCCTTGCACCTGCCCTCCCACGAATGGTTAATATATATGTAAATATATATTTTAGCAGTGACATTCCCAGAGAGCCCCAGAGCTCTCAAGCTCCCTTCTGTTAGGGTGCGGGTTCAGCCTGTCCTGTCACCTCTGGGGTGCCTGTTGGCAGCCCCTCCCCCCAGCTTACTGATACATTCCCTACCCCATACCCATCAAAACTGGACCAACTGGGCTCTTCTTTTCCCCTGGGACCAAAATGTAGGGGCCTCAGCACCCCCACCACCATGCCTCTCCTCTCTCCTGGCCTGCTCTGTCCCTGAGCTCTGTGACCTCCATCCATCCATAGATGGGTGTCAGTGATGCTGCCTTTGCTTTTTGATGCTGGACTCGCCCTGCTTCTACAAGCATGCTTCTCCCGCAGCTGTGGCTGGCTGCAGAAACTTAATTTATAGGGAGGAGCCTGTGGCAGCTGCTGTCCCAGCCACAGCTGCACTGACTGTGCTCACTACACATCTGTGGCAGCCTTCCCTGGCAGAGGCCCTCACGGCTTCTCATTTTCCATTCCCGTCACTGTGGCTAAGGGGTGGGGTGAGGGGATGGGGAGGGAGGGCTGTCTACCATGGTCTGGGGCTTGAGGAAGATGAGTGTGTTGATTTAAATAAAGAATTTGTCTTTTTTGAAAAAAGAAAGAGGCCGGGCGTGGTGGCTCATGCCTGTAATCCCAGTACTTTGGGAGGCCGAGGCGGGTGGATCACAAGGTCAAGAGATCGAAACCATCCTGGTCAACAAGGTGAAACCCCGTCTCTACTAAAAATACAAAAATTAGCTGGGCATGGTGGTGCGCACCTGTAGTCCCAGCTACTCTGGAGGCTGAGGCAGGAGAATTGCTTGAACCCAGAAGGCGGAGGTTGAGGTGAGCCGAGAGTGCCACTGCACTCCAGTCTGGGTAACAACAGCGAAACTCTGTCTCAGAAAAAAGAAGCAAAGAAACAAAGAAAGAAGGAAAGAAAGAAATACATTGTATAAGACTATAGCTACCATCAAGAGTGATTCCTTTGATGGATCTGGGCAAAATAAACTGAAAACCTTCTCAAAAAGATTCACTATTCTAGATACCATTATCATATGTAATTTATGGGAGAAGGTCAAAATATCAACATCAACAAGAGCTGACCCGAACCCTCATGGGTGAGTTTGAGGGTTTGGGACTTCAGCGAAGGAAGTCTCTGAAGATGTGGAGGAAATAGCAAAAGTTAAATTAATTCTAGAGTTAATTGTAATTTAGTTCTAATCTTAGTTAGAATTAGATATGGAGCCTGAAGATGGGACTGAATTGCTGTAATCTCATGATAAACCCTGAACAAATGAGTTCCTTCTTATGCATAAGCAAAGAAAGCAGTTTTTTGAGATCAAATCTATTCCTGTTGAAAATGCTGTGAACATTGTTGAAATGACAACAAATGATTCAGAATATTATATAAACTTAGCAAATGAAGCCATGTCAGAGTTTAAGAGGATTGACTCTGATTTAGAAGTAAGTCCCACTATGGTTAAAAAACTATCAAACAACGTCACATGCCATAGAGAAATCTTCCATGAAATAGTCCATCAATGTGGCAAACTTCATTGCTGTCTTATTTTGAAAAATTGCCACAGATACGTTAACCTTCTGTAACCAACATTTTGATCAGTCAGCAGCCATCAATATAGAGACAAGCCCACACACCAGCAAAAAGATTACAACTCATTGAAAGCTCTGAAAATTGTTATCACTTGTAAGCAATAAAGTTTTTTGTTTGTTTGTTTGTAGAAACAGGATCAGGATCTCATTTTGTTGTCCAGGCTGGTCTCAAACTCCTGGCTTCAAGTGATTCTCCCACCTTGGTCTCCCAAAGTGTTGAGATTATAGGTGTAAGTCACTGCACCCAGTTGCAATAAAGTATTTTTAAGTTAAGATATGTACTTTTAAAAGACATAATTTATTGCACTACAGTATAGTGTAAACATAAATTTTATTTGCACCGGGAAGCCAAAACATTCATGTGGCTTGCTTTATGGTGATATTTGCTGCATTACTGAGGTCAGTAACTAAACCTGCAATATCTCCGAGGTATGTCTGTGTTCTTCAGATGTATCATTCTCTAGAGAACCCACATCATTTTCTGGCCTTCTCTGTTTCCTTTTTGTAATCAAGTGCTTGCTCCTGAGGGGCATATAAATAAATGCACAAATTGGCTTAAATCAAGGAGTCTGAGACTTTGAGTCTCAGACGCAGTGGCTCATGCCTGTAATCTTAGCACTTTGGGAGGCCAAAGCAGGTGGGTTGCCTGAGCTAAGGAGTTCGAGACCAGCTTGGGCAACATGGTGAAATCCCATCTCTACTAAAAATACAAAAAATTAACCAGGCATGGTGGCATGTGCCTGTATTCCCAGCTATTCATGAGGCTGAGGCAGGAGAATTGCTGGAACCTGAGAGGTGGAGGTTGCAGTGAGCCAAGATCATGCCACTGCACTCCAGCCTGGGTGACAAAGTGAGACTCCACTCCACCCACCAAAAAAAAAAAAAAAAAAAAAAGGAAAGGAAAATATGAGTGAGCAGAAGACCCACGGAATCATTTTGGAGAAACATTCAGTCCCAATGAAAGATTGTCAGTATATAATCGCTTCTTGGCCTTTTGGCTAAGATCAAGTGAAAGATTGTCAGTATAAGCTTATCTATATGGATATCGCAACAAAATAGCTGGCTTCCTATCTAATGATCCATCAGACAAAAGAAAAAACAAAAATTATAGCTATTATAGTAAGAGTGTCATGAGGAAACAGACACCAAAATAATAATAATAATAAGGAATCTTGGGTGAAACAGAGATTCAGTATGGAAAATATCTCAAAAAGCAGGACAGCAGTAATAAAAATTTTCAGAGAGTTACAGGTAATTATCTTGGTCAGCTTGAGCTACTATAACAGAATATTATAGCCTGGATGGCATATAAACAACAGAAATTTATCTTTCATTGTCCTGGAGGCCTAAGAAGTTCAAGGTCAAGTGCCAGCAGATGCAGTGTCTGGTGAGGGCCTGCTTCCTGATTTGTAGACAGCTGTTTTTTTGCTGCGTTCTCCATGGCAGAAAAGATGAGGGACCTTTCTGGGGTTTCTTTTGTAAGGGCACTAATTCCATCCACGAGGGCAAAGCCTCTTAAGGACCCCACCTCCAGATAACCCCAATTTAGGAATTATATTTTAAAGTATAAATTTGCAGAGGGATGGGGGGTGGAACACAAGCATCCAGTCTATAGCAATACAGCATGTACATATACACCTATTATTTTATGATAAAGAATAATCACTGAACAAGAAACAACCCTTGGAAGTTAGAATTTTGATGGTAAATTAAATAATTTAATAGATGGGCTTGAAAATATATAAAATGTCTGTATCTGTATCTCTATATGTCCCTGGAATTAAAGGACATAAGTATCCCATTTGAAAGGGTTCATGATGTGCCCAGTGCAATTAATAAAAAAGGATATGCAACAAAGCACAATTCCATCAAATTCTGCTATGTTGGGGGAGAGAAAATTTAAGGAGCCTCAGAAAGAATAAGGAAACATTTTCTGAATAAAACAGTGAGAATTAGAATGACGTTAGTCTTCATCATACCATAGGGTTTCCAGATTTAGTAAATAAAAGAATAGGACACCCAGTTAAATTTGAATTTCGTGTGAATATTGATTGAGTATAAGGTTGTGCCAAATATGACATGAGATATACTTATAATGAGAAATACTCATTTTTCATCTGATTCTAATTGAGCTGAGCAGTCATCTTTACCAGCAATCCTGCAGTAGCAACACTGGATCTAACTTTTCCATATGAATATGCAATTAGACTTTCATCTAAGAAATAAGAAAAAAACAACAGACGGATCACGAGGTCAAGAGATCGAGACCATCCTGGGCAATATGGTGAAACCCTGACTCTACTAAAAATACAAAAATTAGCTGGGTGCGCGCCTGTAGTCCCAGCTACTCAGGAGGCAGGGGCAGGAGTATTGCTTGAACCCGGGAGGCGGAGGTTGCGGTGAGCCGAGATCGCACCACTGCACTCCAGCCTGGCAAGACTCCATCTCCAAAAATAAAAATAAACAATGAAACTTACAAGTTTTACCTCAGAAACTCAAATTTAACTCAATCACAACATCTATATTAACCAGTATAGTAGTTTCTTTGCAAGCTGCTGCCGATATTTCTTCTTTTGGAAATCAGGAGTATATAAATAAACTCATACAGACATGAACACAGTCAAACACTATCAGAGGAATTGATATACACATAATGCTACTGAATACTAGTTGAAAAAGTGGTAAGTGCCAAAAGATAGGTTTGGATACATTGTCACGATATTAAAGATGGGAAGAGGTGAATTTGGTTTCTCAAGTTGCCCACTTAGCCCTCTTCCAAGTTGTATTTTCTTTCTTTCCTTTCCTTCCTCTCCTTACTGTTCTAAACAAAGCTTTTTAATAACTTGCACTCCTGCTCTGAAACTTGCCTTGGTCTCTTCTGCTTTATGACCCTCAGTCAGTCTTTCTTCTGAGGAGGCAAAAATTGAGGTTACTGCAGACCCCTATGGATTCACCGGTAGCAATTCTGAAAATTCCTGTGTATACAAGTTTAATAAATTTGCATGCTTTTTCTACTATTGACCAATCTGCCTCACGTTAGTGATGTAACTGCCCAGTGGGTTCACCTCGCCTGCTGCCTAGACAGAGCCGATTTGTCAAGACACGGGAATTGCTATGGCCAATGAGTAGTTCATGCAGAGCCTGCTGTGTGGGAGACCAGAGTTTTATTATTACTCAAATCAGTCTCCCTAAGCCTTTGTGATCATTTAAAGATAATTTGGCAGGTATGGGCTCAGAAAGTGAAGAGTGCCCGATGGTCAGGTTGAAGATGAAATCTTTAGGGGTCAAAGTGAGTTCTTGCTGACTGACTGGTTGAGCCAGATTGTTGGTCTGGGTGGTGTCATCTGCTGCAATGTAATGCAGGGTCTGCAAAATATCTCAACACTGATCTTAGGTTTTGCAACAGTGATGTTATTCCCAGAAGCAATTTGGGGAGGTTCAGACTCTTGCAGCCAGAGGCTGCGTGG